TCACGGTCAAAAACCTGACAAGCTTCGACGCAAACAAACATGTCAAACCCTCAAACGTTACAACCACGACAGACCAGAACGGCTTCGAAACAACCGAGTTCTTCATCCCCTCCACAAAGTCTGAACCCACCAACGGAGAGACAGTCTCATGGTCGAGACAGAACGGAGACACAGACCCGGAGACTGCATTCCACAATCACATAGATGTCAACTCACCGCCAAATGGTGGCCACCTCTTTGCGTACAAAGTAGGCTCAGGATACAAGCCACTGACAAAGCACAAGTTCATTCAAATTCTCACCACCGCAGCACGAGCAGCTGGCCTAGAGCCACTTCAAGGCCATGGGATCAGGATTGGGTCAACACTCGAGTACCTCCTGAGGGGGATTCCATTCGATGTGATGAAAGCAAAGGGAAGGTGGGCAAGTGACGCCTTCCTCGTCTACCTCAGGAAGCATGCCCAAATCCTCGCACCATACATGCAAGCAGACCCAGTCCGCCAGGAAGAATTTATCAGGCTAACCATGCCTCCACTACGCCGCCACTAATCAGGTAAGCAACCCCTGTCATGCTCCTAGCAGAGTGGGCTCGAGACTCGCTCGATGCGTCGCAGGACTCCTAACAATTGGGAATCGCACTCATCTTGGCTTCTTTCACAGACCAGGAGCTCCTGCCGGGCACGAAAGCCTTCGGGCTTTCCGCCCATATATTACATCCAGCACACTGCCATTCCATACACCTATCCCTCTTACCCTAGTCTACCATCGTTAATCTAATGCTGTCACTCGCCAGACCTGCCTCAGCGCCATTCATACCTATAACGTAGTGAGGTACGAGCGTAGGGTTAGGGTGCGGTCTATGCATCAGCGGTGGCAGTGTTAGGTGAGGAGAACCTCTTTCTCCTCGACTGCCACCTGCTGCCCACGCTGAGAGCAGTCCAGCGTTGCGGGCTTTTCTTTTCTCACCCACCCGCCTCTCCCAAAAAAGGAATCGCACTCCCTTGCCGAGTGGACCGCCTCGGGGCAGTTCCTCGAGAATCAACCCAAGGCAACTTAGCACCACATCCGAGTACACACCCGCCCGTGCGGACGAGTTGGCCTGCGTCGAGAAACTGCCGGAGCACGATGAGTGAGTTCTCCCGCCCACCCATCGCGCTCATCTTGGCTTCTTTCACAGACCAGGAGCTCCTGCCGGGCACGAAAGCCTTCGGGCTTTCCGCCCATATATTACATCCAGCACACTGCCATTCCATACACCTATCCCTCTTACCCTAGTCTACCATCGTTAATCTAATGCTGTCACTCGCCAGACCTGCCTCAGCGCCATTCATAGATGCCTCACTTTCTCACTTACTTTCCCACACTTTTGACGGTTCACTTTCCTTTCACTTTGCACTTTCGGCGAATAGGTCACCCCCCTCGCCTAGACATTATTTATCCTTTTGAACGACTAACATTCAGTGCTGTTATCAGGGAACTTTTACAAGGCCACAATGGGATTCGGAAGAAGGGATATCTTGTGCTTTGTTTATTTCAGGTGCGTGCGCAGACTTAAAGTTAATTGCAATAGAGGCGCACTCTCCATTTCACATCCAGGGTGGGCACACTTAAGTCTTGAATTTGTACGTGCCGTTCGGCTATCCCATGCGTGCATACCAATCCAGCGGCTGCGTACTCTCATCACCTCTTGAGACAGAAAATACAAGCTGATATGTTGGCGTGCACGCCGCCGCTAGCGCCTCCGTTTCGTCTCTTCGTTGTGCATTTTCCCTTTGGTTTACTGGGATAATCCAATCCCATTTTTGTCCTGTTTTACTTGTTCTTTTTGAGCACTCTACAGACATGGGGGGCCTAGCTTCTGTATATAAACTGTGGACTCAGACTCATGTCGTCTCCCCTCACCCATTTTCTTCCCAAACAACTGAGGTGAGTTACATACCTTACTTCATATCGCTCGTGTGCTTATGTCATCACCTAGCTTCTCATGCAAAGCAGGTAACTAATTCATCCCTAATACAAGTTTGCTTCCCAAATGATTGAGCTCCTTGTGCTAGGATTCTTACACCTGGTCACTTTGCCCAAGGAAAAAGGCACTTGCCTGATAAGTGACTTCAAAGTGAACGGCAAGTTCCCAGGAGAAGTTCACTTTCCCTGCCAAAAGTGAGCAAAAGTTACTTTTGTAAGGAAAAGTGAGCTTCGAAAAGTCACTTTGTTAACCACCTAATATCTTGAGGGACCTCGCTGCAAACAGCTTCTTTAGCATGCTCGTCACCTACTTCGGGGCCGGAGAAGACCGAATCGCCAGAAGGTTGCCTGGGGGCATGTTCTGCTCTGGTCTGAAGATGAAGGGAATACGCCATAGACCCTTAGCCTTATATCTTATATACCTTATAGGTCGAGGCTGTGTTGAGCAATGCGAATAACAGGCATTTAACCTCTCATGAACCTCCGGTCGGGTTGGGCGGAGAAGCTCATACCAGGCTGATTTCCCAAGCTCTTCCCCTCGATAGCTGATCCACTTTCATGATCAGTGTCGCTCGAGCTCCCTGTGTCATAATGGATTGACAGAAGCCTCTAAATTGTGATATATAGCGACTCGGCGAAATACTCACGAATGGCCACGAACACACAGTGTAAGAGCACTTGGCCTTCAGTCAAACATGATTAGTCCTGGTGCGCATTCGAGAGCACTACTTCCCGATACAAAAATCCCGAAAAACAGCATCCAACACGTCCTCAACCCCAATATCGCCAGTGACACGACCCAAAGCCTGCGCAGCATATCTCAACTCCTCGGCTCCCACCACAACATCCTCTGGTGCTACAGACGATTATCAAACATCAGCTCCTCTCAGTGAAAACGATGGGCAAGAGAAAGGACGCTTACGCAGAGCCAGAAAAGCCTCAAGGAACCTGCACGCAGACTCAAGGTGCACTCTGTGCCGTTCGCGTGTTATGAGCGGGGCATGGTGGTTCTGTGGTGGGGCAGAGGGGCCGTCAATGTTGAGCCTGAGAAAGCCGTTAGCGCCGACGGGCGAACAGAGGGCAGTTCGACTGACTGGTTCCTCAAAGCACCTGCTAGCCCTTGTATGAAGGCCTGTGTACCCTCGCCTGTTGTTAAGCTCGCTGTCCATACTCGGCCTGCAGTGTCGGGGTGGCCATTTATAATAAGATTTGAGGTTGGCAGGGTATTGGAGACGAGGTCTGCTTTGTTGAGCAGGAAATAGGTGTGAGGTGTGATGAGCTCTCGGACGTCCTCGGGGATGACGACCGTATTCGTGCCCGGAGAGAGCACAGAGGGCAGTGGGAGGACGCAAAGAGCGAAATCGGCATTCTTGACCCTGGGGTTTCTTAAGTCAGAGAAGACTCTTTCCGTGATTTATCAAAAGGACTTACGCAGCAGCACCTCGTTCTACGCCGATGATTTCCACCATGTCATCGGTCTTCCGAAGCCCAGCAGTGTCCGCCACGACAACTGGCAAACCGCCAATGTCGAGCGTGAGCTCCAGCACGTCTCTCGTGGTTCCAGGAATGGGCGTCACGATAGACGCAGGTCGGTTGGCTAGAAGAGAAGATAAGCACCAATGCGCACACATTCAATGGCGCACGCACCCAGGTAGTTGAACAGACTGCTTTTACCAGCGTTCGGTGGCCCGAAAATGGCCATTTTGATCCCTGACCGTACGAGCTCTCCCCTTCTACTATCTGCGATGTGGTTCTGGATTTCGGCGAGGAGAGTGCTGGCATCGGTTCTCGCCTGGTCGTAAACCCCTTCTTCTAGGTCTTCTCCTTCTCCAAAATCGATCAGGGCTTCCACTTGTGCGAGACAGTGTATGATTTGGTTGCGGAGTGAGTCGTATTGTGCACGAGTTTCTCCCTGCGTAGATCTGTCAGTTTCAGAAGACGTAGGATGTGGAAAAACCACTGACACCAGCACTTCCAAGAGCCCAAACCCTCTGCACGTCAGTGTCGGCCTCAATCAGGTCATGCAGACCTTCAACTTGTGTCAAGTCGAGACGACCGGCTAGTAGCGCTTGGCGCGTGAATTCACCTGGCTCTGCTGGTCGAAGACTTGGTATTCGAGAAAGAGAGGAAAGCAAGGCAGCGATCAGGGCCCGACCGGAGTGGATATGGAGCTCAATCGTCGGGTGCGTTGTGTAAGAATACGGAGCTGCAACAAGGTCATACTTGGTCATTTAGTAAAACAAAAAACCTATGGCGAAGAGAAGAACATACCTCGAAAGTAGACCGCCAATCCATCGTCTATTAAAGAGTCATTCTCTGGATGTACGATGCGACATCGTTGCAACTTCCACGGGGTTGGGTCGCGTGCTCTTGCTTTGGGATTGTGCGCCCGGACTATTTTTTTCCACACAGTCAACGCATCCGGGCCAGAGACGCGTACAACAGCAACTCCTCCCCTTCCCGGGGGGGTCGAGAGCGCGTAAATGGTCGAACGTTGGGCGCTCGTGGTTGGCAGAGTAGAGAAAGGTCGCTTCAGGAGGCAAACGTTTGGTCCTCGTCTGCAATGAACCCAACGTGCGATGCTAATGCCGAACATGACACTATTGCGGCACAGACCTGCAATAGTTAGCTCAGAGAGGAGTGGAGGTCCTAGTGATACTTGTAGGAATAGTTGAAGCTCACGAAAATCGCCGTTCGGTTGAAGCTTGAAGTCACGTGCTAAGCGTTTATCCAGCATCGGAAATTGGAATTCAATTCACCTTCACTTACCTCTTCTTTTCAATTTTGTCCTTTCTCTTCCTACATACGATATTCGAACGACGACGAGCTAAAAATGGGTCAATCACGTACGAATTACAACCCCGCATGCTCCCCACCATGCTGACGATCTTGCAGCATCTCAGTTTATGGAGGATATGGAGAGGCGCTCGAACTGTCCGTCTCAATCCCCTTCTACCGCGCCCGAACCTCGTTGACTGACATTGTCTCCTCCTGGTAGTCACCCAGCCTGAATTGGAACGGCTGAAGAAGCGCTTCATGAAACTCGACAGGTACTTCCCCTCTGCCCATTTGGCCGTGCAACATCCATGAGCCACTCCATATCACAGCGACGGCTCTGGGTCCATCGATCGCGAGGAGTTCTTGCAAATACCGCAGATTGCGACCAACCCGCTCGCCTCTCGGATGATCGCCATCTTCGACCAGGAGTACGTACCTTTCGCTGGGAGTGGTGATTCATTCGCTTACGCCTCTCCGATGATAGTGGAGGAGGCACGGTCGACTTCCAGGAATTCGTTGGAGGCTTGAGCGCGTTCAGTAGCCGTGGTGGGAGAGAGGAAAAGCTGAAATGTGCGTCCGTGCACATCTGTCGCGGAACGTAAACTTATTTTCACCTTTCTCTTCCCCTCTGATTCATTGGATCGTTCCCGTTGCATGGCTACTCCGACCTCCTTGGAACCCTCTGCAGTTGCATTCAATGTTTACGATGTCGATCGTGACGGCTATATTTCAAACGGAGAGCTCTTCCTCGTCTTGAAGATGATGGTTGGCAACAATTTGAAGGTATGCGATCTAGTTTTGCCGCTTTATTGCTGTTCCAACTACAATTGGACTGCTAGGATCAACAACTGCAACAAATTGTCGATAAGACGATCATGGAGGCTGACCAAGATGGCGATGGCAAGCTTAGCTTCGAGGAGTTCGCCCAAACGGTGGCCAACACAGTACGATCTCCTCTGACGCGATTCATAAGATATGCTGATGGAACCACCTCGTAGGATATTGTGAAACAAATGACGCTCGAAGACCTATTCTAAGCTCTGATCTATTCACGGTACACTCGGCGAATCAACATCCCCTTGCCCCTAGTATGCTCGCCCAGCCTACCTTCCCATCGTAATCATGACGTTCCCTACCAACTCCTCTCCATACCCGACAGCCTATATCCTGAACAATACCACAGCACTACTCGGAGCGCCGACCTCAGCTGTCAGAAACCAGTCGCAAGATGAAGACGAAAAGAAGTGTAGAACGAAGGTGTGAAGTAATGAAGTTACGAAATGTTACATACTCGGACAAATTGTAGATTACACGACAAATCGCGATAAGTCCTCTCTCTTATCCTCATTTTCCAGCCTGCTACGCCTTTCCCCTTGCTTCGGTCTTTCCACCTGTTGTATTCTGGTTACACGGATGAATATTTTTTTTTTCTGAATCACAGCAAGGTACATTACCAAGGGAGCGGTCAAATAAACGGATCACGGAACTCGTACGTCCAAGGTGTCTCTATATCGAATTCGATGGACCCCGCTCGTCCAGCCGCAGCCAGCAAGTGCATGTCCCTCGTGACCATCGCCTTTCTCTCCGCCATCTCCCTTTGTTCATGGTCCCCTAGCGTCGCCATGATCCTCGCCATAGAAAAGTGAAGCCAGATCTTCACTCGCTGCAGGCCCGGGTGGCGCCCAATGCCCATCAGGGTGGCATCGAGCACCCGCCACTGGTTGGGAAGGAAGTCGCCGAGAAGGAAAGCGAGGATCAGGCCGTCGTCGTCCGGGATCTTGGAGTGCACGCAGAGCTCGAACGAACGCAGCTGCGGCATGGGAGGTGAGCTTGTGGGCGGCCGGAGGAAGACGAGTACCCCTCCCAGGCCGTCGTTGAAGCAGCACCCCGGAAAGCCCTTGGAGGTCACCGTGAATTTGAGGGTTCGAAGGAGCGGTAGTTGGTCGAGCCGGATGGTGCTGGAGAGCTCGGTCCTGGGTAGGCTGCCTGTTTAGACATGGATTAAACAAGGAGGGGGCATTCAGAAAGGCTTATGACTTACCAGGAGAGACGTTCACACTGAGGCTTTCCAGTAATTGTAGGCTCTGGACGATCTTCCAAAATGGGGCTACCTGATCGACTGAATTCGGGCTGGAGATGGTTAAACTTGTCACTCTCGCAAAACATGATAGGATGGTGCAAGCAGAGAACGCGGAAAAGAGGCTGGATGGGAACCGTGAATGGGTGAGTTCCAGTGTCTTCAGTGTTGGGGAGAAATTTTCGTCCATAGTAGCGTCTTCGGCGCCTACTACAGATACATTGCGCACCGTCAGTTCGTCGATACTGGTAGACGAAACGCCTGCTCGAATTAACGAAAAAGGGACGTTCCGAATCGTCCTGAAGCAGATGAAGCGAACGGTCCGCTGGGAGCACAGTGCGGAGACGAGAGGAACCACACTTGGGGCCATAGCGTCATACCAATACCCAAATCTTTGTGGGTCCTTTGTCTTGACCACTACATCCTTGAGCTGCACCTGTGTGAGGAGCCGAAGGAGGTCTGCGAAGTTATCCCGCCGTAAATGATTAACCCACCCGGCAACTCTCCTGCGCCAGATCGGGGTTTTGGCCCTCTTCCGTCTGAGCTCTGCGAAGTCGATTACGAGGAAGAACCGACGGACGTGCGATAGCATGAGGCCATTGTTTCGCCTCAAGATATTGAGCGCTTTCTTCGCCCGTTTCTGCACCCTGCTATCGAATGTGACCCTGACATCTCGGAAGAGGTGCAAACGAGCTCCTGCGTGGAAGGGGCGTGAAATGAGGGAGCAGGTCAGCAGGAAAGAATTCAGCTCGGAAATATATTTTGTTTCGTCTACACCAATATCGATGATGAGGTTGATGATCTCTTGGGGAACTGTTTGTAGGCAGTCCTCCGGCTTGCTACCCTCTTGTCTTCTGATTTTTATGTCCATAACAAATGTTCCTGAAGGTAGAGGCGACGAAGTGGGTGGGTGTGGGAGAGAAGCTGTGGGACGACACCAGTGTGCATTGCATGGCCGGGCGGGCCGGGCCGGGGATGAGATTTGATGTTTCCTGAGAAGAGACGGTTAATGTACAGGTTATGTACGCACTAGTGTACATCTCAGCCTATAGCGCATACCCAGACATAGGACATATGGAGCCAGGGTCTTCATTGGAAATAGTACCCACACTTTACCGTGGAGGAACTGACGTGACAGAGAAAGCCTGCATGGTTGGTTGCGCCGTTCTCCGGAAGTCTTCACTGAATGTCGCCGAGTCCAGCACAACGAAGATCCCCCTTTCTAAAATATGTTAATCAGGAACTTCGTCTGATATGTTGGTTTTCAGAGAGTGGAACGAGGAAATTACAAGGAGCTTAGCTATACTAGGACTTACGATCGGAGTCAACAGCATGCCACTTCATACTATATTTGATTTCAGTGCCTCTTAAGGGGTTCCTGGTGTGGAATCTGGGCACGCCATTTGTTCTTGAAGTTGTGTTCAAAGCCCTTGGTTTGCCGGGGACTCCAACAGAACAAGAGAGTCGACGATTGTCAACGAACAGAAAAGTGTAATTCACCAGCGGTGCTTACGAGGTCATTGTCTCTCTTCGAGGCTTGGTTGCATTCTAGAAGTTTTCTGGGTCGCGTCAAGCTTTTGGAAGTGTAACTTAAAATGCGAAATTGGGGCACATTACATTCCAGCAGACATAAAAGTACACGGTGGCGAACAAACCTGAGCCTCACAGGATTACCTATCAGATATTCGAGATGCATAAGTATGGTTTAGTTTAGACGACCTCAACTTCAGGCTTCAGTGGGTCCATTCTCACCCACAAACCGCCCTAGGGTTGGAAAAGAGATGATTTTGGTATACACACCCTCTTCGAGGAACAAAATCAGCACACTCACCTTGACGTACATCGTCAAATGTGTCCCAGGCATGATCTTTTCCCTTGCCTTGGGCCTATTGGTTTCAGCCCAACTAGAAGGCGGCTTGCTCTCAGGCGGCTGAGCATCAGGTGCAAGGCGGAAATTGGTGAATTGCTGGAGGAGGCGGATGATGAAGAACGACGATTCGTGATAGGCGAACTAAGAAACCGAGGAACAGATGTGTTTAAGGAATAAATGGAGAAAGACAGCATGAGGGAAGTACCTGTTGACCAAGACAGATGCGTGGTCCTGCATTGAAGGGGCAGAAGATGTACGGGTTTGGTGTCAAGTATTTGTGCAAACGCTCATCCAAGAATCGGTTGGGATCAAATTCCAGAGCTAGACAAAAAGCCATGAGAACGCTCGACTTGTGCAAGTATCAAGAATGAATAAATACCATCCGGTCCCCAGAGATCTGTTCGTCGATGCATGTTGAAGACCCCATAAAGAACCCTGAATATTTCCTTGAATTGAAGCAAAAAGAAGGCTATCCTTTACGCGAGGCTCACCTGGTGTTAGCGGGAATGTAGTACGGCTTCGATCCCGGAACTTTCGAGGTCCAGACGGTGGCCTTCGATGACATGCTACAAAACGCAGAAATGAGATGAAATGATAGCGACTGAACAGGGCGAACAACACACCGACTGTCGAATGGCCTTTAGGAGCAGCGGCGTTAGTTATTTCAATGAAGAAAGTACAACGAAACCTACACTGGAGGATATAACCGCAGAACCTCTAGATTGAGGTAGTTATATTTTATATATATCATGAAAGTGAACGGCAATATGACGCACCGTTGATAAACGCCCTCAAGTATTTCATCTCTCGAAGATTGTCGTACGTCGGTCGGTTAGTCGGTCCGACCTTCTCCAAAATCTCCTGGCGTAATCGCTCTACAACTTCGGGGTGTTCAGATAGCATGTAGAATGCATAGGTGAGGGTGCACCCGGTCTATAGTAAATGAAGGTAAGCCAAAGCATTTCTCGAGCTCGGGGCTTGGACTTGCCGTATCTCGTCCTGCCACAAGGAGGTTGACAAGCTGTTCCAGCAGATATGATATCACCATCGTCATTCTCTGTGGATCTGTCAAGACCAACTGACCTCATCTTTCAGGACATTGATATCTGCAAATGGAGGTTGAATGTCGGGCATAAATGATGATCAAAAGCTGCTATACCTTGGGTATGATGTACAAGATGCGACAGCAACGAATCGCCATAATCGCCGTCGGCGCCCGCGTCCTTCTCGAGATCCTTCTTCCTGAGCGCCTCAACTAATATCGGGTTGCTGAACCGGTCCAGGACTTCTCGGTCCGCCTTGATCTTGTCGCCCCAGAATTCGGCAAGGGGCCAGGTAGGGCCGACACGAGTGCGCACCGCGGTCTGATTCTGGCTTCGGAGGAAGGCGTCCACGAATTCATTCGACGGGTGTTTCTTGAAGGTCTCCGTGTCCAAGTGAGCATAGGCCCGCGGATATGGAATACCGGCAGACAACGACTGCACGTCGTGCCCGAAGAGAAATTCCGTCGCCGAGTCAAGTGTGAACCGGGAGACGAGGTCCTGCACGCACGAAAAGGGTAAAATTAGCGTAGCTCCAAACGGAGCGCCACAAGGCCGATGAACGCCCGCCGTCTATCGACCGTCGCTACTTGCCTGGAAGTCAATTGCAAAGCCTTCGGCTAACCTATCCGTTGCTTGCTTAAGAGCGTTGTCAGCGTGAGCCTCGAATATGTCGAAATGTGTTATTCGCTCTTTGCTAAAAAATGGCCGGGTCATGGATCGGTGAAACCTATGACCGGTTAGCGTTCAGTCGTTCAATCTGATAAAGGTCCCTACTTCCACATGTCGCCTGAAAATCAGTCGACCTTAGTGATCCGCTTCAAGGGTGGTACTAAAAGCGCTCACCGTCGGAATTGAACACGCCCGTGCCGAGCAACGAATGGAATTGCATGTACAAGATAGGACCTAAGTGGGCTCAATTGACTGTAGAGACGGAGCAGATGGAAGCTGGCCTTTGTCAAATGCATCAAATTGAGTAGCGAGAATGGCCTAGAAGTTCAAAAGACGGAATATTTCAGCGACGTCGGGCGGTGGAATCGTCGTTTCTCGAACTATACCTTGATATGATCAGGTTCGAAGGTGACAATCTAACAGAGGGAAGGAATGAAAGATGGCTACTAGCCGTATAACCCTGAACATACCCTGTTGTCAGAGATGAGTCTGAGTTGGAAGACGGGGCCATATTTCTCCATCCATGTGAGCATCATGTCACCTAAGAGAGTTTATGGTCAGAGTCGTTCGACATCGCTCGATGGATCATACCTGGATACCCGGTCTTGAGATCCTTGACGAGAGCGGACATAATTGAAAGGCCACCGAAGTTGGGGCGCTTCTCCTCGACGTGAGGGACGATGAAAGCATCGTTTGCAGCAGCAGCTCCTCTGTCCTTGTACCTAGTGTAGTATCGTTGGAAAATCGAAAGAACAGGCCGCGCGAGGACAACAGCAGCGACTGTGGTCCAAGTCGGCACCACAAGACCAAGACGAGCATCCGCAAGCCTCAGACCAGCGTACACCACCGTCGGAGGGCCCAGTAAGAAAGGCAAAAGACTGAAGAGATAGCGCGGCCCAGGCGGAATCGCCATCGTACTGTCGGTGTAGGAGGCAAGAAATGTCTCAAACGGGGCCCTATCGACACCCTATTTATAGGCTAATGCGGACGTGATTCTTATGTTTTATGTAACCTGTCGCATTCGGTGATGTGAGAAACTTCGGGCTCTCATGTGAGCGTAGGCGATGGCGCGGAGACAGGCGGAGACCTGTAGTCACCCCCGGTAGGGGTACCGAAGCCATTGTCAGAGAAATTTGGAGAGAAGCATGAGCTAATCGCACCTGGATATGGAAGCGACTAGCACAACGCCGGAGACTAGCATTGGTTTCACTTACTAGCCTTGACCGATGCCCGAGCTCCTACGACGAGGAGAAGTTCAAGCATCTGAAATTTCCGGCCATCCATGAAGCGGGACCGGTTGGGATGCCTTCCACTGCATTCGAGGGTTCGTCGGTGCAGGCTTTCGACGCTTTGAAGGAGTGATTGAGCGGGAACGCCAAGATGTCGATGACAATTCATGACATTACATTTAAAAGTCCGCCGCACTCCGACTTAAGATCTTGAAGGCTCTTGAAGGCCATTTCTTGGCACGTTCCGTCAATTAGCAAACCAGGCTCTGTTCTTGGCCGGAATAATGGAGAAAGCATATCTCGAGCTGTTATTGGGAGCGAATTTTGTGCGGCTTGTGACTTGGTACCTGGGTCAGCTGCAAGGTCGGATGGATCATGGAGGCTACCATTGTACCGTGCGCCACATTCCCATTTCTATTTGTAGCAGCAGATCGTCAATTATTTCGGAACCGATGTTGTAATCGCCAGTGTGCTTCGCGAGGCTTCGTTTTATTTCTGGATCTCCTGACTTTGGCAGGTAATATACGCCTGCGAACCTTCAACCAACCTCTACGATCGCCTTTGCAAGTCCACTGTCCGACAGGCTATCCAGTGTCTCGGACCGTCGTTCCATGACAGGCCATGACAATCGGCGCGGCGACAATAAGTTCGACTTGACTGCGATAGCGTATAAACTTGACACTAGACTCTACATACAGCTAAATAAGATAATCAGGTAAATATAATACACCGACAACCTGTAATCTACCAAAGCACTTTCTAGTCCTGTTTCCCTTTCTTTGTCCCCTGAGGTTTCGCATTGCCTCTACTGCTGCCAATCGTATATCCTACAGTGCCCAGCATGACCAACGCTGCTCCCGTCCACATCATTCGTTTATCCACCTCCTGGGGTCGTTTGGCCGACCCTCCGCCAACAAACGCTGAGCCCAACGACTCCAATATCGAGTCCACGTCGATTCCATACACGCTTAAATCGAAGAGAGCATTCGTCTTCAAACCGGTAGCGGCCCAAGCACGATGCAAGCCGTCGCGCAGGGCAGCCGCAACCTGGGGGACCCCGATGACGCTGATGATGAGGCTAATCGCCTTGCGCACGACAAGAACAAGCGTGACGGTCAGCGCGCTGACGCTGGTCGTGAGCCGGTGTACGCCTGCTGCGCACAACAGCTGTGTGATCGTGTTTAGCATAAGCGGGAGGTAGATGTGCGGTATTGAGAACGAGAGGACGAGCGGGTGGTCGTACGAGCTGTTCTCGAACACTTGTTGGGAGACCGAGATCAGCGAGGCGTTCTCCGTGTGCTTGAAAATGTGGACGGGAAGGCGGGGGAGCGAGTATGGTGGAGGAACATCCATAGGGAAGGGCGCCGAGAAGTTGGTTGAGACCGGGATGGGAACGGGAACGCTGAACTCTGCTCTTGGGCCACTGGTGTTCATGTCGTGCATTTGGGTGACTATGTCGCATAGCAGGGGGTAGAACATGGGGAGGGCGAGGAAGTGCAGGTAGAACATGGATTCTTGCCAGGCAGGGGGCCCATCGGATGCCTGTGTGGTCAGCTTGGGTCTTCCATGTTTCGCGTAAGCCCAATCTTGTGTGAGGCCCAGGAGACCGGCGAAGACAAGGGCGAGGGTGAGGATGCCGATGCCTTGGGCGTAGACGTAAGGATCGGTTGGAGAGATGGATTTCACCCCGGATGACTGTGCGGAAAGTGTCGTGATGATTACGCCAATGGTGACTAGTAATACAGAAAAGATTTGCGTGAAGTTATATCTAGAGAGGATACGATATTAGCATGACATCAAACAACTTTGACTAGCATATCACCGGCACCTCTTATTGGATATAAGCCATCCAAGTAGCATAGTGATTACAAGCCCAGCACTCCTAAAAATAATATGGACTGCCATGGGAATCCGATATGCAAATGCCGCATTGTTGAGCAAAGAAACGAGATAGAACAGCGTGACTTGAACGAGGTAGATCGTGATTGGAACCTTCCGTGGACGAAATCTTGGGCCAAAGCGTGTCCATATGAGAAATTTCGGTAGGCCGTGGAGCGATATGATTAGGAATTGGAAGAAGGTGAGCACTGAACCGGCCTTCGGGTATTCTAATGTGAGTTGCTCTAGAGTGATCGCGTTACTGCAACATCCGCCAAAAAGAAGTGAGAGTGTCGTAAGCCAGGTGGAGATCAAGGAAAACATAGTGAATAAGATATTGGAGATGAGAAAGCAGTAGAGGAGGAGGGCAAGGTTTGTTCAGTTAAATCTTGACATGATCGTTCTGCATGAGGATGACGCGAGGCCGTCGCAACGCGGAAACACGTCAACAGAAACCACGTGATGGATTAATTCAAACTCAACGAATATGGACATGGTTCAGACGCGTCGCGTTGAGTTGATCTCGTACGTTTTCTACCGTCCAGCCTGCGAAACCTGATAAACGCTTTAAACTCGAAGACGAATACCTTCAATTTGTCGCGAAATGTCTCTTGTTGTTGCGATCTTTCAATCTGGCCTGCCACTCATGATCTTTGGCGATCGTCTGGTCTATTTGCGGGCAAAACCCCTTTCTGTAAACAAAACCACGCCCGGGACGAAACCCAATCCTTTCCCTCTCTATTCCCCTTTCCCTCTTCTTCGTTATCCTATACATCCCTTGACGGGGTACTCTGTATACGCATAACTTGGATTTGACGACACATACCACATCCTACACCTCCCACTCTCCCTTTGAACTATGGCGGAGAATAACCACTCGCAACGCCGGCACCCTGCTTCGCTCTTGCCCATCTCTGCGCACAACCAGCTGCTTGTGTCTCTCATGGGAAGGCGTGTCTCTATGGATATGATTGCCTATGTGGCCCGCCAAGCAGCCAAAGTCATCCGTATCGACGGCGAGCCGGAGCCTCCTACCTCGCCGGACTCGCAGCCCCTACCACCACAATCCCAGACCCCGCTCAAAGTGAAATTTGCTGACCAAATCGCGAAGGAGGAACCGAATGACCCTGAAGACCCCCCACTGATCAGTCTGGACAATTTTATATTGCATCTTGTCAAGTGTTCGAACGTCCAAGTGTCGACTCTACTCACCACGCTGGTCTATCTCGAGCGGTTGCGGAGCAAGCTACCTACGATGGCGAAGGGTGAGAAGCTCTAAATCTGTCTTATCTCAATCTAAACTCGGCGACTTTCAGGAATGCCATGTACAAGGCATCGCGTGTTCCTCGCCACTCTCATCGTCACCGCCAAATACCTCAACGACTCCTCGCCCAAAAATATTCACTGGGCGACTTACGCGGTTCTCTTTGACGTGGCCGAGATCAATCTCATGGAGAAGCAACTGCTCTACCTTCTAGACTACGACCTCCGTTTCAACGAGGAAGAAGTGTGCAAGCGTTTCGCGCCGTTCATGATACCCACCTCGGAGGCTAGCTTAAGCACGCGGATCTCTGCGGTTAGCAAAGTGACGAAGGCGAGCAAGGCGCGTGCCGAAGCTGCTCAACAGGCCCAAACAATTGCGGCCCCTCTGCGGACCCCGAGCGAGGAGAAGGAGTCGCAATGCCCCGCCCAGACGCACTTGGCACCTCCAGCTACCTCTTCAACAGTCTCTACGTCCTCTTCATCAGCTGCATCCGCCTTGACGTCTGCTGTCCGCGGTATTGCTCGTCGGCTCTCTACGGCGCACTTGCGTTCGTCTGCTACAAGTTCTTCCACGATGTACTCGACCCTCAGCACGGACTCTTCATCGTCGACGGCTTCTTCCTCATCTGACCTTGCCTCCTTGGTGGACGACTCTGGCTCGAGCTCGTCATCTTCTGGGTGGACAAGCAACGAGTCCGACGTGGATGAGGACGTAAACGACCGCACTATTTCTATCATCGAAGCCAGCTCATCGACGTCGAGCCTTGGACGTCCTCTACCTTCGACTACTAATCTTGCTGGACCTGGGGTCATGAAGAAACCGTTTTCGTTGCGGCCGATACCCGCGCATGGGTTCAAGCCCCAGCCCGGTGCAACTCCGTCGGGCAAGACCGAGGTTACACCGACCAGGGAACGGTCGCGGAAGCCTTCAGACACGTCTTCGGTGCACACAATCGTCGCCTCGCCGAGTGTCTCTCGGAAGCAGCATCTGACCGCGAGAGCGTCAGATGGGAAGCGCTCGACGTCGCTTTCGTCTCAGGCGTCTATGAGCTCGATCTCCCTAGGCAAGGAGGCGCGTGTACAGGCTAGTTGCACAATGCCATCGATCGTGCAGTCTTCTGGATCGAGCACGATAGGATCTAGTGTCCGCCTGAGGTCCGGGACTGTTGTTCATCGGTCTTCGAGCTCCAAGCTCCCTCTAGCTGCCGCCCTAATCCCTCCGCTTCCAACCACTTCGCAGACTATATCTGGCGGAACCACGCCTTCCCGTGGCATGGGCTCGATCATCAGCAGGATGTGGGGTGCCGCTGCGGCTAATTTGAAGGCCGGCGTCAGCGGTGGCCAGCAAAGTCAGCCAACATGCGGAAGTGAGGCGGAGTCGCGACCCTTGGTGGCAAATCCGGACGGCGTTTCTACCTGACGGTGATGATAGCGTGTCATTTCTCTTTTTCTTGTGGGTTCATGGTGGTAATTCTGGGCAACATTCGGTGGTTATTCTGCAGACCAGTGCTTCCTTTTTTCTTTTTTCTTCCTTTCAATTTGCTTGTTCCTTTTCTTCCCCCTACCCTCACTTTTTTTATCCGCCTTTTTTATTCTTACATTGTATCTGTATCTCATTTTGTATTCTTCCCCTCCAGTTCTCGGACGTCTTTTTTGTCGTGGTCTTCACGACCTTTTCCCTGCCCCCGTCTTTCCTATCCCCTCATCGACATCCCATTTATGCCCACAATGACATTACGGACGCTGAATAGAACTACCCTCCGCTCCCTTGCTAATCTTCTTAGCCATATCCTTATCTCTGCTCCTACCCCACACGATTCCCTCCCAATGCTATACATCTATTGCCCACTTTCTATATATCCCTCCCTTTCCGCATCCTTAAACCCCCCTTATCCCCAAAATCGTTGTAAAACGCATATGTACAACACTACGCAATGCCTTCCATGGCCACACCATCTACTACACTTCATGATAAATAAACAAATGCTTTATGAGCAATCGACTGATGGATGCAACTTTCCTCTACACCGCCCTTCTACCCGAACTTCTCCAAATTTAGGTATCTACAGCCACCGAACGCTGTGCCGCAGGCATCTTCTCTTCTACTTAAGTCCACTACGACGACGAATCACGATGTCTATCAAGAAAGCCTTCCCCCAACTCTTACCATGTCGAGAGTCCGCGTAATCAATGTCGTCCTCGGTGTTTTGACTTTCGTCGCGATGTACTCGCTCTGGAGGCTACTATACGTGCCAGTGCGGTTTGAAGTTCGTGCTCAAAACGTGAATTTTGGCCTGCAAGAACCATGCACCTCGGGTGGAACTCCAGCGCCGAACGCATTCTCTTGGGACGACGTGCGTTACCTCGAAACTCTCCTTCATCCGTGTTCAAATGCACTAAGCACCCGTATGGTTCGGAATCGGCAGATAATTCCTCGCAAGGATCTTGTCTGGATCGACTGCGATGCACGGCGCCAGTGCGCCTGTCTGGCTGTACAAAACTTTCCCTAGTGACCAACATCTACATACTCAATGTCTAACAGGTTCCCTTGAACTATTCCAACCCAGAAGGCGAACAGGCAGCCATCGCGTTAATCCGTCGGCGCGCTTCAGTCCCCGAATCGTCAGACACTTACCGAGGACCCATTCTCTTCAACCCAGGAGGACCTGGTGGAAGCGGTGTGGACATGATTGACATGGCTGGGGACCTGTTTGCCAGCCTCCTTGGTCCTGAGTTCGACATCGTTGGCTTCGACCCAAGAGGTATGTGCTCTGTTATTTGTTCTCAACTTATGGTTCATAAGAAGGGGTCAGGTGTTGGCCGTTCTACTCCACGTGCGTCGTTCTTCAAGACCGACGTGGAGCGTGCTTTGTGGGGAAGTACTGGTCTCGGAACTTTCTTCAACAACTCGGACGAAGGCGTAGCGCGAATTTGGGCTGCGGGGAGATTGCTCGGACAGCTTGCGGCGGAGCGAGATGATGGACATCTGAGGCACATCAACACAGACCAAACTGCGCGTGACATGCTGCGTATAGTGGAGGCGCATGGGAGGGAGAAGATCCAGTACTGGGGTTTCTCGTAAGTTGATCAGCAGATTGACCTCTCTAAATATCAGACTGAGTCACTTGCTTAGCTACGGATCCGTCCTTGGTGCTAGCTTTGCTGCGATGTTCCCTGTGAGTAATTTGCAGCGCTGTGAGAGCGACCCATGATTTGGACTGCATTTAGGACAAAATAGAGCGTCTGGTAATTGACGGTGTCGTAGATTCTGAGAATTACTATGCGAGTAAGTTCTCAATATATGCTAAGATCTTGTTATGGATCTTACATTGCTCTTTCAGCTCTGTGGTCCAACAATCTCCTCGACACTGACAAAGTCATAGACCACTTCTTCTCAGGGTGCGCAGAGGCCGGACCAGATGGTTGTGCCTTCTGGGCTCCAACCGCGGATGACGTTCGTCAAAACCTCACTAATCTGTACGACTCCATTCGGGCGCGTCCGTTGCCTGTCAAGACGGACTTCAGCTATGCCATATTGGACTACACCTTTCTCCGCTTCGTGATCTTCAGAGTTCTGTATTCTCCGTACGATCTCTTCCAGACCCTCGCCCAAGGGCTCGCGGATTTAGCCGCTGGCGATGGCCGGGTTCTCCTCGAGCTTGTCGCAGGCCCTCCGTTTCAGTGTTCATGTAATCCTGCAGCGCATCGTTATGACGTTGTCGGAGACGGTCAGGTTGCCATTCTGTGCAACGACGGAGACGATGTCCCCCGTGATCTACAGTCCTCGCTGGAATATTATAAGTTCATGACAAACATCTCGAACTGGGGTGATATATGGTCTACTATTAGACTGAGTTGCGTGTAAGGAATCTTTATTTCCTTACATCTCTACTCGTGCTAATGAGGAAATTATAGTGGATGGCCCAAGTTTCCCAAAGACCACTTCCAAGGTTAGGCTTTATGTCTTCGGCCAAGTGATTGTTCCACCAATGCACCGTCGCAGGTCCCTTTAATGCAAACACAAGTCACCCAATCCTCTTGGTCGGAAACACGGCAGGTGAGTAGACATCCTTACTGCTTGAAGCTCAGACTCGCGAATCGTTACAGACCCTGTCACTCCGCTGGCCGCGTACGTTCATTTTTTCTCCTCTTATTGCGTCCTGTTATTTATCTTATGTTGCCAGGGCGAAGAAGATGTCTAGTTTCTTCAATGGTTCGGTGGTCCTTACTCAAGATTCTCCAGGGGTGCGTTTTGTATATAATGGCTTTTTTCCAGGGACTTATCCCTTGTCCCTTAACAGCACTGTTCGATCTCTGCTCCGTCTCTTTGCACGTACACGTATATTCATGATTATTTTCTTCATGGAACCTTACCCAAACCTGGAACTGTATGCGATCCTATCGGTGGGCCTTTCTTCAAACCCCCGCTATCGGACAGCGCCGCCCAGGTTCCCTTTGTCAGGGAAGAAGAAGAAAAGGAGTTGTTCGATGTGGCCGAGAAGCTCAGCAGGGTTCCGATTATTCCTTTCCCATTCAGAATGTAGTAAGATGTTGCCTATTTATTGAATCAACCCTTGTAAAGTAGTAATGAAGCGTACGAACGACGGAGGTTCTGACCCCGGGTTCCATGGTCAGTTGGTGCATAGTCCAGAACACCCCGACAAAACAGATCGAGTGACAAATTTATGGCCTGTCCTTCCTCCTTGTGCTTCCCTCAAATTTACTAGTAGGTGGATCTTCTTGCAATGCCGTAAACCTCGGCTTCGGTTCCACTGCAACCGGGTCGCCCCTTTCCTGAACTCTCCCATGACGCTCATGATTCATCAAGAGACCCACAATTCGTCCATCCTCGGAACGTAGCTCTGACATGTCGAACCGGCTGACTAGGACTGGTTGGCCTACCAAACGGATACCAATCCGGGCCTTGTATGTGAATCCTCATTGGAGAGGGTGACATACAGACCCAGTGTCTCATATCTCTTTTTCCATCCCCCGCTTCCGCACCACGCCTCCAACGCCCTTTGACGCCTGAATCGGTACATCACCATGCCGCTGCTTCCACCAGGACCAGTTTATGTATTGCAGAATCTACCCAGCGTGATTGCTCCGCCAGCAGTCGTCTGGTTATTCGCCAAACTGCTCGCAGCAAGACCAGAACTTGGTGTCGTGCTTCCAATCTGGGCGATTGTCCTAGGGAGCGTTCTTTCTCTTCCGATCCTGCTTTCCTTGAGGGTGAAGTACCGAGATTACAAGGACAGACGGGCAGCAGCAGCTCATGGGGCTGTGATGCCACCGACGGTATGGACTAGGTGGCCGGGTGGGATCTCGCTGCTTCGCAAGGTGTTGCATAACTTCAAGGATGGGTACCCGAGTGCGTCTCTCTTACTTTTTTTGACGTGAAGTGTGCCTTACTCGTGTCTTCGTAGGTGATATTTTCGTCGAATTTACCGAGTTGTATGGGCATACGTTCAACTTTAGGATTCTTTTTGAAAATAGGGTACGCTGGAGCAAATCTTAGTTCGCCTGTATCTTAATATTTTGCTCGTTACAGATCTTTACGACCGAGCCCGAATATATCAAGGCGATCCTCGCGACCAAATTTGATAGCTTCAACAAGGGTATGTGGACTACTATTTCTGATCCATACCATTCATTTCCTGACGGTGCTATTGGACAGGGACTCTGTTCCAGTCCCAAGTAAAATCATTGCTCGGTACTGGCGTCTTCAACTCAGACGGTAAATTCCATCCCTTCTCTCTGACAGGCTGCATACTGACGCAAAATTTCATCTCAGGCGAAATGTGGAAGTTCCATCGTGCGATGACTCGTCCCTTCTTTAGCAAGGACCGTATCAGCCACTTCGACATCTTCGATCGACACGCTGCCGACGCGCTCAACCAGCTGAAGACGCGCCTCCGCGAAGGCTACTCCGTCGACATCCAGGACCTCGCATCGCGCTTCACCATGGACTCTGCCACCGAGTTCCTCTTCGCCCAAGACGTGCGATCCCTGGCTGCTGGTTTACCCTATCCTCACTATTCGCCCCTGTCTATCAGCACAGCCGCCGTGATGGTGTTGAATCACCCCGCGAACAGGTTCGCCCGGGCCTTCGATGAGGCCCAGCGGCTTACGTCTCTGAGGGGCCGCAGAGGAATGAATTGGCCGCTGGCTGAGTTTTGGAAGGATAAAGTCCAGAAGCAGATGGTCGTTGTGAGGGGGTTCATCGATCCTATTTTGCGGGCTGCTGTGGAGAGGAAGAGAGAGTCAGCTGATTCGTCGCAAGAGAAGAAGCGATTGGATGGCAATAGGGAAGTCAAAGAAGGAGAGAGCCTGCTGGATCATTTGATTAACTATACTGAAGGTTAGTATTTTGCTCTTTTTTAGTTTTCCTTTACACTCAATGCGACTCCCAGATGAGACGGTATTGCGAGACGAGACCCTCAACATTCTCCTGGCCGGACGAGATACGGTAAGACTGCCAACCCCTCAATGGCGAATATTGATGTTATTCTACTTGCATTAAGACAGCCAACACGATCACCTTTGCCGTATACATGCTGGCCGAACATCCAGAGATCTTTCGTCGTCTCAGGCAAGAAATATTGGAGAAGGTCGGAGAGTCTCGTCGTCCGACCTTCGAGGACATGAAGGACATGAAATACTTGAGGGCTTTCATCAACGAGACCCTGCGCTTCTATCCTGCTGTGTAAGTCCTACCAGTGCTCCGATTATTCACTCAAGCTTATGCTCCATTGGCAGACCTTTCAACGTCAGGACTACCACACAGCCTGTTGTTCTGCCTGGAAAATATGGTGGCCCTCCTCTTTATATTCCTGCGAATACGAAGTTAGTTGGTCCATCGCTTGATTTGTCGTCGAGACAGCATCGAACTTTCTCCAAGGAACGCGTACAGCGTCTTCATGATGCATAGGCGGGATGACCTTTGGGGCCCTGATGGTAAGTCGCTATCGATAAATTTGCGCACTAACAAAATCTGAATATTTCTCTGCAGCGGACGATTTCGATCCAGACCGTTTCCTGGACGAACGGCTGAAGAAATACCTTACTCCCAACCCGTTCATTTTCCTGCCCTTTAATGCTGGCCCACGCATCTGTCTTGGACAGCAATTCGCCTACCACGAGACATCGTTCTTCCTCATCCGTCTCCTGCAGCAGTTTTCCGGGATTGAGCACATTGTCGAGGCCCAGCCACCTGCATCGCGTCCACCCGCCTCATGGAAGGGTGCGGAGGGAACCAAAGGTCGCGATAATGTCCGCCTCAAAACCTATCTGACGATGGCTGCGAGAGATGGATGCTGGGTGCGATTGAAGGAAGCAGGTGGAGAGCTTTAAGATGTCGAGAGTCCAGGTGCAGACATGATAGGGATCCGAAAAGCTTGAGAATTATTTGTCGTATACTATCCATTGTTTTATATTTTTTCTATTGTGTATTCTACTAGTCTATTGCACATGAAGATGCGTCTCTGAGGCCGCGGGCAACTTTTGTGGGTCCACGGCTACCGGCCCGGGTGTGCGAAAGCCAATTAAAGATTGTTGCCGCGAGGCGACGGTTGTCCGACTTCCACCCTCCTCGAGGGACAGCATCTGCCTTCATTTTTGAGTCCTGTCTGCGATAACAGCAAAAAGGGGTCCTAAGGCGGCAGTAGAGTCTAGGAGGCCTCGAATCTGACTAAAGCACTGCTGAGTCCTGACAGTCTCTCACAGTCACGGCCTGGAAGTGTTGACAGCACAACCGCAGAGCCGTCGTCTTTACCTGTGCAGGATTCTACTCATAGACCTGCGGTGAGCACATAACGTACTTTTGGTGGGTTGACCGCTGATGCATTGCAGACCATGAGGCTACCAGACATGGACGACGTTTGGGACACGGTGAAATTCAAATTACACCCCTTCACCCTGGGTATTCGCTTGAGGGTATCGTTGATAAAGATTAAGGTGAAGAATGCGAAGAAGAAGGCGGTGGAAACAAAGAGAAAAGGCGTACTCGCTGCCAGGAATCGTATTTTGCCCGCTATACCAGGCATCTCTAAGCTGGAACTCCCTCCTTCCCCAGCCCCCGACCTTCTCCTCAGCAATGATCCACCCAGCGACCAGAAAGCGACCATCATCCATGCCGTCATCTCCCAAGCGAAGAAGGAACAGACGAGGTTGCAGACGAAGTTGGACGAGAGGACAGCCAGGGGCTCTCCCAATCGGACGTGGATGGCAGTTACACAGCACAAAATCGAGAGAGCGACCGAGTTCGTCAGGCAGCACGAAGCCCTCGTGTCGCCCTTGCGACGTATGCCCCCGGAGATCCTCCAGGAGATATTCCTATGGTTCGTCTCGACACGGCCGCACACCCGATGGACGATCTCTCGCGACATCCCATGGACCCTCGCCCAGGTCTGCCAGACATGGAGGGACAATGCGCTCGCTCTATCGTCCCTCTGGAGCCATCTTCCGACTGTGGACCTCACGCGATCGGATTCACGAGCGCGTACGCGAGTGCAGGTCGATTGCCTGACAGAGCTCATACGGCGCTCCAAGACTGCCCCACTCGACATCTACCTCTTCGCACTCGGCTACGACGGCGGCTCTCACCCCGTCATCGAGCTCCTCGCCAAGCACTGCGAGCGATGGCAAGTTGTGACGATCAAGATCAACCTCACTACTCTCGTCGCCCTGCGGAGGGTCAAGGGTCGTCTGCCGCAGCTCAAGACGCTCAATCTCTACCTGACGGGGTACGACGATGGTCTACCGCCCATTGACATGTTCGAGGGTGCGCCACAGCTCCGCCAGGTCGACGTAGGCGGCCCTTTCCTGGCGGAGCTTGCGCTGCCGTTCTCCCAGCTCGCACATTACAAGGACAAGATTCGGATGCGCAACTCGATCACCCGCGTCGTCACTGCGGCCAACTCCCTGGAAGCCTTGACCATCATGGAGCTTTGCGAATCGTCAGATACGGCCGCGATCCCCCCAGTCACGCTGCCGCACCTCGTCAAACTGCAGGTCAAGTTCTGCTGCACCCGCCCGCAGTTCCTCAATAACCTGAGCCTGCCCAGCATCGAGGAGATCAGGATGGTGTCGTTCCATGACGAGGCGGAGCTCATCCCTAGTCTGGTGAATATAATACGTAATTCGGGCCCTGGACCGAGTCCGTTGAAGATCCTGCGGTTCAGGACGCAAGGCGTACAAGCGGGGCAATTATCGGTGTTGTTGCAGCTAACGCCTGCTCTGGAGACGCTCGACATGCCCATCCCGCCACCAGAGGATCTTGCATTACTCATGCAGGGCGGTATTATCCCCCGTCTCGAGAAGTGCGAGTTCTTCGTCAACGACTTCACCCACTCCGCAGCAGACGACGAAACGACGAAGGCGCTGGAACTCCTAGCTTCGTCGAGGTGCGAGATGTCCTCCGATCCCGCTTCTCTCTCTACAGAATGCAGCCGCATCAAGAAATTCTGTCTCCACTTTGACCGCCCAAGGCTAATACAGGCTCAGTTGGCGTTGCTCGAGGGATGGGAACGAACTGGTGGGAAGGAATTGGTGCACTTCAAGAATCAGATATTCAGCGAGATACCTGAGCTTGAATGCAGGCGACCTCGGCGAGCAAGGAAGTTCGATCGACGGTGGGTTGATAGAGTGTTGGGTCTCCTCGAGAACATCGAAAATTACAAGGTCAACCGGGTCGGAGATGTTTACGTGAGTCAATGGTCATTTCGAACTTGAGTGGTGCTAACTGCCTATGCATGTAGACTTCTGAGCTCCATCTGGTTTTGAAAATATTGACCGAGCGGCAGTTTCCAGGGGACGATAAGTGCCTGTTCCGCCAACGAGCAACTACGATTTTGAAGAAGTGGGAACCGTTATTTGAACAAAGCCTATCCTCACGTCATTGGGTGATGAAAGGCGAATATTCTCTGGTTTATATCTCGGAAAACGATGGTACGTGCCAGACCCATCGTCGTCGGTAGCCCTCTCATAATTCCCCTTTTTCCAGCCATCCGCACTGGGCCGGATGCCCTCAAAAATATCGTCTATGGAATTGAAGATGGTGCATCTTGTCGGTCTGCCTTTTGGCCCTTTTACATGCACTGACCACGTTCCTCTCTCCTTGCTCTGTTCTTCTGCCTTCTGCTACCCGACCTGCAGATACCCGACTCCACTACCCCGCATTCCTCGATTTCTAGCTCATACCTCGCTGTCACGGCATCGAAATACCTCCAACTACCCTACTAAAAATCTTTGTATACTGATGATGATCGCTTCCATTCGACCTGGCCTCCATTTCCATCGCAAAAATTTAGACCTCCTGTGTACTAATACCTCGATTGGCATTCAAGTTCTTCCTCGTGTATTCCTCCCCTCATCGTTTTCTTGTACGCATCCCTGTATCGTATTTGACCCATCCTGCGTAGACGGTTAAGTTTTGACAAATGGACATTGTAAACTTCCACATGCCAAACTCGCGGTGGTTTTACTTCATCGATGTCCTCAACCAGCTTCATCGCCTTACCCTTGGCAATCTCTTGAAGATTTTCTGTTTTCTGAGATGATGATCCATCGATTTTGTCGATTGACCTCTACAGAAGCGGAAGATGGATCTTCAAACTATGCACCGGATCTTGAGTTTATTAACCTTTTATTAAACAGTGGCGTAGGACGTTGCTCAAGAAGAGTGTCCACGAAAAAAGAATGGCTCTAGGACGAGGATCCAGCTGCTTTGTCAGTCGCGCAATAAAGCTGACGAATAGGACCGAGTTAAAATGCTGTGGTCCAAATTTGGCAGGGAGAAATGTAGAACTACAACAAAACAGGTATTGGGTGAGACTCAGGAGGGCCGGCGGAGAGGGAGAAGACTCGGAGGCGACTCGGACACAGCCCCTCAGCCACAGTTGACCAAATAAGGCAGGAGTCATAAGCCTGCCCTTATGCAATCGGATAAGCGAAAGAGAGAATAAGACGTCGCTGCTGCTCACCTTCGCCCATCACCTTGTCCATTCCGGAGCACGTCAAGGTATGTTTTCCTCGTCACCGTCGCCAAGACGCCGCAGCCTCGCAGCTCGTAGTGCTGACAGTTTTCCCCCATTCTTGCTACCCTGCTGCGCATTTGCATTGTTATAAATTGGTCCACCTCGCAGTTCGCATCATCCACCCCACACCTCAACTTTTCTCTTCACCGTAACGAATAACAGCCATGGAAGAAGAAGTCGCAGCGCTCGTACGTACCGTATTACCGTGAGGGATGCCAGGCAAGCCCTAAATGAGCGTATAGGTTATCGATAATGGTTCCGGCATGTGCAAGGCTGGCTGTACGTGTCTTCCTCCAGCGTTTATCATTTTATGCTGATCAGGCTTCCTCTATAGTTGCTGGTAATGATAATCCGCTCGATTCTAGCGTTAAGAGCCGCAGCTGACGTGTCTGAAGGTGACGATGCTCCCCGTGCTGTCTTCCCGTAAGTCGCGCATCATCACTTCAGAATCGATGTTCAGATCGCTGACAAGTTGCTTCCAGTTCCATTGTCGGCCGTCCTCGTCACCAGGGTGTTATGGTTGGTATGGGTCAGAAGGACTCCTACGTTGGGTAAGCCCCTGAGACATGCAAAATTTCCCTCCATTCTGAACGCCAGTGCGCAGTGATGAAGCCCAATCGAAGCGTGGTGTTCTCACCTTGAAGTACCCCATCGAGCACGGTATCGTCACCAACTGGGACGACATGGAGAAGATCTGGCACCACACCTTCTACAACGAACTTCGTGTCGCACCTGAGGAGCACCCGGTCCTCTTGACCGAAGCCCCTCTCAACCCCAAGGCTAACCGTGAAAAGATGACCCAGATCATGTTTGAGACGTTCAATGCCCCCGCCTTCTATGTTGCCATCCAGGCCGTGCTCTCCCTCTACGCCTCTGGACGAACAACCGGTATTGTGCTAGACTCAGGAGATGGTGTTACCCACACCGTGCCCATCTACGAGGGGTTCGCTCTCCCTCACGCCATTCTCCGTCTTGATCTCGCTGGTCGCGATCTCACTGATTTCCTGATCAAGAACTTGATGGAGCGCGGCTACCCCTTCACCACCACTGCCGAGCGTGAAATCGTCCGTGACATCAAGGAGAAGCTGTGCTACGTCGCTCTCGACTTCGAGCAGGAGTTGCAGACCGCTGCTCAGTCCTCTGCCCTTGAGAAGAGCTACGAGCTTCCTGATGGTCAGGTCATCACCATCGGTAACGAGCGGTACGTGGTACTCGTCCTTATCAGGATCGACGGTTCTAAATTTGGCATTTAAGGTTCCGTGCCCCCGAAGCTCTCTTCCAGCCAGCCTTCCTTTCTCTCGAAGCCGCCGGTATCCACGAGACCACGTAAGTGATCCGAATCTTCTGTTTTCCCCACGTCGTAACGATTTTCGTCTCAGTTACAACTCGATCTTCAAGTGCGATCTCGATATCCGTCGCGACCTTTACGGCAACGTCGTCCTTTCCGGAGGAACCACCATGTTCCCTGGTATCTCTGACCGTATGCAGAAGGAGCTGACTGCCCTGTCACCCTCGAGCGTGAAGGTCAAGATCGTCGCTCCTCCTGAGCGAAAGTACTCCGTGTGGATTGGTGGATCCATCTTGGCCTCCCTCAGCACCTTCCAAAACCTCTGGTGCTCCAAGCAGGAGTACGACGAGTCCGGCCCTGGTATCGTGCACCGCAGTGCGTATCCTCTCTTTCCCCTTTGCCTTCCTGCGATGGCTGATAGATTTTTGTCCTACCTCCAGAGTGCTTCTAAACGACCTAATGACAAACGACAAGAAATCCTTAATTACGTTCCGTGTTCGCGATTGTTTGCGGTGGCAGGAGTCACTTATGTCGATGATAGAAGTGGGGATGGTACTCGTTGGGCGATCGTGACGCGTGCTCTTTTGTTCTTGGCTTCGTACTATCCCTCGTTGACTTTATCGAATACATTGTTCATGTTAATTCCCGCCTAGTTCAAGCGTCTCTCTTTGTTCTATGTGTGTTCTCTTGAGATGCAATGCCTTTGACTAAACCTTGTCCTCAGGTTCTGGACCTCGTGCGATGCCGTAAAGGCTTTGTTGCCTTTCAATCATCTCTTTTGCTTCTCGCCATGTCGGAAACCTACATATGCTCTGCGTCCAGAGAGCCGTATCGCCTCCTTAGGTCCCTCAGATCATCTTCCTCTCGAAGCATCGGTCCACACTGCAACCCTTCTACCCACCCACAATGACGAACGCCAAGTCGTTGAACTCCCCCGTTCCCCATCTTCTGCACTCAAACAAGTCCCCGTCAAAAGCGGAGGCTGCGCTCGTTCACACTACGATTGCTGACGCCGAGCAGCAACTCCTCAGGATGCGAGGAGCCTTTCAAGCAGCAGGCGCACGACGATCAAAAATGCGGAAACGACTGGAACAAAAGGCCACTTTTGTCGAGCAACACAAGGCTATTCTCTCCCCCGTTCGTTGTATTCCCATGGAAGTCCTAGAGCAGATTTTCTTCTGGGTCGCCGACGATCTGGATCCTATCCCTCTCCTCCCCAGCGCCGTGCCTTGGATGCTCGGCCACATATGCCGTTGGTGGAGGGCGTGCGCGTTAGGGATACCCAAACTGTGGATTAATCTGCCAGCGATCAAGATAAAATCCAAGCGAAGAACGGATGACTACAGAACAGCGCTCCAGGTCGGCGCACTCTGGGAGCAGCTCAAGCGCTCAAATCCTCTGCCCATCAGATTTATCCTCATTATCAGCCCCTCCAATGACGGACTTCAAGAGCTACGACACCCTCTAATTGACGTCTTGACTGATCAGGCGGAACGATGGCAGGACGTTGAGATTTGGGGCGAGTTTCACTCACTGACCGCCTTAGAGGACGTTCGGGGCAGGCTCCAGGGTCTCAAGGCGTTGACGCTTGACCTCGAGCCTTCACTAGATTGCAGAAAACTCGATATATTCGCGGAGGCACCCCAGCTTCAGCATGTCGAGTGCCGTGGAGCGTTTGTCGGGAAGATACTTTGGCCCTCAAATCAGTTGCGTTCCTATGAAGACAGCACGACAAATCTTACCGTCACAGGCGCCTACGAAATGCTCCGGAAAGCCTCGTCTCTCAAAAGGCTCGAAATCTATGATCTGGCTAATCCAACAGTCCCCACTTCGACACTGTCTTCCCTCACCGTACTCCAAGTCAGATTCACTTGCATCCGTCCGGCCGAATTTTTGAACAATTTAACACTCCCAGCTCTCGAAGACCTCGACCTCGACTGGTCAGAGTGTAAAGACCATGATGGGACCATGTTTTTCGCTCTGCGCGCCATCTTATCAAGGTCAGAAGTGCCTTCCTGCCTCAAATCTCTTCGCTTGCGAGCAGGCGAGATGGTCGACGGCGCACTTTCCCCCGTCCTCCAGCTTACGCCTTCCTTGGAAACGTTGGATGTTACTATGCCCTTTGGCAATGATGTCGAGCTACTGGCCCATCTTGAGCATAGAAAACCTGTCCTTGTTCCTCGACTGAAATCTCTCGAATTCTTCATCCCCAAGGATATACCGAGGGATCTAGTTCCCATCCCAAAAATCAAGCAGCTCATCGAGAACCGCTGCAGCGATTGGGATGGTATTCTCAGCAACTACGTCCACCTGGAGTACTTGCTCATTCGCTGTGTCGACCGTCAGCACGCGATCTCGTGGCAAGTGATACTTGAGGGGTGGGTCTCAGACAGTCCCGGTGACGCCACCATGTGGTTCATTTTGAATAACAACCTCGCCAGGGCGTTGCCTCCCGAGCTTGCAGAAGGAGAGAATTCGCGTCGAGGATACCACCAGAGGGAGATTGTTGACGAAAATATACTCGATGCTATGGAGTCAATCAAGATAAAGACAAAGGATATACAGAACGTCTATGTGAGGTTTTCGATTTTCTGCGGGATCGCTGGATCACTGACTTCGCCGCAAGGGTTCCTCGATCCACCACACTCTCTATAGGCTGGCCTACACGACCGCGGATCCACATCATCGTCTTAAAAAATGGGCTGCAGGTGTCCTAAAAAAGTGGGAACCGTTGTTCAAGAAATCAGCTTCCAAGTGTAAGTGGATGCTCCACGGCGTCAGCCTGGTTTACATCACCGACAGCAACCGTAAGTTATGTTTTATCCTTCACTGGCTTGTTACTTTATGATGGAAATTTTTCCAGCCATCCGATACACTGCGGATTCAAGTTTTTGGCGTAGGATGATTTTTGGGACTACCGAAGCGCCTTACTAAGTCTCGCGCCTGTAGTTATTTGTGTGATTCATTTTGTTCAATTCCGTCAAGTGTGTTCAATCTCATACTGCTACATCAATTTTACTCAGAACGATGAGGATTGCTCCTATGAGTGCTGTCATTTTAATTTTTCTCAATGTCTGAAGTAGCCCCTAGTCATTGCTGATCTACCGGGCCGAACTTGAAGGAGCACGTGAGAACTAATACTCAGTGACTTTGGTCCTTCTCTCCGCCACCACATGTACGGCTCACGGATTGCGGGAAACGCCAGTTAATTCCTACACATTACATGAATCTGTGGTCGCTTCTTTCATTTTTCGAGGACAATCCTCAATCGAGCTCGTCAAGCTTTTGGACGATCATGACGAGTATTCTGCATTCGGTGACGCGGTACTATGCGCAGCAACCTGTGAAGTATCTCTCCGTACGTCATTTCCTCTTTACATTGGCATTAACACCAGAAAAAGCTCGTCCACGCGGCCTTTGTGCCTTGCCCTTGGAGGTAATTATCGAGATCATGAAGGAGCTGGAATGGAGGGATCTTCTGCGTATTCGTCAAGTGAGTAACGGTTATACACAATTGGACACCATCTGGATTGACAAGTCGTAGACTTGTAAGAGTCTGTGCGACGCGTCGAAGGCGCGACCGGTATGGCTCAACCTTTTCAAGCCGTGTCCAGAACGCCCTCTCTTTCCCCTCCAAGCGGAAGGTCCACTAGAGAATTACAGCTCATCTCGACTGGAATACATGATACTCCGATGGAAACGTGCAGAACGAAGCTATGCAATGAATGGCGAAGACGTCGACGTACAGGGGATTGAGATTGCACTCGACGAAGACCAGGCTGTTGTGGCTATGCACCTCGTGAAAGGTGGCCGCTGGCTGCTCCTCGTCTTGTACAATGGCTCGATACAATGCTGTGATCTTGAAGGCAAAAATCCCAGCCCCAAGGCTCTCATCCCACATCCCTTCGACTCCGATAACACGACCGCCGGTGTCCATTTTTCATTCGACATGGTTTCGACCACGCCGACTCTCACATTCAACATTGCACTGGGATTTCGTGATGGGCTGTCGGATGACGCTATCAACTTCCTTCAAGTTTGGCAAGTCTCCGTCATTCTCGATGAGCAGGGCAATGGCATGGATCTCCGAACGTGCCTTCTCTCCTCCTTTGTTCAAAAAATTGGCGGCAGCGTACACGCTATCGCGATATCTGGGCCGCATCTTGCTTATGCGTTTGTACCCCGGGGCCAAACCCTTCCAAGATTCATATTTGTTGTCGATTGGTCGTCTGTGAATGGGAAGATGACACAGTTTCCTCAACGAATAGCCCCCGTCGAATTCATTCCGGTAATGCCAAGACTATACTTTGCAGAGTTTGTGCTGATGATTTCCAGGATAGACTGTCTTTCCTTCCAGACCATAAGCTGCTCTCGATCTCTTTCCAGAAATTCTCCCTCCTCGATTGGCGCTCTCTCGAAGAAGCAAGTATTTCTTTGACGAGCGCTTTAGCTCCGGTAGTGTTTTTGTGGACGCACAGGATGAATTACTGGAGGAAATCTTTCTTTCCCCATTTCTGTGCCGACAGTACGCGATTTGTCTTTGAAAGTGAGAGGTTTTTGCATGGTCTTATCATCGAGCATGCCACCGCTGAAGGCAATCCCGTGAAAGAGCCATATATTGTTGAGTTAATGGAGTATCCGGAGGAATGGCTCCAAACCACTGCCCCTCGTCGGCTCCTTGGGCATAATTACGGGTTTGGTTTGGCTGGTCACCCTGGACTGACTATTCTTCGTTATTCTTGGCCTGGTGAACAGCACATAGAGTTCCCGTCCATATCTTTCCCTGGGACATCTGTGAAGAGGTTCGATGTTCGTAATTGGCAAGGCGCTCCTCCCTGCGTTGATCTTGGGACTGGGCGTGTAGTTTTTGTGGGTAGTTTTCGTGGTCGTCTACTGGTCTTGGATATCACTTGCTAGTACACCAATCCAGCCTGGTTAGGCTCGTTTCTCTAGTCCACGACTCCCGAAAACCTTGCACATTTGAGTGCGATTCATAAAAAAAACTATACTATTACCACATCATGGTACATGTGCATTATGTAAAATAATAATGAGTCGAATTCATGATACAAGATTCATATGTCTTGTCTGGTATCAAAATACGGCAAAAGGTACCTAATCCTCAGGCCTCAGGTGTAAATGCCGCCTACGTAAACCTAATTCTCCCTCTCTCCACTAGTTTTCCCTCCCACAATTTATATTGCGGTGCTCTTACGCAGTCCGCATACCTTCAGTACAAAACCAGAGCAATCTACCACTTCAGCTAGCCCCTAAACTGAATTGGTAGTAGCCGGGTCGTCTGTCCCGAAGAGCACGTGAGGGCGGTTGGAAATGGATTCAACTCCTTTGAATTCATCACCATTCGCTGCCACCGCATGTACAACTCTTGAATCGAAGAAAATACGCTCAAAGTCGAGTAATTCCTCCACTGTCGATGAATATCTGGTCACTCCTTCCACTTATCGAGTCTGATTTTCGATCGAACTGGTCAACCGTTTGGACGGTCATGGCCAGCATTCTACAATCGATGACGCGTTATGCACAGCTACCTGTGAAATACTTCTCTGTACGTTATTTCTTTATATATATCGAAATGGAAGCTAAAGATCACTAGCTCTACCTAGGAAACCCTCAGCCACGCGGTCTTGCTGCTTTGCCTTTGGAGTTGCTCACTGAGATCATGAAGGAGTTGGAATGGAGGGATATTCTGTACGTTCGTCAAGTAAGTAATCGCTCTAACACAATTGGATACCCTGTGGACTGACAATTCATAGACTTGCAGGCGCCTATCTGACGCTTCAAAGGCACGGCCCGTGTGGCTCAACCTCTTCAAGACGTATTCAGAGCACCTTCTGTTCCCCCTCCAACTGGAGGGTCCGCTGGAGAACTACAGTGCATCTCAGCTGGAAGATATGATACTTCGGTGGAAACGCGCGGAGCGGAGCTATGCGATGGACAGCGAAATAGTTGACGGTCGGGAGATTGAGATTGCTCTCGACGAAGACCAACATGTCAACATCATGCATCTTGTGAAGGGTGGTCGCTGGCTGCTCCTCGTCTTATCCAACGGGTCTATACGATACTGTGACCTCGAGTGCGAAGACGTTGTATCCCATCCTCTCGTTCCACACCCGTTTAACAACGACGAGACGGAGGCGATCGTCCGGTTTTCAATCGACATGCTCTCGACTCCAACCCTGACATTCAATATCGCAATCGCATTTCGGGATGTGATTTCAGATGAAGCTATCAATTTTCTGCAAGTCTGGCAGGTGTCTGTCGTGCTCGATGGACAGGGAAGAGGAATGGAGTTGCAATCCTGCCTTCTTTCCTTCTTCGTCCAGAGTTCTGGCGGTCAGGTACCTTCCCTATCGATATCTGGCCAACGCCTTGCCTATTCCTTTGTAACACTCGATCGAAGACTCCCATGCTATGTCTTCGTCGTTCATTGGCCGTCTGTGGATTCATTAACGACCCCGTTTCCTCAACGAATGTTCACCGTACCTGTTGGAATGGCGAGTTTATTATTTATCACACTCGGCAATTGATCTGACTGTTTGCAGGGTGAAGTATGTTTACTGCCAGATCACAAGTTACTCTTAGCCTCCTCCCAGTACTTTCACCTCCTTGACTGGATGTCTGTTGATGAATCGACAACGCCGTTGTCCAGTACCATGGCACCGGCTGATTTCTTATGGTCTCACCGAGTTGGCTACTGGAACTGCATTCTCGGCGACGCTTTCGCCTGCGTCAATAGTACGCGCTTTGTGTTCGAATGTGACGGTATCATCCGTGGACTCGTCATCGAGCATCCCAGCCCGAATTGCGGTCATGTGAACGAGCCGTATTTCGTCAAACTGATGGAATACCCAGAGACGTGGGATAAGGTCCGGAAACCCTGTCGTGTCCTTGGTTATAACCACGCCTTCGGCCTGGGAGGTGATCGCGGGTTGACTATTCTACGGTACTCCTGGCCTGGGGAACCTCGGCCAGACTTTCCTTCTGTTTCCCTCCCCGCCGTGTTCGTGAAAATGTTTGACAGCTATAGTTGGGATGGTGCCGGCCCTTGCATTGATCTCGGGACTGGGCGTGTAGTTGCTCTAGCCACATTTCGTAATCGTCTACTCTTCTTCGATATTCCTTCCACAAAGCAGCATGTTCAATTACCCTAATTTCGTATACCTTTCAGTAGAGAGCCTTACTCGTGAATTGAGTTGATTCATTACACTAGACAGAATGCTTATATATTCACGATTTGATTTAGAGTAGAGTTAACCTAATGCATCAACCGGGTTTGTACCACGTCTCCATCTTCTTTGCAAGTTCACTAGGGGCTGTGATGGCCTACAGAAGGCAGTCAGCAGGATAGGCGTCCTAAATTTAGCACTAGAAACCCACCCAGAATGTCAAAGCAGTGAAGATGTTCTTCAAATCTGCTTCCTTGATCTTCTTCTCGCTGAAAGACATGGCAGGCGCCCTGTAGCTGGTTGTTTGCTGACACCCCTGTGTTCGAACAATGACGCCGAAGAACCACTGTATGCCGTCAGTCAGGCACCATGGTAAGGCGGCGGTTCTGACAGAAATTAACTAAATGACGATGGCAATAAAGGGATGCAAAACGTATTCACCCTGGTTTGTTCCCCGCCGTCATCTCGAGACTGAGAAATAAACAGATAATTAGAAGTGCACGCCCAAATGCAACAGCTCACAGAGCTTACCAGGCTAGCGCCTCGGCCAAGACTTGTGGCACATGGGACTCCAATGAAGAAGCTCCTTCTGCTGCGGGGTCTCCCTTCTTAGCCTCAATGACCAGGAAGTTCAAGAAACCTTCGGAACTTGTCGTTTTCCACAGATGAGTATTGAGTAAACCCCGGAAGTTTCTTGCGCGTAAATACTTGTCAGCTGTATATTTACACAATCGGAGGGAGGAAGTGCTGAGCGAGTCTGGAAGCTATTTTTTGTGGACGACACGCACCGTGATCGGCTTTCTTGCCTATCATCTGCACTCGTAATGGGTCGCTGATAAGACTCCCGGCGTAGTCGACAGAACCAGTCAAGATAGTCATCGAGTTTCCACAAGATACCTTTACAGGCTGAGCATTTTTCCCTGCGGCACTGGAGATTGTGAGCTCCGGATGTATGAAAAGGCGTAGGCGCTTCTTCTTCATAAATTTAACCAATTTTCTGATCTGGGTGTCGATGAGCCACCTCGACCGCGCCTCAGGCTAAATGGAAGTGTTCAGTTCAGTTATGAAGTTCCTTGAACAAGAGTAACTCACAATTGTCCCAACCGCATCCAGACTTTCCTCCGTGTCCTCACAGATGCTGTCTCGATGTAACCCCCAAAAGGTATCAAGCTCAGAACAGGCAGTTGGGGGAAGTGTATCTCTAACATTCGAGGAGATAGAGTGAGTAAGCGTAATCGATATGAGTCCCAGGCGATTATAATGCTCGGCTCGAACTCTAGAGAAGGAGATCGCCTTGGTGAAGCGATGGCCCGTCAGATATCAGCCAGATTACACGAGTAAGAATCAACACACTATGACAGAAAAACCCTGTGTATCCGCATGAGCCTCCTTCTCCTCCTGAATAATGTCAAGAGTCTGAATAGACTCCTCTGCTATGGCTGCTATGGCTTCGCCCTGCTCAATCTGCTCCATCAAGGGGACCGTGACGGTGAATCTGGTCTTGACCCTTTCGAACTCGGTTCGCATGTCGACTTCTTTGACAAGTTTCCGAAAATCTACATCTTCGGTGTCTGAATATATTTCGCCGATGCTGATGAAGCGGCGCTTTTTCCGAGTCGTCGCCGGTCCATGGAGGTCTTGAGGTAGGTTCGGGCGGCCGGGGGTGGCCCCGTCGACACAAGCATCCTTCGTCATGCCTGATCACAGGAGGAGAAAATAGACGGGAGGAACCAGAAGAGGGGGATAGAGGAGCGCTCTGTCTCCTACCTATCTCGCATCGCTCCTTTAAATCACACAGGAGACACAGGCACGCTTGCAACGAGGACGAGCCGACAAATGCGGCAAGTGGTACTTAGGATGCACGGAACAAAGTGCAGCCTCCTCGTTCCAAGCGAATAGAGGAGTGGAAGGTTATAATTTATCAAAAAAGCCCATCAAGACCGCACCTTCACCTTGCTATCAGAGATGAAGACCAAATCTGCTATGCCGATCCGCGTGCCCAAAGAGCCACAAGCGGATAGATGGAAGAGAGGAGATACGATAAGGAGACACGATATCATTAGAATAACAACGGTGATTGACTGATAATATCTGGGGGATGAATGACTTTGCCCGCCTCCGAACAATATTGCAATGGCGGCTTTGCTTACACGTGTTCTGTAAGATTCCGCCCGAAAGATACACGCCTGAGCAGGGAGGACCATTTTCTCCCCCCATCTGCCCTACGAGGTTAGATTGCAGCCACCAACGATAATCCGATCTTCACTGTTTATCTATCCCTCCCTGTCTACGTTCATCAAAACACGTTTTGGGGGGTTGGCCGGTGTCATTGAACACCGGCGATTTCAGTCTTCTCCTTCTTCTCCTGTCAACCTCAAGTCATTCCGTATTATCCTCCATACTTGCGTTCTAACTTCTGAGCACTAGGGCTTCATGATCAGGAAGCCAAAGGGCAGAGTAAAATAGGAATTGTGGCGCATCTGATTCATTCGGTTTGCATAATGAGTTTGTACTTGTTGTTCCATCCGGCATCTCTTCCAGCTTCCATCATCGTCGCTGTTGGTGTACACGAGGCAACGCACCCAACACGACACCAGATGGGGCCACCAAACACATCAAGACCCGACACCCCACCGCTATCCTCTTTGCCCACCGCGTTCCCAAGCGAAACATGTCTCCGACGCGGTCTCTGTCCGGTAACCTCCCTGCGCAAACAGGGGCCCGAGGCACTCGAAAGTCATTCGTTGTACTATGAACAACACGGGCCGCCAAACGCGGCGACGAAGGTCGTATTTATCATGGGCCTGAACTCAAGCAGCTTCTCGTGGGGTCCGCAAGTGCGCTACTTTGGGAAGGGCGGTGAAGGGGGAGACTGCACGTCGTTGGTGTTTGATAACCGGGGCGTTGGAAACTCTGGGTACCCAAGAGGGCCGTATACGTGAGTCTGTTTGCAGGCAGGGCACGTTTGACTAATGCTCAATGCACTTCCGTGACCACCTTCGCTGAATGCTGCTCCTTGCTTAGGACCTCGGGTATGGCGGAAGATGTCATTTGCTTGTTGGACTACCTGGGGTGGACGGGAGAACGCGAGCTGAATGTTGTTGGTATTAGTCTTGGAGGGATGATTGCGCAAGGTGCGTCGTACTGCGCATGCGGAGTGGATGTTGTCTTTACCAGCCTTTTATCCGTAGAACTCGCATACCGGATACCCCACCGCATCAGTTCGCTAGTCCTGGCAGTGACCACACCGGGCGGACACATCTGGAACAATCTTGCACCTGTATGCCCCTCTCGTCTTGCATACACCCCTCGGAATAACTTATAAACACAGTGGAAAGGCGTCAGATCCCTTGTGACGCTGCTATTCACACCGGACCCGCTCAAGAAGGTGCCGATAGTGCTCGAGATGGTATTTCCACCCAAGTGGCTCGCAGAAAAGGCCGAAACGGATACGCACTGGGAGTATAACGGGAACACAGAAGACAACAAGCTAGGGAAGACCAATCATGACGTGCAGAAGGAGGTACGCTTCAACCACACCTCGTCCTCACACCGAACTCTTTCAACTCATTCTCGAACTACAGGGCTTCCTTTTCCGTGTCTCTATCACCAAACCCCAGCTGCTACTAGGACACATCTCGCAGATGTGTGCGGCCTTGACCCACCACGTCAGCCCTGAGCGACTTGCGTACATCGCGGCCAACATCCCGAAGATTGCCATCGTGACAGGGGACGAGGACAACCTGGTTCATCCGTCAGGGTCTGAACGCATCAAGGCGAGTATGGACCTTGCCCTTCGCGACGATAACGACAAGGAAAGGGTGGAGCTCCTGAAGTGGGAAGGAACAGGTCATGGAATTCATGCCCAACGAGAAATTCCGTTTAATCAGCTCGTGGAGCGATGCGCTAGAGAAGGAAGGAAGAGACTAGATCATGGATGGAAGCCTCGAGATATGCTCGCCTCATAGATCCAGATAAGCTGGAGGGAAAAGGACAAAGGATTAGATTAACAGTGCGTACTAATGTGATTTTCAAACAACAGCTAGCTCGGGGAGAAGAGAAACTAATGCAGAAGGGAGAAATCTAACTTCTACGCAGGGCCTCACGCTTGAGCCCCCGATTTGGGATTCCAGGGACCCGCATCGCTCATCGAGCAGCCTCCAGGGCAGTTGCATGCGCCACCAAACTCTGCAGGCAGGTTCTCGACGGGGATTTGCTTCAACAGCGCATCCTTATAGCTGCCGCCAAGGATATCGATCTTCTTCACCGTGACCTCATCCAACCAAGGCTTGATGACCTGCCAGACGGCGGAGAAGGCCCATGGTGCATTGATGATATAGAACTTGCCCATCGTTTCGGGGTACCTGTCCTGGCCGACTGATGACGCTTGGAAGACGTAGTCCTTGACGCGGTAGAAGTTGGAGAGGGAAACGCCACCGAGGTCGAGGATCGTGCATGACGTTTCGACTGGGTGTCCCACTTGCTTGGAGCACGCAGGCAACCGGTCGTTGAGGAACTTCTCGTATTCGAGGACGAGCCTCTGGAGTTGGCGCTCTTGCGTTGTGGCGGCGTAGAGGGCCTTAATGTCAAGCTTGCCCAGGCGCTCGACGTAGACTGGGCGCCCATCCTGTACGCGGAAATGATGTGTACCGATGAGTCAAGAGTATTGTTGCTCGAAAAACGACAGGGGACCAACCTTGTCCGTTTTGTGGTAATATTGGGGGTAGTACTTGTCGACCTCCGCCTTCTCCTTGAAATCGAAGTTGCTGAGGAAGAGGCGTCAATCGTGTAAGATCGCGAAATAGGGTTGAATGGGGGGCGTACGCAACGATATCGTCTACCCCAAAGTCTTTCCTCCACTTCTCGGCATTGAGCAGCATCTCCTTCGTTTTGACGAGATCAAACTTCCGTGCTCGAAGGAATCTACATCATTCAGCAGATGAGTACAGGAGCTACGCATCATAAAGACCAATAGAACAGGAGAAAATGAAAAGAAGGACATGAGCATCTGTCACAGAAGTCTACCAGATAGTCGCGCAGGATGTAAGGGTTCAGTGAATAGATGGATCCTCGAATCATCGTCAAATCATCCCCAATCACGATGTCGCAGAATTGCAGAACGAACAGGGGCCTCCACACACGGATCTGCTGCGCGCTTCGCTGAGGCGATGCCAACAGCCACGTTTCCAGAGGAGTATACCGACCATGGAAGCCATTTCAGCATGAACTCCCTGCCCAAAATTCGAACATAGAACGCCATCGAACAGCGAAACAGCGACCAAATGAACGAGATACGCACCTGAGGAGCATCGCGTCATCCATCCTCTTCTCGTCAAAGTGCCCCTCCTCCTTCAGTTCCTTCTTGAGCTTCTCTAGCGTGTGGAGCTGTATCATCGTCAGGTTCCCCAGGCGCCCAGGCAACGGCTGGTAATTGGGGTCGGTGACACCCTCAGGCATCGGTGAGGCGCTCGCTTGTTGCGGCACAGGAGTCGACATCGCAGGTGGTGTAGGTTGGGGTTTATCGTCAACGTTTGCGTCGGGAGAAATAAAGGGGTAACGGCGTCTCGGCTCTTGAAATTTATGGGCTGGGATGCTTGGGTATCAGAGTGTCGTGGGCAATGAGGACGGGGATGGTTGTAGTTAGGAGAGAGAGCAGGTGGCCTCGTTGATCGATTTGTTGGATACGTTTATTATTGGCGGCGGCGGTGCTGCTGCGATGCGAGACAAGATAGATAAGATCACAACACAAATCAATCATGCAATTTGCAACCAGATTATTGGCGATCGTACGAATGGCTTACAACTTACTGAACGAATTGAAGTACACTGGCTGGTAGTCTCGTAGACCGGGGTCCAGAGATCCAGAGGTAAACACGGGTATCCCTACAGTATATACCTCAGAAGATGGCGCGAAAGCCAAGCGACCAGGGTCTCGCGCGCGTCGAAAGGCGGTCGAAAATATAGAGACCATCGGATTCTCCAACTCCTATCCACGACGAACTCCGTAGCGCTGCTTCGCAGCATACTTCTGCCATCTCTGGATATCTTCCCGCTCAAGGAGGAGCTCGACAGTATAGAGATTTCGTGCGAGATCCTCACAGCTTGCAACCTGGTGGACCACGCTGTGGCATGGCCTGAAAAGGGCTGGACATAAGTCCGCTATTAACAAGACAATGGAGTACCTGCAAAGCCACGCCACCGAATTTAGCATAGATTCGGGATGCCAACCCTTCTTCAGTACCTTCGCGTGAACCGATTTCGGGATGAGGTGGTGGTACGTCAGTGGGACCTCCCGCTGGCATATCTCGCACTCCTTCGTCCGTGTCAAACTCCACACCGGGGGCGGTGCGCACGCTTGCACCACATACTCCACCAGTGCCTTCCGTAAGAACCTCAAGGCCTCATTATCATCTGAGACGATCCCATATGAGACGAGGCTCTCGATGAAGGCTGCTGATGTAGAATCCAATGAGAGGGCATCCTCGGACTCTACGTCTGGTATCGATTGATAGAGCGAGTCTCTACCCTCGTATGTGGCTTCCTTGAGGATAGACGGAAGTGTTGGCCAAGCTTCGGTAGTCAGGTAGGTAACAAAGTCGTCCAGGGCGGAGTCGCTTGCGTCATCAGCGCCACCACCAACGGTTTGGTATTGGAGTATCCGCCGTGCCAAACAGTCCTTGAACAAGTAGAATTGGCAAGTGCTGGATATCGATGTTGACGAGCGCATTGGGAAAAAGGTGTGGTGGAGCTGGAATTCGTTCGAGAGTGACAAGGAAAAAGACAGATGACTAGGGAGTTGTCGACAGTCGGTGCCGAATTGGTCTGCCTCGAGTCTCGTACGGAGAATCCTGAATCTGATAGTATATGATGGGGACCCTTGCGCTATAATTCACGAAGAGTTTGAAAACGCAGGTGGAAAGTTCATGCGCTTTCTAAGAACTGACCGTCGCAGACCGTCTTATCTTATCAGTTATTCTACTTGATTCAATAGAAGTACACGATCTCGAAGTGCGGCTAGAACCACCACACGCCCAGTCCCCGAATTTACGCAAGGGACAGAACCATCCCAACTATAGCTGTCAAACAGTTTCACAAAGGTTCCAGGGAAGGGGACAGACGAAGTGTTTGGCAGGTCAGGCCTCAGGAGTAACGCAGAATAGTCAAACCACGATCGCCACCGAGACCGAACACTTAGTTACTTACGTCCAAGGACCCGACGGTTTCATGACCTCATTCTATGTCTCTGGATATTCCACCAGCGTAACAAGGACCAGGAAAGCTTCGCTGAGACCATGGTGTTGGACAATGACACCGCCGCTTCCTCAGTAGACATCCGATCGAGGAGGTGGAAATGTTGGGGGGACGTCAAGAACAACTTGTGATCCGGCAGTAAATGTACTTCCCCTGCCAACAATTAGAACACTTGCGGAGGATTTAATACAGAGAATGATAGCGAAAAGTAGTGAAAGGAAAAGCTGGTGACTTCAAATTCGTTCAACCGTACAGGCGTCGAATATGTTCTCACGCGTCCCTTATCACAGTAGCCGACGGCCCGGCCCGTTAGACTGAGCATTGCTTAGGGGCCATACCTCTGGTGACTCCTACGAACTTCAAGCACATCAAGCAACAGTTGAATATCCCTGGTTCTCTACGAGTCAATCTGCCATAAGCCCTCCTGGCGGACTTCATGCTGAACGTACTAAACTTGAGTCTTGAACACTGGAAAACTGGACCTCGTTTGTCACTGATAATAATTTGGCTCCCGGCATCATCGAGTAGCACGGTATGGCTGAGTATATGTCAGCCTCTGCTGTTGTCTCACTCCAAACAATGGTAGCGCCAACGAGGTCCGCAAAAGGCGGGCCCCACTTTGATTGAGGTCGGAGCGGACAGGCTACATGGTATAACTAAAGTGTCCATGGAACAATAGTAGGATGGTCCATACCTCTATAATGAAGCAGATCCCTCGACTTCATGTACGTCTGTTTGTACGTCTGCTCGTGCCCGTTTTCCCGTTTCGTCTCTCCTCCCTCAGACACTTTATTGTTCTACCCCTAGGTCATCAGGCAATGTCCTATCCTCGATTCCCCTCAATGCTTCCCTCCTATTCCGTTAGTCTGTGTGTCCTTATTTCCTAGAGTATTGCATGACGGACAATTAATACTGTACCTTACACACCGTTGTAACTTTTGATCCTCTACTTCCCTGCTCCTCTATTCCCTTTCTCTCCCTCCACATGCATTCATCTTCATCCCCAGTGAAAAGCTGCTCTGTGCTGCTCAGCGTTGGTCAGCATGATATCTGGGATCTTCTGCGTCCCAGATCTGCCCAGGTTTTGGCCGCTTTCCAGATTTTTATCTGGGCATATCTGGGTATATCGGTCACATACCTGACCTGCTCCTTGGGTCGTTTTCGTTGCACTTCTGGTCAATTCAGTATTTTTCTGAAAATTTCATATTTTTTCAGTAATTTACATATTTGCCTCTGTGTCTACCGTATCCTACTCGTTCAAGGTATCCCGCGACAAAAGCCCGTTTGCCCGCACTCCGGAGTGAGTCTGCGACCAACAAGTCAGCGCCAGGATTATGAGTTTGTTCCAAGGTAAACTCACCTCTCCGAACGCCAGCGCGTCCGTGGGCAGATCCACACGGGTTCGTCATAAGTGTGAGCACCCATCCGATGACCTGACGGCAGACGTACCTATTTCTGCAGGCCCACCCTCGACTTCCTCCATGCTGCGACGTTGTTTTCCACCACGAAACCACGTCTCTGCGGAGCAAGTGAGATACGTCCAAATTCAACAAAGTGTGGGGGAGAACTCGAGAACTTACTGGCAGCGCAGATCCATTCGCCGCCTCTAGAATCGACTCGCATGCTCTCAGGCCCACGTTAACTTGGATAATGTACCCGCTCTATTCACCTATTCCACTCTGTCCCCGACATCGCCCACGTCAATGTTAGATGGACCCACTGAACGAAATCACATTTGCGGTGTCAACAAGGACATACCGCCTGCACGAGGACCACTTACCTTATCGCCGAATCGTTGATAAATGATACGGCGCCTTATAAGGCATGAAAGCAGCAGGGTCGAGGCGTCATCTGCGTTGTGGACATTGGGTTGGTCTGGAAGGTGATGCTCGTCGTCAATAGCCCTCGTGAAAGGACTTGCGGTGCTGGCAGAAGGGCCGGGAGGGAGGAGGAAGGACAGACGGAGTGGGGGGGAACATGTGGGGGGAGAAAGAGTAGGAGGAGCAATGAAAAACGAGAAGTCCGCTATATAAGAAATCGACGCGTTGAGACGCACGGACCCTGGTCGTGAGGTTTCCTCGGAAAGCGGAGATAAAGTCGGAATGTTCGGTCCGTTCAGGGGAAATGAAAATGGTGCGCCAGACAAACCCAGAACAGGTCAGATTTTGTCCAAAATTCTCATATTCTCCCAGATCCAGTCAGATCCTGCCAGAGCAGCTTTTCACTGGGCTTCATCTCTCATCCCCTGTTTTTTTCTCCTTTCACATAAGCACTCATAAGTGCCTGCTCGGCTGCACTGCACGTGTCTATCGCGTCAACTCTGCTCTTTCACATGAGCCACAGCCTTGCCTTTCCGAGTTCCATTATCCCCAGACTTTAGTCTCTTGAGATTCCACCCCTTCCAAAACGTCAACTTTCGATCGTATGACACGGGGCTAGGTTCCGCATATTCTCAAGCCGCCAGTCTCCAAGTCAAGTCCTTGAGTTTCGTTCATTTTTGCGCCGTGGTCCTACAGGAATTCGAGTTTCATCCAAAATTATTCTTCTGAGATTCTGCTCAGTGGCGGATTTTGTTTATGGCCGAAGCGAAGCGAGGCAAATATCTTGTTTGTATGAAGGAGAGTCCATTTACATCGAGTAGGCTCCGAAAGTAAGATAGAGGGTAGTGGTGGGTGGGTGAGCGAAAGTGCGATTAGGCGAAGCCTAGAGTACGAAATAATAGTGGATAAAGTAGTGGGCGCAGCCCAGGTGTGGTGGTTGTTGTCGAAGATAGTAACCAACTGAGAATGACTCACCGTACGATGACCACCGCATCCATCTCCGCTTCAGCATCTGCTGAGTCCTCAGCACCAAAGGGAGACACGGCAGCCACGGCACAGCAAGCAAGAGAAGCAGAGCTTCAAGACAAGATGACCAAGTGAGGCTGCAGAGGCCTCCGAAATCGCTCCTTACCCTTGGAACCCGCAATTACACCGACCCCAAAAGTCCCATGAGATTTCAGTATGAATCTTGAGACCAGCTCTGTGATTAGATTAGATAAGGACACGGTACTACTTACGTATAGCCACTCGTCCGACTTTGTTCTCCAGCTCATTCTTGCACCGTCAAATAGTAACGAAGCACTCAGAACTATAGGCCCTTAGCAATGTAGAGGCAAAACGATCCGACCCCACACCCACCATTCATTCTTACACTTCCCTACAGTACCATTCGCATCGAGTAGAAACGGTGAACACTGACATTGTTTAATAGCACAACTACTAGTACAATTCATGACACCTTCTGTATTAATCCTGAGACCTTTCTCTGCATTACCTTTTTCTCATGAAAGCAGAGGCTCTGTTCGTTATTTCACATTGGCGGCAGTCCGTTGTAGAGGAGTTGCCAGCGAGGGGCGGGAGGCATCTCCTCGGTGACTGGGTACGCCTTCAAAGCAAGCTGGAGAATTTTGCTTAATGGTAAAAGTAGGTCCATGAGTATAGACTGCAGAGAACTAACGGTTTCATTGTCAATATTGACATAGAAGATGAGTCTGATTTTGAGACGGGTTGGAGCCCTGATGCTAATCGCAACCAAATGAGAAGAGACCCTAGCTAAATCCAGAGTAAAACTTTACCTATAGATTTCTTTCCCCTCGGGAGCACCGTCTTCAATGGGTGCGATAATCCAGTTCTTCAGATTGCGGACGGTATAAAGAACAGGCTCGTTCTCTGCCTCAGTCATGCGACCCCAACCAGGGAGAACTGGTCCGGGTTCCAATGGAGGGTGGGGATCGAGGCCTGGGTTTGAAATGGTGTAGCCTTCGTCAGCATGTTGAATGAGCCACTTGGTTACAGAGATTCAGTAAACGCAGACGTGGATTGGTAGCGGAAGGGAACGACTCACAGTTTGGAGACCGACACCCGGTCGAAGTGCCGCAGCGCGAACTGAAGTCTCGACCTGTCCGCCAGTGGCGTACATGCCGCCGATCAAGTCGGGGGCAGGAGAGTAATGGATATGATAAAGGCCGTCTTTGAGAGTCATGACGGTATTGAAATATCGTGAGGTAGAAGAGGGGTGTTGTCCACTACAGATTCCTCGACATCACTCTGCCAGGTTCTTATATCTCGAAGTTAGCATACTATCCTTCGGGCCGCAGTGCAAGTCTATAATCACCCTGGAGACATGTGAACAAACCTCGGAAACTATACAGAACACCGGCCCCCCTTTGATTCGAAGGTTTGCCCGAGAGGAGAATAGCGCTCTGTGACATCTGCTTGTTTCCTCGACATCTCATCTTTCATACAAGCAAGGAGCCAAGCATAGCCATGTTAGGTATATCAAGAAACGCTTTTGGACGATCTCCGAGTCCGGTGATCCTTTCTGATGGAGAGGAAGCCCACAAACCCTCACCTGTGGAATGGTTTTGTGCAACCTGAACTATTGGTCGAGCGATTGAGAAGAACTATGGCGAATGCAGATCTATATTTATTCTGGAGTTTGCATTCAGTTGGGACTTGGCACCTGCTTTGGCAGACGGACTTGTAAAGAACCCATGTCAAACAGTGTGGCGTACGTTTCTAGAATATCAGACATTGGACAAGTGACCAGTCGGTTGTCCTTCCTGCACCACTATGAACTTGCATGTTTAGGCTCATGAAGAGGTTCTATCGCAGATGATCGATAAAGACTGGCCTATTTGGATGTTATTCGGATGAGAAATACAAGACATTTTCATCCGTTGCAGGAACGCAGGTGGCGTGTTGCAGTTCTGGACCCATTTTGACAAACTAATAGGTATCAGATCTCTTCGCGTGGGCTATCATGGCGGTACGGTTTGCCCCCGTATGCAAATATGGACCGGGATTTGGAAGGTCCTCGAAGGGGACCACGCCGGTGAAGTGAACCATCCAGACGTAGGTGTGAAATTTTACGACACACAAACTTTATAACTTTGACTCTGCCCCCTGTTTCCAGCAGAACGACCCCACGGGTAGGTGACCCCTGCTTCCAGGCTAGACCAGATGTACATAGATCTACCTGCAGGCGATGACCGTTCCTACTCATCTGAGGGAAAGTCAATCGTTCGTTCTGGTTTCGTGAATTCTTTGTATGGATACGCAGCACATATTCCTACCTACACTGTCGACGATCAATGGCAATACATCCGAGTTCAAGTGCTTCCATGACCCCTCACACATAATTGCCGTCTCCGCGCGAATGCTCCTTACAGGCGAGCAGAACTTTATAGTAAGGAGACAAATTGATACTTACGGGCACCAAGACGAAGCATAATTTTAATTTATCCAGGCTCTACTTAGGATTAAACACGCGAACAAAATCCCAATGATTGCCGATCAAAGCTTCCCCAGCGCTTATTCTCTCCAAGCGCTCAACGTGACCGTTCACGGAGCTAGGACGCCCTTGACTTGCTTCCACGCCAGAAAGAGTTTCAACTGCTCGACCTCCTTTCTATTTCCTTGGACGACGAGGGTGGGTATCCCGGACCAGCGCCCGTACGCATCCAACCTTCCTCGACGCCCCGCTGCAGGAGCCTGCTGATGGGGTCCGCTATTTCTTCCAGGGCGGTGTACGTGACTTCTCTCCCGAGTATCTGAGCTATCTCGTTGAATGTTGCTACTTGCCCTTCAATAAGGAAGATCCTGTTCGAAATTTCGCTGAGTGGGGCGGCGGTGACAATGTGCGCAACGAACCCTGTCAAAAGGAAGACATGCACCCAATTAAGGAGGAAAGCAAAGAAGCAGGAGAAAAAAGCACGGACCAGCGATGTCAGCGATAGCGGTGAAACTGGCTTTAGTGTCCCCCTTTCCTGCAACTACGAACGCCCCAGGTTTGGAGGCATAGGCAGTGACGATCGGAATCCATTCTATGAACAATCCGTTCTAGAGTACGAGCGGTCAGTCAAGTCCTTTTGGTATGGCTAGCTGCTCAAAGAATATTACGAAGACACGGGCTGTGGGGAGTCCCACCTCCTTACTGATTCGAGCTGTTTTTGAACGAGGTCTCAGACGTTAGATTCGATCTTCGAATAGTTCGAACTTCGCACTTACCAGCCGCCTCGCTCTTTGCACCAAAGACACTCTTCGGGTCGTGTCCGTCATTTGCAACACCGAACTCGTTCGTCACGAACAACTGAACGCCCGACTCTTTGGCTGCTCTTGCGATCCCCACTTGGGTGTACCTGAAGAATTCATCTGAGCCGCTCGCAGTGCTCACCACGGCCTCTACTTTGTGCGCCTTGAAAAGGCCCTCGAGTTGCTTTTCATTTGTGTAGTCGGCCATAGCAGTCGCGACGCCCAGAGGGACCCCTTTAAGTTTGGAGGCGTCGTGAGAGAGAATGAGAAGTCCAGCACCATTGGATAATAGAGCCTACAATTAAGTTCAGTATTAAATCTGAACGATAAGGGAAAGCCGCGCACGGGTACTAGATCCCTGGCGATGTTTCCGAAACCGAGAACTGTGACGGTTCTTGAGGAAGACATGTGCGATGCGTCTGAGCGAGATTTAGCTCGTATCCAACCTATTTATTGAGCGAGGCTAGGAGACGACGGAGACAGTAAGCGCAGCGAGTTAGTGATCCATAAGCGTATCACAGTTGGTAAGCCAGAGAGCAGAGATGTAAGTTGAGAATTTTGCACCGCGATACGGGGCCCGAGAAGTTCCAGCAAACACCAGTGCGTGGCGGATGTGTCAGAAAAAGTGACCTATAAGCCCAGGCAGACGCACCATTTGTCGATTTTAAGCCATCTGGAGTCATAGAAGAACTTCCGAAATTATTGAGACGTCTGTAGAAGTGCAAAAGTTGGAGGTGAAGATTCAAAGTGTGTCTCCACCTTTCGAACCTGAGCTTCCTCCAGCCCCGAGTCGGCCACACTCCCTTTCGAGTCCTCCTGTGAAAGGATATCTATGCGATTGAGTTTGTTCTGTAGATTCTACGCAAGCTCGATAGTTACAATCCAAAACCCAAACGACAGCGAAACAAATGAAACCAGAAGACGAAAATCAAACAGAATGATATAAACATCAACACCCGGACAAGTAAAAAACAAGACAAACGCTCGAAAAAAGAATAAAAGAAAAACAGAAGAGAATTTGCTGGCTAGAAATGACCAGGGCTCGGGCGTATAGCAGGCGGACAAGTTATCGCACGAGCTCTCCCAGGCGGGACTGGGGAGATGACTCTCCCTCGCTTCTTCTCCTGCGGAACAGGGGCAATGGTGAAGTCCCCTCGATACATGGCCAAGGGCGACTGGCCAACCGGAGGCGTCGAAGGGCTGCTGCCTCCCGGTGAACTGCTCCCCATCCAGCTCGAACTCGTCGGAGTGATGATCGACCCGTTTATAGGCGACAGTTTGGGGTCGTTCCAGAGCATGGCAGCGGACTGAGTCATGAACGGGTTGAGCGGCGGCGCAAAGCGGATGTTATGCGAGTCGAACTCTACTGGAGGCTCCTCTTCGCGGTGGTCCCGGGGACTGGTTTGGGTATTCGCACGAGAACGTCCGGCCGAGATATTAGAGCGTGGAGCGAGCGGCGGTGGCGAAGTGTCCCCTGTCATATAGGAAGGGGATGGAGACACGGGAGAGAGTTGTATGCTACCGCGGTACCGCTCGACGTGCTGCTTGTGGGCCGGAGTAGGCGACGGTGGAGGTGGTGGGAGATGGAAAGGGATATAAGTCGCCGCACGATCTGTGGTATGCGCTAGAGGGAGAGCCGTAAGAGAAGGGTATTCCAGTTCGAAGGAATCGCCATTGGCCGTCAGAGACGTCTGGGAAATGTTCGGCTGCGACATCTGGATCATCTGGTGCTAAAAGAATAAAGATGTCAGCATGCATATATAGTTGCGGGCGACGCCTTACGCTGCTCTCGGACTCTCTTCGCCGATGTCCAAAGCTGACCGCCAATCCCTTCATCTCAACGATGTTCATAACCGCCTTCCTCCGGCTCCGAACCTTCTCTGAGCTCATGTCCCCGTCCGAGCCGACGACGGTCTTGCCAGAATCGAAGTCCGAGATCGTAGCCTTCGATTTCATCCTTGTCCCAGGCAGGTCGACCCAGCCCCTTCCATCAGGACCCACAGCTTTGCTCTCGCAGGCGGCGGCCCTCCCTTTCGCAGTGTGGCAACAACTGTAGATCATGTACGCCAGGATAGTCGTGACCGCAAGCAGCATGAACGCGAACGCGATGTAGGCCCAGACGCCTAGATGCGTGAATGGCCTGGCTGGGAGGTTTATGGCATGGTCTGAGTGGACGTCCCGTCGTCCGAGAGCCAGGAATGGCGTAGTCTCTGAGTAGAAGCGTTGCCAGTGAGAGAGCTCCTCCTTGGAGTCGGCTACACCTCGAGGAGCCATAGTTTATGGCAGGGTGAGGGGAAGCCGGGAGCTCCGCATACACTGAGGGGGTGTAAGGGCTGGGTGGCGGACGCTAGAGCATGGGGATGGAGCGCTTATAATTGGTGTGGCTGGCAGTGGAAATACGTCGGCCAGGCCAGTCTGCGATGGTTGCGTAGATCGTGGTTTTAGCAAGGCCGGGATCGAAGATGTGCATTGACGTCAGAGTCGTCGCTGCACAAAACGCGACGAATGGGAGCCACTAGCCCGCAACCTATATCCAAACCGACGAGAAAAGTGAGAGACTACGGATGTCGCTTCAGAGAACAATTGGACAGGTCTTAGGCAATGCTCGAGACAGCACTTCGAGATAACGAGCTCTAGACGGGAGGGGCGGGGCAACTTCTCCGTATTGTAGTGCGGTCCGAGTCTGCGCAACGATAGTGCATGATGGAGATGAGGAAAGATGAGTGGTTCGAGTGAGGACGAGTAAGCGGCTAAGGTTGCGAATATTGATTACATAGGCTTGAGATTTTTTAAATTATGTGGCAATATGGCCGAGTGGTCTAAGGCGCTAGAATCAGGCTCATGTATGAGTAATCTAGTCCGAAAGGGCGCGAGTTCGAATCTCGCTGTTGTCAAACCTTTTTGTCTTCTGGTATGGGCGACGTGCCTGCTCGGCGCTTACACGTTGGCTACTTTTTGATGAACTAGGGTGGGCGTCTAATATTGAGTCAACCCACGGCTTCCTAACTTTCTATTTTGCAATAAATTCGCCGAGGAGGTCATCCGAAGAGAAGTGTTGGGAAGTTCCCTCCCTAGCAGTTTAAACTCACATTGTTTGACTTCAATTTTCAGAAGGCGTACCGCAACCGAATAGACATTAAATGGAGTATGTAGTAGTAGCAGGATCTGACATGTATTATACATCGTAGTGAGCGATGGAGAAATTTATATCACTCGTTCTGACAGTGAGGAGGTATGGGATTGTGTTATCCCCTGCGAGCTTACTCTCCTCGTGCAAAACGACCGGTGGACGGAGATTACGGCTATGTGTCATTTCGTAATTATATCTGCCCACCATTATCTCAATCTTCACGGAACGCAGTTCCGGAAAGTGGGACCCCAGAAGGACACGTTCCAGCCTTTCCCCACAGCTCTTGAGGTCAGAATCAGCCAGACCGTCTTCTTCGTCTTCCTCAAGGGACAGAACGTCGAAGGTAATCTCTAAGGTATGTATTCCTCAGGGCATGGCAACTGAATCGAGAATTTTCAGAATGAGAGTTAGGTTTCGAGAGGGCCAAGGGGGATAAAAAGTGCCGGTGCTGAATTTCAGGTGTTTCAAGGCGACAAGGTCGCTCAGGTACCAGGAAGTATCTATGTCGGAGTGAGTACTAGATCCTTTAGAAGAATGGCAGCGATTGAGCATTGAATAAAGGTCCTTTGTACAGAGAGGGAAGTGCACTTACTCTGAGCGCCTATATGCGCGAACTCGAGAGTCTCAAGGGTCTTGGCCGAGCCCTGGGCGAAAGACCACGTCCAGTCTTGCAGCAACTCGCCCGAATAATTGATCCACAAGTCCTTGGGGCAGGGGAAATATGTTGGGTACAGGACAGGAGGATGAGATGGGATTGGGTCTTTCCTCCGATACAGGCTCTCCATCATCGTGTCTATAAACATGCAAGCGTAGTTGGATACCTCTGCGTATGTTATCTTCGAGGGGGTGAGCGGCATTCGGGCGCGGATCTGGCGTCGAACGGTTGAAGAGGTAGTCGTAGGTTACCCGTCCGTGAAGGATAAGCTTGTCGAGGTTGTTTGAGTTCTAGTCAACATTTCTGTCGCCCAAGAGCATCTCCGGGTCGAGATCTATGATACTCGACAGCCGTAGTGTCCTTACGGACGCCATGGACCGTATGGTAATTAGCTCCTGTTTCTCATCCTTTGACAGGAATTGGAGGGAAGAGTGTGATTGGACCGCGCGGACAAGTCGTAAGAAGTAGTTCTGTCGCTGCCTAATAATTCTTATGGGTGAAGTGTGACGTCGCTGCTGCCACATCGCTCCAACGGGGAAGGATAAGGTGAAAGAAAACATGTAGGAGAGCAACACGCGACATACTTCCAGTACTTTGAGAAGCTTCTCTGCGCGCCGTTGCATGGATGAAGGGATGGACTTGAACCCGATGTGTTTGAAGAAAAAACCAAAACGGCCGCAGAACGGAATGCGCGAGAGATTTGGGTGCAAGACCGGAGTGCCTCTGCCCACTCTAGCGCTTCGAGTTCGTTCCACTCTTGGGATAGGTGCTTTTGTGAGACGATTGAGTCTACAATGGCGTTGATTATCTCTTGAGGAAATTTTGTAATCCCTTGCAAAGTGGGCTGTTGAGCTGCCTTCTGCGAGAGCCGATGGAAATTGAGCCAAGGCATCACGATTGTCGATAATCAATGATCCTTCCCCTATGTTCTAACTTTAGGCTCTAGAGAAGGCACAATGAACAGGATTTACCTGGTAGTTGTAATTTTAGGACACCGAAGGTGCCCCTAACAATCGCTCAACTGTACGTGGTAGTTGCTGGTGAAGAGATCAGCCAGTGCACAGCGGTGGGTAAGCGCCCAAACGCCCGTGAGAAGTGGATCGGGCTGGGTCAAACCCGGCCCGCAATCCTGAAATTTCCTTGCGTCCCTGGTGTCAAAGGAGTCGCTGGAACGAAGACATTAATCGGAGGAGTTCACCGTCCGATGTATTATCGACACGATATCGGCGGTCTCGGGCCTGTCTGTATTGAAACCAAAGACTTCCCCATTTGATTCATTAAGAATGAATAATCTCCGCCAGATTGTCAAGTAAACCGTGGGCCGACATGTGTGCAAGGATGAGGGAGGATTTATGTACATGCCGTAGGTATATCATGGCGATAGTAGACACACGAGATATCTATGCTTGCATGACAGACATGTTACATTCCTATTTTATGGTAAAATCGTTTGGATTGTGGTGCAGCAGCTTAACCAAGAGTTCTATTTAGCCGCCCATCCCATCCAATAAGGCACCGAAGATAACAACAACTAGCGCGCCAAGAACGAACGAGATAAAAACCGCTGACAAACGCGCCACGGGGAACTGTTTCTCTGGCAGCGCGTACTGCACGAGGAAATACCTATACACACCTGCCGATATGAAAGGGTCGCTAAGCAAACGCAAAGTCCCAACGTGACAGACAATCTTCTGCTTACCGATAACCAACGTGATCAGAGCCAGCAAAATCGTCGCGACGCCCAACGGCCTCGCGAACCGCTGCACCCTCCGGCTCGCAGTGCTGAGAGGGGTGCTCGACCCACGTGAAGTGAGGTCTGCGATGGTAAAGAGCTGGACGAGAGCTACACCTGCTGAAGATAACGCGAGGGAAGTGCGTACGTAGGCGAGGAAGGTGCGTTCGGAGGCAAGGTGGTCGCGTGCGACGCTCCCGGAGTTCTCGAGCACCATCACGGGGCTGAAGCGTCGGATCTTCTGCACGACCAAAAGGTAGGGCGAAGGATTAGAAATGGGCGAGGTAATGCCGTTTTCAGTGGGTTTTTCTCGCGTTCTTTTCAACGACTCGGATCTCCTCTTCCCCTCGGCTTTTGAAGCCCCGTCGTCTCCTTCGCCGTGCAATTCAACGCTGTGACCTTCCGTCCGTCTATCTTGTCGTATAATAAGCGATTCCGAACGTCGAGAGCGTGCGCGAGACTGCGACCTCGCTCGCGATTGAGAACGGGAGTGGGAGCCCACAACATGGTCCCGGTGTCGAGATCTCCTGCCAGATGTTGGTACGACGCTAGGCGGAGGTGATGGTAGTGTTTCGCAAGATATTCTAGAGGGCTCTGGATGTGGGTCTCTCATGAGAGTTGTTTGGAGGGAGGACATGGTAGGAGGTTAGAGAAATTATGACGTCGGGTCCCGAATGGGATGCCGCCGGCTCTTTCCAGTTCCCACGTTTTCTTGACCTGTCACCTCATCGATCGCCCACTGCATATGTATGTCAGGATCAGTATCAAAACGTCGTAGAGTTGAGCCAGTCGACATAAAGGCCGTTCCAGTCAAACGCTCGGAAAGCTTTTGGTTGGAGGATGGCAACATCGTCCTTCAAGCAGAGGACACACAGTTTTGTGTTCACCGGTCCACGTTAACGTTGGTCCGCCAATCCGACGCTCTTAAGGACCTCTTTACAGGCCAGCAGGGCGGAAATCCCATGTCTCTGGTTGTAGAAGGGTGCCCCGTTATCAATCTTTCCGACAGAGCAGAAGACGTCGAGCACATTCTAGCCATCTTTTACAATCACGTCCTGTGCGTCTGTCAAGTCTACCTGTTTGAACGAAATTGCCAAATCTGAGGGAATGGAAGTACGTTAGATCTCAGTAAAGAAATTGAGATAGGGCAGGCGACAGCCATGCTCCGTCTAGGAAAGAAATACAATATAGCACCGTTGCGCGACGGAGTTCTGAAGCAACTACGATATGACTTTGGGACCACGCTCGAGGGCTGGGATGAGTCCGTCAAGGATCCACCTGTACCGACTTTGAAGTATTGGCCTTCTGTTTCGAAGGTTGCTGCGTCTGTGATTTCTCTGTCACGCGAGCTTGACATACAAACCATCCTGCCTGATGCTTTCTTGTACTATTCCCAGTAAGTCCAGAAAACGCACTACCACTACTGAGTACTGAATGTTGATCGGCTGACCAACGACATGCAGGAAGAAATACTGACTGGCTCCGAGGAAGAAATTCCTCAAGAAGCCCGAATCCAATGCATGCTAGGAAGAGATCGTCTCCTCCGAGCAGTTCACGATGTGTTGCACGAGTGGGCAAGCGACGAAGCGTTCATGCCACGCGAGACCTGCACCACTCGAATAAAGTGTCAAGGCTCCAAGCAGAAGCTACTGCATGATTTTAATCAGACCCTGTGGCCCTCTGTCAAGGGTCGACTATGGGATCTCACTGGAGGCGTTCCAGCCCGTGCGGCCAAAACTATCGGTGAGAATCTGTGCAAATCGTGTGCAGATAGCGTCAGGGAATGCCACGAGGACGCACGAAAGGAGTTATGGGCCGACCTACCAATTTTCTTTGGTCTTCCGAAGTGGGACCAGCTCGAGACTTTAATTCCGGTTCTTGAGTCGACATTGGTACACTCGCTACGACTAATTTTTTCTTGTATGAAGCTTTTTGTTGTAATATCTATGGAATGTGTCGTGCTCATCATGATCCAACTCTGCGTCTCTGTTTTCCCCTACGTCTACATCCCGGTCCGCTTCGCTGTAGTTCGGCCAGCGACAGCCTCCTCGAGCTTGGCATGTAGCTGCTGCTGTTGCACAATCTCGTTGACCGACGTTCTCCCGGGTGAGTAAATTCAAGAGATGCCAAGACTGGTGCAGTGCAATTATTCTCGGACTACTAAGTGTTGGCTCACTTCTGTCGACATATAGAAGTACTAGGGCAGCGCGCCCGTCTCTGGCGGACTCAGAGAACAGCATCCACTTACACCGGCAACATTCTTGGAACTTGTAAAAGAATTTGTCTGAATGGCTGTTCCACAAGTATGAAAGGAATTACAGCCTTCATGAGCAAATTTCTGACCCGAGGTCGGTGGATAACATGTACCTTCAATCTTACTATTTAGAGTGCATAAATAAACCGAGGCTATAAAATCCACTGCTTCACCCCATCTGCATGGTGCACAGCCCAGCCTTCCAGTATAAGAAGAAAGGTTCGAAGCTTCTCACCGCAGTCAACTCAAACCTCCCCAGCTCTAATCCCTTGGTCTTCCGAACGCCAACCCGAATCACAGCGCCTACATATCGTCGAACGAGAGCCCGAAATACGGTAACCTCCAAAGTCACTTCCGAGGATACAAAAGCACTGACAGCGCACTCGCATCTCTAGCTTCAGAACTTAAGAAGAGAAAGGATGAAAATAAAAACAGGGGCAATCAGAGGCTCGGTCAAGGGACCATGCAAGCCGTTGAGCAAGTGAATGCTAGTGGAGTCAGTCTGACTCTGTGCGGCTTTTCCGGATGCTTGGGTATGCATAGGCGCTTGTTTTGGTCCAAGCTGACTGTTCTGCAATACAGCGATTGGTTGAAGTGAATCTCTGGCTGGGCCTAAAGACGAGAGGACGGAGCACTGCTCTAATAGAGCTGAAGGTTGGAGATAAGATAGAAAAATTGTTGTAGGCTGTGTACTTGCTTCTATTGAATTGCCTCTCTGAGGGCCAAGAGCCTGTTACACTAAGTATACTTACTAGTAGCATCCACACGGGCGAAATTGCGAGGGACATCACTAAATCCAAAATCGACCCGAGAAAAAAGTATAAATACGACCTTATCGGCTAATCTTTTCCTGCTAAGTACTCTAAATTCAGGATCTGTCATGCAGCTTTAATTTAGCCCATGTACGTTACATGGAGGTACTGGGCGATTAGGCGCCTGTCTCTAGCAGGTCCATAAAACAGTGCTATGCACTGCGAAGGCGATTATGGTGCACACCGGTGGGAGGTGGACGCCAGCATCCCTCCAGTGAGTAGTCAAATAGTCACAGCTGGTGAAGTCAGCGCCAATGGTGGCTAATCGGTATCTGTCTATTAGTACAAAAGAATAACAAGAGGGAGTGAACCTTCAGGATAGCACAAGGAGCTTCGGGCATTTGAATAGCAGGAATCGAAATTTGTGGATACATGTAGAAGCATCCTAAGGCGCCCATACCTCAACCATACTATCTGGCAGACTCAGAGAGCGGTGTGCCCCACATTGAGCGGCAATCAATCGTGTGATTTGTTAAATAACTCGGCCGTTCCAAACGTAAGTTAGTAGAATTTAAGATATCTAGCTTGCGGTCGGAAGCAACAGGCTAAAAGGAGCAAGCAATCATCAGTGGTACCTGAGACCTTGTACCTGGAAGCTTGGTATGTACGGGCGTCTAATTTGTACTCAGACCCGATCGATAAGGCTTTATATGTAGTAGTGAGTCGGGATGATTTCGCGGGCATGATGGAAGTAGAAGTATAGATGGAAAGGGAGATAGAGATAGAGATAGAGATATTGGTGCCTCGATCATATGGAGGAAGACGGAAATTGTGTTTGTCGGGGTCACCAGACGCGCCGACGAGGTTTCGCGGCGCGATAGCCAAATATGGCCCGGGGTGTGTGGCGCACCGCTTGTGATCGAGGGACTTTGATGCGACTCGCGGGTCGGCAAGCGTAACCGCGAAAGGCACCGGCAGGCGACAGCGTTGGGATTGGAGGATTCAAGTGGCGCCATTTGGATACGCCAGCGGAGGCTCCGGCGGAGGCAAGTATTTTTAACTAGCCAATCGCTAAACGCCGAAATCGGAACGAGGGCGACTCGGACTCGAAGGGGTGCTCGGGTACTCGGGGGGAGAACGTGAATGTAGGAGGAAGTAGAGATCGTCGTTACAGTATTGTCAATGTGTGTTGAACATTCAATATTCAACGTGGACGACGCACATAATGACGTCCCGGTGAACGTTGAGTATGCAATGATCCCGATGCGGTGATGGGTTTGAAGGCGAGGTGCAGTGCAGATGTATCACAGTGCCAGCGTGCATGGGAAGGTCCACGCTCGTTCGCGTGGGTCGAATTCGATCTATCGACACCGGGAATAGCGAGGAGTTGTGCAGCACCTTCGCGGGTGCCATTGACCATCGTGGTGAAGTTACTCTGCGCTCGGCGTAGCATACGCAGCTGAGCTCTCTCCACCGAGTGCGCTTGTTCTCTGGGTAGCGAGAGTCTTGGGAAAGACGCAGTCAGTACACGAGGGAAGACGCACTAATTTAATCTGGCAGGATGCTTCGAACGTGTGTTGCGACATGCACACGTGCATGGACAATTGGAGACGAAAGTGAGCGGGATGGGGCTTGTAGCAACAAGAGAGGTGGCGATCTGCTGGTGATGGTGGCAATAAGTGATGTGGAGGACGGGTGTGGGAAGGGAGACCGGGAGAGGAAACGGGGGATTGGTGGCATCGCGGATGCACGCGAGCATACTCAAATGTGTCTGATTTCATTTCTGTTGGTTCGCTATGAATGGTGCGCACGACGAGAGGCTAACGCGGTGTGTAATGAACACAGGGTCGAACGTGGAGGACGCGACACGGAACGCGCCAATGTTTATGTCATGGATGCACGTGACTTGACTTGTTGTTTGTTTCCGATTTGATTTGAGTGGGAGCAACTTCTTTTTATTCTTCACCGACGACAAAAGCCAGGGTAGAGCAGGAGAGAGCCGTGAAATAGCAAGTCTATGTTGGCCGTCGTGCAACCGTACTGTGCATCGCCTGATGTCGCCCATCGAGCCCGATCGACTCTCGCTTCTGCACCCCCCTCCTCCGTCCCTTCTTCCCGATCACTCAGCAGCAACCTGGCATCGTCCCACCCACCGTCGCTCCAGCGACACCAGACAGCACCGCCAGCGTCAACGCCCTCCAGCTCATCGTCGTCCGCAGCGACCACCTCCACCGCAACCCCGCCGGCCAAGCCACCATTACCCGCCTCTCCACCCCCGCACTCGGCGGACAGTGCCCCCTTCGACATCCATTCTTACCCCCCCACCGAGCTGCTCAAGCTCCTCGCCCTCATCCTCACCCACATCGCAACCACCAATGACCACATTGCACCCAACTCCTCCGCCTCCTCCGCCCACGCCCCGCCCCCGCCCGACCCCATAGACGCCCCGCCCATATGGCACTCCCTCACCACCGCCTCGCGCGGCGCCATATCCACCCCAGCGGCGACCCTCACCTTCCACGCCCGGAACATTCCCACCATCTCCCTCGAGGCCTACCTCCTGCGCATCCTCAAGTACTGCCCGACCTCCAACCACGTCTTCCTCTCCCTCCTTGTCTACTTCGACCGCATGTCCAAGCTCAGCCAGGAGGCCGTCGGCAGGCCCTTCGTCATCGACTCGTACAATATCCACCGGCTCGTTATCGCCGGCGTCACCGTCGCGAGCAAGTTCTTCAGTGATGTGTTTTATACGAACTCGAGATACGCCAAGGTACGTGCTGCGTTCGTTCGTTTGTGATGTTTTGGAATCCTTGTTCTCGTCGTCGGGGTGGTATTCTTGTTATCTTCCCGAGGACTCAGTTCTCACCTTCATAACTCGTCGTCCTCATGGGAAACGGGCGTTTGCCTCTCGCCAGTGTTATTATTTCGTCATTTTCGCTTCGCGTCGTTATCTATTGGCTTTTATGCGCGCTTAGCCACCATCCTGAACCGAGTACCCTGCATCCATTCAATTATATGACGTTACCCTACCCTTCCTCGTTACCTCGTTGACCCTTTCCTCTTTCCCTTCCCTTACCTCTTTCCTTCTCTCTTTTCCTTCCTCTTTCCCCTTCCCTTTTCCTCCTAACCCCCGTCATGCCACCACATACTAACCCTCTCCCTTCTCTAGGTTGGCGGCCTCCCCCTCCCAGAGCTCAACCAGCTCGAACTCCAGTTCCTCCTCCTCAACGACTTCCGGCTCGTCGTCTCTAGCGCCGACATGCAGGACTACGCCGAGCAGCTTATTTTGTTCTCCAAGTCGTCGACGGCGTCGTCGCTCCCGCTCACGAATGTGAATGGGCATACGAATGCGACTACGGCGGTGCCGAGACCGACGGTGGTTAATGGGCATCAAGTCCATCCGCATCCACACCACCATCATCAGCATGGGACGCAGCAGCATGTGGCACAGCAAGGGAACATACACCCCTCCGCGTCCTCGTCCTCCTCTACGCTCAACTCGGCTACGAGCTCGAACTCGTCAAGCTCGTCCGGGTCGTCTGCACGGACTGTGACGCATACGCATACCAACCCGCATCCACATGCACATCCAAACCCCCACCCGAACCCGAACCAGGCGAAGACGCCAGTCGTCTCGTCGACTACACCCTCGTTGGCCTCCATACCGGTTTCAGGTTCGACGTTAGCCCCGACATCGTTACCCGCCTCGACCTCAAATTCCTCAAACTCATCTTCCTCATCCTCGTTGTCAACGTCTTCGACGCAGTCGATCATGCACCCGTCACATCCGCAGGGCCATGTAAGCTTCGCGCAGGCGCCGGTTGGGAGTCTGGCGGGGAGGATGCACCGCGCGGTAGCAGGAAATGAGGGTGTGGGTGGACAGGTGTATGCGTACCCCCTCGCGACACATGGGCAGTATCCGACGAGCACGATATCGGCGTTCTCACAACCGCCGTTACACTCGAGCTCGAGCTTCCAACATCCACATCCGCCGCCTATGATGCGCTCCCAACAGCAGCAGCAACACCCACCCCCACCGCCGCCTCCGTTGCATTCCCATTCGCAACTCCACCACCTCCATTCCGCCGCCCAGCCCCAATTCTCTCATCCCCTCTCCTCACACCCCCTTTCTTCACATCCAACGAACTTATCACATCCGAACGCCCTCCACCCGCAAGGCCTCTTCGTCCCCCTATCATCGTCCTCTTCCTCTTTCCCCCCGTCCGTATCACCCGCCCCCTCGTCCGAAGACGAGGACCCCGCAAATGACGACCCTTCTAATGATGACGCCTCCACAGACGCCGGGACGGATGCGGGCACAGACGCGGGCACGGACACGAGCACGAGCACGGAGGACGAGCCGACGGTGCGCGGGCCGCCGACTGTCGTTGGTGGGTTTGGGGACGTTGGGTTTGGGGATGGTGGGAGGAGGTTTTGGGAAGGGAGAGGGAGAGGGTGGAGCGAGGGGGATGGAGATGGGGATGAGAGGATGGGGAGTCCTTAGGTTGCAAGGTGATAGACGCAGGGGAGGGACATGATGATAGATGGTCTGGGACGAACGTGTGTGTGCACCGCATACCTGCTGGCGTTAGGCTGGTAGACTGGGTGTGTGCACCGTGCGCTCGAGGGACTATACTTAAATACGCAATACTTTTCTTTTCTCTTTTCTTCTTTTTTTTCTTTTCTTTGCTTCTTTTGTTTTTTCTGCACAAGTGTTTTACAATTTGACTGGTACCATTGACATGAAGATTTCCTTCGAAATTTCTCTATGCATGCATGGGCGCTTGTAAAGTACACGTTCCTGTTTCACGTTTTCATGTTTTGCCAGCACTGATTGACATGCGGCAAAGTACAAGTATGTAGGCACTAGGCAACTCGCAGATGCCAGAGACGAGCTCGAGTCGAATAAAAGGAATTGGAAGCACATGCACGTGAGGACGTTCGAGCTCGAATGAAATCGCTTATGATTGCTCAAGTACATATGTAAGTATACGCTATATCTCCGGCTTCCGGTCCTCCTACAAATTACTCGACCTATATAATAGACGCCTGCATGCAGAGACTATTTGTACCAGCAAATATTCCCTGTGGCGCAGGAAAGTCAGCGGCTATCGACGTGATCAAACCAAATATGTATATATAGGCGCCACACACCCATGTCATCCACCAGCAGACCAGCGCCCATCGACTCCCCTCACGCTCACGTCTTGACCGTGACAGGCTTAGATGTCCCCTGGACCTTCACTGGCTTAGACGACCCCTTCTCCGATCCCGATCCCGAGCCCTTGACAGGAGATCTGATCGCTCCTGTGAGTGCTATGTGTACTGCTGGTAATTTCATGTTTTCTTTAAAGTATATGAGTGAGGTCTGCTGGTGGGTGTTATGTTAGGAGCTCGAGAGCGCGTACGTAGGATAGTGTGAAGGGCGCCTTGCGTTGCAGGAGTATTTGGACTTGGATGAGAGCTAGTAAGTAAAGGCGCGGCGATGATTAAATTCGGATAGGGATGGGAAATAGAACTTGAAGGAGTAGGGCCTAGGGAAAATGGGTGCGGCTGCAGAGACGCAGATGCGAGGAGACGGCGTGCTCGTGAAGCTTCATTCTTGTGGCCATGGGACTTATACGGGAAGGTTGGACGGTGCGATCACACCACGCCGTTGACGCGAGGCGATAACCTCAGGCTCTAAGTGGAACGCTACAAAGACATAGCCAGACGGTTTTCCAGGCCATGGGGCTGAATGAAACGGATACACGCGTCCTCTCGAAGTCTACATATAAACCATCGTAAATCCTGTTTCCCAGAAAGGTCGCACGCGACCGTTGGAAGTGGGCTGATATCTAAAATAGGCGCCCGTACCCTTTCTCAGGCTTGCGACAGGTAAGTAAGTTATTGCAAGTTGCAGGCAGACTCATTGACAAGTTTGTCGACAAATCCCTAGAATGATCATCGCTGGTGTGCATTCAAGCCGTCCTATTATCTGAGTACGACAAAAGGTATATAGGCCCAGGCTGCATGTCATTTAATACGGTCACGCGCGCAGAGACACAGTAAGAATGTAGATAAAGTGAGCAACGAACACTCGAATGCAGCGGGATTTTTCCTGTTATCTCCAACTATGAGCCCTCTTCGTACTCAGTACTCGACCCATGAGGCTCGCCAAATGAACCATGATGTTATGCTGAAGGTCAACTGCATGATCAATTAATTCCTATTTTTCAGAAAGGTCAGCCACCGTTGACTAAACTTGGATCAAAACAGGCGCCCGTACGCACCAAGCGTCCGGGAAGGCGTACACCAGACCCCTCCACTTTCTCGACGTATTACAGCCACATGGCAGAGACAGCCCAATAAGAGTAATTGGAACCACTCGAGGACGTTCAACGGGCTCGAACTGTGACTTTGAATGACAGAAATTGCTTGTTTTTATTTTCGCAAGTACTCCGATACCAAGTATCTCCAGCTTCTGGTTCTCCCGGGTACAACTTGATCACACGAGCTCTTGGCGTTGAGGGAACTTGCGTTATCATTTTCTGCGTCGCAGACCGGTCAGCGACTATCAACTTGGACCAAATAGGCGCTACACAACAAGTATCCTGGACTAATCTACTTAACAGCGTCCCTCGAACCTCCCCTCGCGCTCACGTCTTGACGGGCTTAGATGATCCCTTGACCGGCTTAAACGTGACCGGCTTGGACGGCCCCTTCACGGGCTTAGACGACCCTTTCACTCCCGGGCCGCCCTTGACCTGAGATTTGATCGCTCCTGTGGGTATTACTAGGACTTTCATGTCTTCTTTCTCGTCGATTTTGAATGGAGGTTCTGGATCTGGAGGGAGGGAGGCGAGTGAGACTCTGGGTGTTTTGGGTAAGATTATCCTCTGAGGCTCGAGAGACCGCTGAGCTTAGGAGCCTACCTTTGTGAGACGATGGTAGGGGCTCCGAGTGCGAGTCTGAGTGTGGACACGGGGGGTTGGTCGGGTGGGAGCTTGGGGGTTCGGGAAGGTAGGCAGATGCGAGGAGACGGAGTAGTCAAAGGCCGCAAGCAATTGGCCATAGGTCTTATACGGGGACGTCGGAGTGTGCAGTGGCCACGCTGTTGAGGCGAGGCGAGAGCACGGAGCAGGGCATGTAAAGACATAAATAGCGCCGATTACTTAATTTTTGTGCCCCTCCCGAGGCATGGATCATAACGGTATGAAGATGCCGTGCAGCAGATCGCAGCTCCGAACCGTGGAGATGGATTAGCCTAGAATTTCATGCATTATGCGGAGTCATTCTCTGAATGCCCTGCTCCGACGTTCCATGACACCAAATCCACTTCCGGGTTGACCTCGTTCGACGATTAGCCACTTGCTAAAAATACCTCCGCCAACTGAGGATGAAGTAGCCCGACTTCTTTGTGTAGCCCTCCAGTCTCAATGATGCACGGTTTTTTGTTGTTGTGCTTGGCATCCCCTGTCGGGGCATCAGATCGATCAATGTGCGCCACACGCCTTAGCACCATATTTGGTTATCTCGCCGGGGCGCAAAAATCGAAGTGTCTTGGCGTGCTCGACAATGACCAGATTATAGGTTTTGTCACTAGCACATAAATCCTAGTTGAAGAGTTATCATCGAAGAGTGAAATTCCGGTTACAATCTTTGCTCCAGGCTGATTGACTCTCGGTGTGTGGTGGTATGGTGTCATGGGGGGTAAGCAATTTTGAGCTTGGCTTGCTGTCGTTGAAATCGCAGTGGCATATTTAGCATATTGCTCATCCGTTGCCTTGAAGAGGAGCCAGCAACCGCCTTTGAGCATACGCATGTGGTGTTGAGAAGAACGTTTAACGTATACATTATTGTCCATACGAAGCCTCTAGTAGTAAGTCACGGGTTGGATACTCGTCGCCGTCACTTGCTCCTCTTAGTGTCTTCATGACCATTGACTTTGACACCCCTTTCGTTTTCCTGGAAGCACCAGTAGTTTATCATGGATGCTTTGGTGCAAAGTTCAAGAATTGGAGAGCCTATGCTCGTTCAACAGGGTCTATTGAATGACCGGCGCAACGCTTCTACATGCAGTCAAATATTAGTCACGGCGGGGGCATAGTCCAGAATGAATCTTTGAGCTGATCCCACCCCGGAAGACTAAATAAAATAGACAGGCCAGTCCATGATCCCTCTCCTGCCTAAGTCAGGAACACCAAACCTCATTTCACCACGGTTGGGTAAGGAGGATGATTGTGATGGACTGGGGTTGGTGCAGTGATCTTGTGATGAAATTCACCGAGCATATATTCCCGTGATAGATGCAGAGCTCGTCTCCAATCTCTATGTCTTCTCACATGTCGCGATGAAACGCTTGAAAGCGTCACCGCTGGCCCGTTCATTGAGTGGATACACCCATGGCACGGGTTTATGGCCAGAGTCGAGTCTATGGAATAGAGACCCTGCCTGAGGCATAGGAATACGATCCTCGGGGTTGGGAATAAGGGGTTGCACGGGTTCCAGCAGCTCCAGGATCCTTAAGACGAGGACGGGTGATCCCGAATGCTCGGGCAGCGTCGAGAGCTCTAAACGAGCCCGCACAAAACCTGCTCCCGAGATCTCCGAATGAGTTGTTGCAACACACACAAGCACTAAGAGACACCTATCCGCATATACAGCAATGGACCTAGAGCCGTACCTAAATATGTAAGGAACTTCGACAAGCTCGAACATTGAGGGGTTAATGAGCCCCAAATGTAAATGCCGCGAGGATAGGTTGACCACGAACGGCCAGTCAAGGGCGTACAGCGGGCGGTAGCCCTGGATGGCGCTGGGCAACTTCCCTATCTTCTCCATAACGTGCTGTTCGACGAGGCCGTCTTGAATGATGAGGTTGCGCAGGAGCTCCATACGAGGCGCCTTGACGATGTGGTAGAGGGGAATACTCCAGGGCTTCATGCCATCAGGCGCTAGGAGGTCAGAGCCATCTCGGAAGGCTGCTACGTCATGGCAGACGCGAAACCGAAGCTCGCCACTCATTTCGGGTTCTCCTGTTGACGGCCGGCGGTAGTACAGAACTCCCTTGCTGTTGGGTGGGAATGGCTTCTGGCCGGCGATAAGGTTTCCGTATCCGATGAGGACGGGTCTCTCCCTACCGTCCTGCAATCGTAGTCGGAAGGTGACAGCATGCCTCCCAGAAATATCACATATCGGTTGTCCCATCACTTCCATCTCCTCCGGGCGAAGTGTGAAGACATTTTTGGTGGATCGGTCACCAATTTTCTTCGGAAGCTTATCCTCGGGCAATGGGGGCAGACCAACGAACTCTCTGAATGCAGGTGCAAGGGCGTTCTTGAGTTTCAAAGACCAGGGGCCGTACTTGCCGCGGTCGTGTTTGGAGAGAAGTGCACCAGGCCGAGGGTCTAACTTTATCCCACGAAGGTGGCACTCGATGGGGGTCAGCAGCTCCAGGACGCGCAAGACGAGCGTCGGTCCTTGGGCAGCATGTTCGGGAAGGGTGGAAAGTTCGAAGCGTGCCTTGATTCGTCCTACGAGCGTCAGTAGAATTAACAAATACGGAGGAAAACTCACCTGTGAAGATGGAACTACGCAACCCACTGCGGGCGTTCAGGAAAACTCTTACAGTGAGGACGTGCCCCAGGTTGACCAGTATGAACGTGACACCTATCTGCGCCAGATCTAGTTCGAACGGCTGTTCGAGCGAGTACAAAATCCTCGAAGCGCGGTCGCAGATCACGCGGGGCAGCCGGACAATAGCGTCTACCACGGTAGACGAGACGAGCCGATCGTGGATGAGCAGCTGGATGAACGATTTGTATCGAGGTGTCATCACCATCCTATAGAGGTTCAGCGACCATGGCCTCGTCTTGTCTGGGGACTGGAGGTCAGGAGAGCGCGCGAAGAGGGCTAAGTCCTTGCACAGCTTGAATCGCAGCTCGCCGCTGAGGACGGGTGCACCTGGGGCAGGTGTGTGGTAGTAGAGCACCCCCGTCGACCCGAGAGGAAAGTGAGCTTCTCGATTGTTCACCCAACCATAGCTAACCTTGCACTTCTGAGGCGGATTCAACTGTGTCACTTTGAACAGAGGGGCTGTGTAGCCTGAGATGTCATGTGTGCGTTGGCCAGAGGAAAGCATCTTTGTTGCATCTAATGTGATAAGTTCGCGTTCCTGCTTTGGCATTGAGGACTTCCTTGGCCGGGCTGTCTGACTCTACACGAGATACAGGTACATTCGGGATGGGCATGGATATCGACGTACCGAATGTGACCCTCCTGCTTCCGTTGAATAACCTGCTCCACTTGGATCATGCCACCATAGTCCACGGTCAAGGAAACTGTGTAGTCCCTTAGAGTTCACCAAGCCGACCGAGCTCGGTCTTTGAACAGCAATTTCAAAGGAGGCGAAACGTTGCCGGAGAAGACTGCTTGCCCCTGACAGTTTCATGCGAGCTAATTTTCGCAATTGGGTGTCGGAAATGTGAACGACTGACCTGCAGTCCAGGTGGGATCAGTATAGAGAAAACCGTTCAACTTGAACTCGTGCTTGCGTGAGGCTATGCCCGGGCCGACGGGCCGAAAAATTCCCACATGCACTTCGGTTTGTTTAGGGAGACTGAGATCCACTGCTTTCGCAAGTTGTAACCGTGGTGTTCAGGTCAGCATACCTTCGTTATACTATGTGTAGCGCGCTGAAACTACTTCTACTTTTCTCAGACGACCACTGTCAGGCACCATGTTCAGGTTGCGGAGATCGACATCTGACATCCGAGTCGAGACATCCGAGGATTCCCACTTGCAATCACCGGAACCACATCGACTTCCACAAGAGATATTCGATCTCATAGTCGACTTTATCGCGTCGCACAAGCGCGAATCAAATGAATGGAGAGACACCCTTGTTTCTTGTACAAGTGCCTTCAGGTCACTGAGGTCCAGAGCGGTTGTGATGCTATTCAAGGAAGTCGAACTTCGCACCAATCCCTTCAACATACAACGGCGAGCCGCCAGGCTCCTGAAGGTGCTCAAAGGCGATCTGCGGCTTGTTGAGAACATGCATTCGTTCACCGTGTCTTTATCATTCGACAGACACCACCCTGCCGTGCGCGCAGGCCAAATCCTTCACCCTCGATATCGCCGACTCGCACTCTCCGCAGTGGACACGATTAGACTGAAGAGAGGCTCTTTCTTGGAAATCCTGGAGCTTATCCTCACACACTCTCAACTGCGAACCCTCGGGGTCGAGGGCAACTATAATTGGGAGGGCCAGCTATTATCAAGGAAGGAGAAGGAAACCCTGATCGCGATTCGGTCGATGCCCTCTATCAAGACTCTCGGCCTCTGCGGAATAAACCACCTCGACCCGAGGATGTTCTTCGGAAACCGTCCATCGGAGAACACCTTGGACAAGATCGTGCTCGATGGGATGCTTAACTACGGCCCCATACCCAATAATCTCGTGCCACCTCCCCCGCCCTCGAATATAACGTCGGTGCAGTTATCCGACAGGTCGTGTCGTCTGTTGGATTTTATGATGCAGCGTCTTCATGAACCTTCTCCCTTGAGCATCAGAACATATCCCACTTACTTTCCCGCTCTCAAAAAGCTGAAGATAAGCTACGTGGGAAGTTTGGGAGACTTGACGGCTATGTGGTATTTCATCACAACTGCGACGTCCCTTGAGTCCCTCGAACTTGAACATATAGGGAACTATGGTACGTCCATGTACAACCCAACGCTTTGCTAATGTGCTTGCCGTTTATAGCTGACCCAACTATCCTCCAGGCACGCGACAGTCTGTCGTGGAAAGTGTCTGGTGCCTCAGTGACTTAGGCGCACTGCGTCACCTCAAGTTCAGTACCGGAACGAGAGACGGACCTAAGTCGAGACGGAATATCCAGGTCATCATGGAGATACTGCGGTCCTCCAGGGAACCCAGCGCAATCCAATCTCTAGCCATTGACTTCGATATCCCGGCCAACGGTGAAATAGACCTGACGCAGAATTCCGTCAAACAATATTGGGAGCAAGTGGAAAGGATCTTGACAGGGCCCCAGTTCCCCGCATTGCGCTCGGTGAAGATCAACATCAAGGTTGCACGGCCCAGCGATGACGATGATATCTCGTACGTTGCTTCACGCCGCGTTTCGCTCGAAGAATGTGGTTTTGGCACTCAGGATGTTATGCCTTCATTAATTTCCTGCCCTTGGATATATACTGATTTTATTGTCACTCATTATGACTATTAACACTGCTCACCTCCCTACAAATGCTCAAAGTTCAGAGCAGGATGGCTATCTATCATGACGAGCGCCTGAGTTGTATATTACACAAGTTGAAAGTATAGCTAAGTATGGCAGATCATTTGAACACTCGATAGTGTCTGGATAAAAGCTCCTTCACAGCTTCATGAACCAGGCCGTTCTCGCCCATTCACCAATTACCACCTCGACCTTGTGCTGGTATTCAGAACGGCGCCATGTTACATGAAACCAGAATGACAGCTACAAACCGAAATCGAGCAATACAAAGTTGCGTTTGTTACTATTATCTGCGACTAGCACCCGACCAGAACCTTCATCAACAAAGCACGCTGAGTCGGACCCTAGATCCTTGGGTAGGACAGTATGGTTGACTGAGCGTAGAACTCTATTTGAACCAATATCGTCAACCTCCGCGGGCCATGAATTATATCGCGTTACGTTCAATCGACCTCTCATGTAGGGAAGAAATGAATGGCAGTATGTTCGCGTAGGATGCCAATTACCGGGGCGTAACAGACTGGAGAAATCCAGAAGATGGTTCATGGTGGGGTGCTTCCATTGGGGAGAGGTGCTGTCAGGGTCGATAACAACAGAATAGATGGATTTGCCACATTGGAGGATGAATCGAGCGCCGTCATTGCTAAAGAATGGTTGTAGGACGATACTTTGGACGGAAGGGAATTCGAATTCCCAAATAACTCGAGGCGCAGCTGCAGAATTCACCTGCACGGGTTTAGAATTTTGCCTCTCTTCGACTTCACCGTAGTCTAAAAGTGTAAGCGTTTTGAACGAACTCGCCAACAATCTGTTGCCGAGAAGGAGAGATAAAGATAACTGTTTGACCAAGGCACTTTTAGCTTAATTCAACGAGGACGACAGGGTTGGAGGCTTACTTACTGCTTGGTGTTTAAGGATCCTGCTCGAATAAGACTTGGGGTCCTTGATGTTTACCCAAGACACGACAACAATGTGACTCCACAGGGTGAATGCGAGCTCCGGCCCAGAGAGTGTGATGGACAATACGGTTAAACTTTGATTACTTTTGTGCAGGAATGTAGAAAGGCATGTGGCATCAAGCCCTGCAGCTCGATCCGGCCTGTCAGCTTCGAAGAGAAAGCTTACACGCCAAACGGATATTCCGAAGCTATTGTCGGAACGAGCAGAGTCAAAAGACCAATAGGCAAGCGTGAATGAAGGGAAAATTGACGATTGCGACTCATCCAGCGAGAAATATGCGGCGACTTTTGCGCCAGGAAGAGGGGTAGCATCTGGGGAGATAAGCAAGGTCGGAGTGGGGGTGATGGCGTCGAGGTCACAGTAGTACAGGGATTGATTTGACGCCTTGAAGAGCAGCCAGCGACCACCTTTCAACAAGTACATACTGTGATGGTCAATTTCCTTGGCATTCTTCAGAGAAAAGTCTCTTCTGAGAGGTGGATCGGCTGCCTCTTTTGTGAAGTGCCACTCAGCACGTTTCCATCGTAGAATCAGTCTCTCTAGATCGCCCGATGGATATCTTTCGATAGGTCGTTCAAGTTGGAGTGGAAACGGCTTGATATTTGAATATTTGTTGAAGAGATTCAGCCAGATCAGTCTAGCATGCGACATTTCTTTCAGGAATTTGTTGGTCTGGGCAAAGATCAGACATTGAACTTCAAGTTCTGTGGGTTGTGGGAGTTGACTGGCCTGGCGAAGCCGTAAAATATCACGGAAGGAGACAAATTTGAGGATTTCGAAAAGTATATCGTGTGGCAAGGTCAATAAACCACTGGTAGGCGCTTCGTGGTCGGATGCCTTCTCCAACATGGTGGTTTGAAGAACACTCACGCAAAGGGTGAAATATCCTGCATCCCAAGAACGTCTGCGAGCTTGTCCAGGAGTACAGTGTGCTGTGCATCGCCGCTTTGACGCGACAATTGTGCGCCTTCAGCGACGAGAGCTTTGATCGCGCTCAGGACATCTCGGATGCTTCTAGACTGGTGCTCCTGGTGAACGACAATCTTCATTGCTGTAGGAGTATTGGATAGGGTGCGACGAGGTGAATAGAGTGGTGGGTAGTTGAAGGACACTTTGCAAACGGTGGTTCAAGAGGAAAAGAGGACGAAGCCGATTTCTCACGGAATGCAGGCTGTGCCCTTACATTTACCCTCAAGCTCAAGTGGAATCCAATGGTTGATGAGAGGAGTATGTACGACAGCAGGATAGCAATGCAATTAGATGGTTTTCGACAGGACTATTTGAAAGCTTAAGCTTAAGGGTTACGCGGATATTAAGTGAATGATATCATTGACGAAGAGTTTCAAGCTGCGGTTAACGAGCACGCAGCTTGCGAATGCCCCATCCTCGGACAGATTTTTTTGCCAGTGCTCGCAGGCTGAGGGCATCTCTGTATGGGACATCATTCGCATCAAGCTGCGACACGGCGAAAATTGTTTGGGCAAGGGTCGATGCTGGCTTGAAGTGTGCTCGGTGGACATGGATGTCTTCAAGGTACACTTTGAGGTTGAGCAGATCCTACAGCACATCAGAACGAGATACAACACACAACAGATAAAGGGCCGGTACGAACCTGCTGCCTCAGTCGTTTCTTGCCCTTGACGAGGATTTGCAGAGCTGTTACCCACTCCTCAACTTTCTCGGCCAGTCCATCGGGTGGGTCGACCAGTTCGTCGTCCTCGTTATCTAGCTCGTCCTCTTCGTCCGCTTCCTCGTCCTCGTCCTCGTCCTCCTGTTTTTGGCTGATGTTCGAAAGCTCCTCGGATTTGACCGCAATACCAGGCAAGTCATCCCCATCGATATCAATAAACGCTGGTTTGGCCCCACTCGCCGTCCTAACCAGCTTTCGTTTAGACCTTCGCGGAGACCCCAAAGATCGGCGACGCTTCCGTCCCGTTCTCGAAGCCGATTCGGGCTGCGTCTCCGACACAACTACCTCTTTGACCTCCTCGTCACCTGACTCTTCTTCCTCCTTTGCCACGGCCCTCTCGTCGCCCAAGTCTTCGACCTTCATCTCTTGATCATCTCCCTCGAGGGCATAGACTTCCACAAGCTCCTCGTGCCACATCGTCGCCTCCGGCGCCAGCTCGATGATGACCATCTGGAACCGTGCTCGTTCTTCAGCACTCCAGAGGTTGCGATAACGAGGCTGTAAGTAGTCCGAGTCGAAGATGGTCGGAATGCGTAAGGATACAGATGTCGATGGCGTTTCTGACATTTCGAACATGCACTCATTGCCTGCGACAAAATCATCTGAAGGCTTGGGTGTTGAAGGCTTAGGGGTGGAAGAGGACGTTGATGGGACTAGATCGGGATCGGGATTGGGCAGGGCCAGAGTTTCGATAGCAGGAACGGAAGGAGGGCGGGCATCGACAGGGGCAGGTTCGAGAGGGAGGGGTTCTTCTTGGTGAGTCGGTTTCGGCAGCGGTAGTCTCCAGAGGAAGAGATGGGTCTTGAGGTTCAATTTCGACGGGCTGGTGGTCTAAGGACTGGACATGAAGATCGGAGTTACCTGGAGTGAGAACATCATCCAAGATATTCGGAATAGGACTAGAGGTATCTTCTCCCTCCTCGATGTTGGGTTCAACGACGAGTTCGACAGAAGGTTCTTCCGCAGCTGTTGGTGCTGTCAGGTGGTCTGGAGAAGCGGTAGGAACGACAGATTGTTCTCGAGAACCGGAGCCTTCTTTTACAGTCGTACTTAGTCCGTCAATGTGCTCCTCAGGCGGAGGAGTAAAGAGACCTTCAGATGTGACTTCGGTAGCAGCTCCGTCCGCAGGACTTTCGGGAGGAGTGAGCTCTGAGACGGCCTTAGGAAGCACCTCGTCGATATCCACGTCAACGGGAAGAAATGAGGTAGGAGGGGGGCCAACTGAATTTTCGACCACATAGACGCTATCTCTTTGAGGATCGACAACGTCGCTAGACAGATCTTCAGGTAAGAATCCAACTTCTTCTGGAATTTGGAGGGCTGAGGAGTCTGGGGTACGTTCGCGAGAATGAGTGGCAGGAGGGGAAGTGCTCTCGATAGCAGGCGAAAGTGTGCGGGCGTTCTGAAGCTGGAGGGCCATGGGGCCGATGAGTTCATACTCAACCTCTGGTGACTGCCGGACATTCTCGGTTTCTTGAACGTCCGTGTCTTGAATATGGTTGGGTGGAGGAGAACAGGACGGAGATGGCGAATAAACCAGCGGTAATTCTGGTGAAAGTGGCTCTGGTGGGGGTTCTGGACCTTCTGTGTATATGGGGGGTAATGGTTCTGCGTCGAGAGGTCTATGATGTGGAGGAGAGGGGGTGTATATAAGAGGACGCGAGAAAGTGGTAAGCGGAATAGAGGAGGGGAAGAAGACGGAATGCTGCTGATTCTTGGCAGGAGAGGCGGGTAGCAGTAACTCGTCGTCAGATGTCAACATGTCTCGAGCTTGATCAACTTGATCCTCTCCGGCATCGTCCGGGGCGGAGAAAAGATATTCCAAGTCGTCGTGGGCAGGGAGGGCAGAAGAGGAGCTCGGGCCAGCGTGTGAGTTGTCATCGAAGGGATTGTCACGTTCTTCCGCATTTGGTGTTGGAACTTCAATAGGCGTCAATGAAGCATTGGTCTTGGGGATCTTTTGAGGAGCAGGCTGAGATGGGTGTCAGACAAAACGGAAATACAGGACACGAAAAGCCATACTGGTCTTGGTCGAGTATATCCCCGTGTCTTCTCGCTGGGCCCAAAGATTTCGTCGATAAGTCGATCACTGCGTTCAAAGCGAGAAATGGAGGGAACAGCGACTGTCCGTTGGATGGGTTTTCCTTGTGGAACTGGATTTCCCATCACTGCATCCACCACTCTCTGCAAAAACCGGAGGTTCATCCTGGCCGCTCTTTCCAGGGTCTCGACCTCTCCCTCCTTGAGCTTCACGAAAGATGCGGTGGCTACGTCAGCCTGGGCCCATATTTCGAGTTCGTCGATATCGGCTTCGTATGGTGGCTCTTCTTCAGGACCAGGTCTCAAATGTCTCGATGCCCTTGGGGTGGTGAGGCTAGATAAGGGAGAGCGAGGGCCGAGAGCCAGACGTCTGTGAGGAACGTAGTCGCCTCCATCGCTTTCATGGACGCTTGCTGAACTCGATGCAGTGGCAAGTATCGATTCGGGGATGATGGGGAAATGTGGGTCGACATCTGGTTGTCTCTCGCGCAACAAATCTCGTTGGATGTAGCGGAAGGGAGTGACGAAAGGGCCCTCTTCGATGGCTGAGGTGGAAGGACCCTCGGGAATATAGTCCAAAGTGAAAGTGTTCTCCTCAATGGGGTGCGGGACGCCTGAATAGAAAGGGTTTTCTGATTCGCGTATTGGAACGACTTGTGGGAAGGGGGCGGTGACGACAGGTTCGGGCTCGGGAGCAGCGTATCGTGCAACGGACCACTGGTGGGATGACGCGCCCGACCCACTGGCCGATACACTTGACTGTGAAGTCGGGAGAGATGGTCGCAGATGGCGAGAGGGGACTCGATCGCCTCTGTCGCGCGAGTGAAAGGAGCGGGGATGTCCAGGGAATGTACTGTCGACGCCGGGGTCGGGGGTAGCGTTCCATTTGGGAGAGGGTGCTGTTTCTGCGAACACCGAGTTCAGCACATGTGCTAGCTGGGAAGTAGCTTCACGTTGAGTTGTGGGGACTTTGCCGGAGGGAACTTTGCCAAGAGGAGTTGATGTGGAAGATCGTCGTTCATCGTCGAGTTCGGTACCTGAAGAGACGATCTTCTGTTTCTTGTGCGGTGGTCGTTCGTTGAGCCTGTCGCGGTCAGCATGATCAAGGTCAACTCGGCCGGCATCGAGATTCCGGGAAGGACCGCTCCTATTTTTGGAAATAGTGTCCGGATCGGGACGGGGTGGCCATACTGGCCAAGGCCCGTCTCCCGGTTGTTCTGGAGGTGGGCTTGCCACATCAGCTGGTTGCTCCACAACTCTTGGGGAGAAAAGAGGTGGTGGGATCCAGGAATAATCTGGGGCACTCAAAAATGAAAATCCACTATCAATAAGAAAAGTCAAAAATGTTACCATCATTGGGATGACTTGGGCTTGATTTGCGTGACTCTGGAGAGAGCATAAGCAAACCTGATGAGGCACTCTGTCTAAACATCTTCAGGAAATGGTGTGAGTCAGGATAATATGAATTAAGAACAAAAAACAAACAAAAGTTGACAATCAACCAGGAGTTATTGTGTTCAGATTAAGTGCTTCTATGTCGTAATGTCTGTGATATAATTAACGTCAGCCAATGCTAGACAAGCAGAAGAAGAAGAACAGAGGAAATAATAGACAGCCAAGATCACAGTGCTCAAGCTATCAAGCAGAACCTCAAAGTAAAGAGTATAAATATGATATTTGAGCACATGAAATCTTATGCTCAAGAACTGCTTCTGAAGAAATTCCAAATGCATGAAGAAGATTTTACAACATTTAAGACAAGAATGACATAGGATCCTCAGTGCAGTGGACATTCCTCCACTTTAAGACAGAAAACAATAACTAGTCTGAAGTCGTTTAATTGACCAAACCTTGACCAAGTGTAGTTGGCAGTGAAAACCAAGTGCTTGTAGCAGCCACAAGAATAGAGAGAGGGAAGAGAGAGAATAATCAGGCATTAAAGAAGAGAAAAAGTGTTTGTTGTGTGCACCAGACAGAACTCTAGCACTGTTGTTGAACAGCAATTGGTATGCACAAGTTGGATTTCAAGAGGAAGATAATATAGTTTGGAAGAGGCACTCACCTTTGTCTAGTGCTGGTAAGATAACATCAAAGCAAGAAGAAAGCAAAGTGGTTGAAAGCAGTGAGGAACAAAGACCCAGTATGGTGGCAGAAGGCAAGAAAGCCTGGAAAGTCACAGGTTGATCTTATATTTGTGACACTGTCACACTTTGTCAGCATGGCTCAATGAGAGTGAGTTGTGCTGTAAGATAATCTATCTTATCTCCCATCTGAAGAAAGGAGGAAAACTTGTTCTTTGCCCAGAGTTCACATGATTGTTTGATATTTCAAGGCCACAATTACAAATCTTACCTGTGAGCCTTAGTGCATGCAATAAGCCTTGAATGGTAAATTACAAATTACAATGGATGACTTTCCTTAATGTTTAGAGCTGATTCTAAATGTTAAATCTCATTTCAAAGGATAGGGCCAATGCATGCCACTGTCAACTGTCAAGACCCCAGAAAATATTTTGTTCTCTGTTCTCTTCAAAGGTCATTTCAAACGACAAATCTAGGAGGAGGGTAAGTACCCCCCTTCCAAGCTCTAAAGCCTCATTCCAGGCTTCAACACTCCTATTTATGCATGTTCCTGATGACGGCAGCCTTTGGCATGCCCCATTCATGCCTCATTGCCCTTTTCACCATGTGTGAAATTCCAGACCCCAATCTCTGGAAACTCTCATCCTCTGTTTCAATCCCTGATGCTGGCACCCCATCGTTTATAGTGTTGCCGCGAGCTGAGTTCAAGCTGAACTCAAGCTGACGGTTTTCAAACTCCACTCACCTCGAGTTGAGCTCGAGCTGCAACTCAGCTCGGTCACCTCGAGCTCGCCTTCCGTAAATAGAAGTCACACCGAATCTAAGCGCTCGCCGAGCCTGGGTGCCATTGAAGGAGGAACAGAGCAGATTGTTGTTATAATACTTGGCATACAGTACAATACTGCGAAAATTAATGTATTTGTGAGCAATGGAAAGCAGAATGTGAGTGAAAGGAAAAGAACTTGATGGAATAAAGCTTAAATGGCATTAGCTATAAGTGAGTCCAGGTCCCTGATCGAGGATGCATCGTCCTTCTTTTCTGCACCCCACCCTTTGAGTGACTTGTCTATGTACTTCCTTAACTCGTCTATCATACTATAGGAGAGTAAGTCCTCGACTTTCTCAACTGACATGTCAAGAACTGACAACTCCTGCTCCGTACAAACCAGCCCATCTGCGAATGTCAACCAATCATTCCTGTAGATGAACTTCAGCATTTGAAGTTCCTCCATCTTCAGAGGAGCAATTTTCGACCATCTGCAGACATCTGTTTCCTTGCTCGATGAGAAAACATGCTCGCAAGGGACTGCAGATGCCTGAACAGGAAGGACATCAAGGGCGAGTCTCCAGAAGAGCTCATGTTCCCCCTGGTGGACCTATATCGGACTCAGTGGGTCACAATCCCTGATATTTGACTTCTGAGAGATTTCTTACCTGCCACCATTGAAGCAGATCAAAGTCTTGAAATCTTGAGTCGTCGCAGTCTGGATTTGCACAGGCCGCCTTGTATTTCACTATAGCCTCGTCAACTATTCTCTTGTCTGCCTCCAGGGCAACTCTCTCTATTTCTTCAGGACTTTGAGGCACACCGGCGGTAGTGGGACTTGGTGGACTCGTAGGAGAAATGCCCAGAGCTGAAGTGGTTCACCGACCAAGAGCATTGAAGCGCTGCCATCTGGAGCGTTGTGCAAGAGCAGCATGGGACGCTGAGGCGGTCCTTTCAATCCTTCGTGTTGCTGGCTGCTCTGGGAGTGATGGTCGTGTCGGTGTTGGAGTATCCTTCTCTTCTTCTTTTTGTTTGTGGTGTTGAAACTCAAGGAGCTTAGAAACGGTTTCGTTCAGTAATGCGCAGATAGAAATAGGAGAGGACATGACTCACTGCATCGTGTACTGCTTTGTATGCAGCCTGGTACTCGTCTGAACTCCAGTTCTTCTCTATCCACTGGAAGCCAATCATTGGATTGAGGACTGTAATTAAATGTAATGTGATCATAAATTTCGCAAGATTCAAGGACAGAACTTACCCATTGCAAGAGCATACACTTTCGTTCGACGAGAAACCTTAAGGTATGCCTCGAGTTTGCTGATGAAGGCATCAATTGCATGAGCAATTTGTGGAAGATCAAGGTGTAGGTCTCTGAGCATAGTAATTAGCTTTTCATACATAGGGAGTACGATCGATAAAGTCGGTGTCCTCTCTCCAGAAACGATTTCCTGTATGACATGGAAATAATGGAGGAAGTGAAAGATATGCCTGAGTACTTCAAGGTCCATATCAGAGAACTCGTGTGCTGCCATGTCTGAATTTTCCTCGATCATCTTCTTGACAGCCTAGGGTGAGACCTCGGTCAAATATCTAGAAGAGGGGATGAAGGACAAGGCATGAACTCACAGGATATTGCTCAAGAAATCTTTTGATCATGAGATAAGTTGAGGACCATCGGACGTCCATATCCTTAAGCAAGCCAACAACCTTAAGGCTTTGCTTCTCTTCTCCCCAGCCTCCTGCTTCGTTCCCTTCTCAAATGATCCGCTCAAACTCCTCCCGATGCAGTCCAGATGCCCGACAAGCAGTAACAAATCGTCTAACTGCAGCCACAACATCGGATTCAAGAGATTCCTGATATTGTTGTCTGTACAAGCGCGCTTGAGCGTCTTCAATGTCTGGTTCACGTGCACTCTCGTCCTCGGCAGAGCAAATGTCGGAAGGGAAAGTGCTGCCGAGATCGAGCTCAGGGTCGAACAGTGAGACAGTTGTGAGGTGCTTTCAACCTTCCTTCACTGCTAGATTAATGACATGTGGGAAGCACCTAGAAATTAGAGTAAGTAAGTAGAAATTATGACAAGCTGAGTGCTTGGGGCGCACCGTATCTGATTCCCTTCCCTATCAAAGGGAATTCCAAGCTTGTGAAGCTCATTTTCAAGGTCCTCCATCATGGTATCATTGTTGGATGCATTATCCATTGTGAACATGGAAAGCTGAGGCATCTATGAGCCTGTATCCGGAAGTGAATAAGCTAGTACATACCTTGTTCAAACAGTCAATCTCCTTGATGATCTGCAGGAATACCTTACCAATATTAATACCGCTGTGGCTTCCATAAAGTTGTCGAAAGGCGACAAGTTGCGTTCGTATGAGAAGATTCCCGGTCTCCTTGGATTTTGCCGCATAGTGTACCGTGACCGCCATGTAGCCTTCAAGAGTCTGACAAGACCAAATATCACTTGTGAATGAAACATGTCCCAGAGAGTTCTCGGGACAAGCACCTTTGAGATTGAATGCTAAGATAAAGTGCTAAAGAGCACATACCTGAATATTGAGGAGCATTCGTGCATATTCTCGTTTGAAAGCCTCAGTGATAAGCTCAGAAAGTTTTGTGCGATGGGGGATATCACTGTCCTTGAGATCAACACTTATATAAAGCAAAAGATCTCGAAGCTCTGGACAATCGACGACGTTAATAGACTGTTGGCAGGGAAATTTGAGCAGATGTTGACTCGGGAGGATTTATAAATAAAATACCTGATCATCAACCGCGATCCACCGCACGAGACGCTGGTAGAATCCGGCAAGAGTAAAGGTCTCTCGTTCCCTTTCATTCTGCCCATCCTCCACACAGCCTTTGACCCCGAGTTCTTCCCACCCCTTGAGCTGCTTAAGAAGGACAACCTCCCGCCACATTTTAAAATGCTTTGACTGTAAATGATTTCGTATGGCTGTCCTTTGCCCATCGGTATTCTTCCATGTTGTCCAACCCTTGCCATCCTTGCCACTACCATAGAGAGAGATATTAGAATTATAAAATACTAGAGATGATAAGGAATTGACTTATGTGCATAAAATGCATCCTAGATGAGAGTACTGCTTCGGACTTGGTCTTTCTTCAGTGAGTGTCTCCTTTTCCGGCATGGTTTCTGGACGAATATTGGATTTAAGGCCTTGCGTGAAGTACCAGATGTCGGTTGCAAGTGTCATGTTGTTTTTGTGAATTTTGTCCAAGGCAATCTTCCAGGAATAAGCTGATGGTCCTGAAGCATGAGCGAGACAAGGATGGACAGCGCTCGTATCGTTTGATTGAGTAGAAGCAGGCACAGTGTTCAGTCCTACACCGGAAACTGCTTGACTGGGTAACTGTGTGCTCGAGGAGCCCGGAACAGGCTGCTGCGCTGTAGCGCAGGGCCCTGAAGCAGTTTGCTCTGTGTTTCGCCGCTTTGCCGCTGCACCTCGATTTGACATGCCTTTCCGCTTTTTCCCAGTCCCAGATGAAGGTGCGACAGACTCAGGGGCGGTATTGACAGTGTAGGCAGTCGTATCAGTCATAACGACCTCACGAAATATGTTGGGCTCGGGTGGAAGGTTGTTGGAGGGATGAAGTTGTTGATTGTAGGTCGCCTGATACATATTTTGAAACCCCATATTAATCTGAAGGTGTTGAAAGCTGGGTAAGGTCAAATGCTGAGAAAAATTGGGGGCTGACAGCACATAGTGTTGTGGGGGCAGCACGGCCTGATAAGCCATATTTGTTGGCGGCGGTATGTGCCCGGGAAAGAAGTTATTGAAGGATTGAGCGCAGACACAATGACGAGGATCAGAGGAACCACAGGAACAGTGCGCTCTTGACATGCGAGAGCGAACTGGAGGGTGCTTTTTTCACATACTGCAAACCCCATTTTATACCAAAGAGTCAAGACGCTCAACAAAGCTGCGTTCAACAAACGCGAATGCGTCCAAGACATCACGTTCTTGACCCTTGCCGTGTTCTCCCCAAACGACAAGCTGCATACCTTGTCTTGTTATGTTCTCTCTCCTTGACAGTCGGAACGTGAAGCTTACCATAAATTAGAGATCAAATTATCACCATGACTGCAGAGCCAGGGAATCGAGACTGAGGGTATCGGTGCTCTATAGCTGCCAATTCTGAGGGTACGAGGGTGGCTGGAAGGGCTGGAAATTGAATCTCATTCACTATTTACCATACAGAATACTACAAGCGCTCGTAGGCGCTTGATGCCGTCACACTATCTGCCTGATTAAGGCGGTTCTTGCCTGCCCGGGAGCAGTGCTGGATTAGGTTAGTCGAGCCGAGGCTCGGGTGGCTCGAGCTGCCAAGAAGGGAGACCACCCGAGCTGAGCTGAGCTCGACCTCGAGTTCAGCTCGGCTCGCGGCAACACTAGTCGTTTACTTTAGGGCCTCAAACCCATTAAGGAAAGACATCCAATATCATGTCAAATTCACAGCAAAAGTCCAACATGGTGAAGGCTGACAGATGTCGTCCACATTGGTCCTGGATATAAGATGTGGCTGAAATAATGGCCCACCACACCAGAGAAGACAATAAGAGACTTGAATACATTTTGAAAATGTGAGACTTTAACAACAGATTGAAATCCTCATTTTTCATAGTGCAAATGTTCAAGCCAGAGGGTGCATGTATAGCCACCATCACCAAATTTGCAACACAAATGTGCAGAATTCCGGCGAAATCACCACATTTAGAAATAATTTCCGTTTTCGCTTCTCTGTGTCATTTATACATTCCAGCGGACATCGGCAACTCAAGAGATGATTGTCGCGATGCGTTGGAGTCTTCCAGTTCATTTTCTTTCTTTGAAACACTGATAAGTTGGTGTCTCTAAACGATGACGGGTATGGACACCATAAATTAGCATGTTTACACATGATGTGCATGTCTATATCTTAGCAATAAGAAGGTTCCCAAGCATCTCTCGCGCCGTAATACGAACAGTGCTATACAGCGTCGGAACGTCTAACGTAGATGTGAGAGTATCGGCGAAACCGAAGGGGAGCATAAGCGGGATCCAACCTGATATAATCCACGTCAGACCGAGCTAAACACGCAAGCAAAAAGAGAGAACATACCCCTAGCGTACTCGAGCGCCCAGCAGCCTTCGTGCATCTTGTACTGCTTCGCAACACCTCTCGGCATGAGGTGCACCATCCCAGGTGTGTACCTCTCCATCTCCAGCGCGCCCGGCTTGAAAGCCCACTGTTCACCATGCAGAATATGGAAGTAATCGTCGGCGGTGTGGATGCCCGAGTGTCCTTCCGTGCCTAGGGGAGTACCGAAGATAATGAGGTACTCCGTGATGCTGGCATGGATGATGTACATGGCGCCCATGGCACCGCCGGCATTGTTGAACACCCACTCCTCGTTTGTGTTGATGCGGATTGTGTTGGTCGGATAGGTCTCGGTGAGGTTCGTGACGATGTGGTTGATCATACTGCGCGTGTCGCCTGGGTAGGTGGCGACGGCGGACTGGGCGAGCTCATGCAAGAAGCCTGGCTCGAAGACATACCAGCGGTCCTGGAGGTAGGGACGAATTGGGTTAGCACAACTCAATGAAGGACAAAGTTATGCCGCGCACCTTGATTGTGTCAAGCCAACCTAGAGCCGCAATAACCACGGCGAAGATTCCAAGTCGCGTCGCCCATGTGACGAGCCAGTTTTTCTGAGCCTCTGGTTGCGGCTCTGGAGATTTTGGTTTTGAAGGCATCGTGAGCGACGTTTGTTACGCGTCGTTGAGGGGGCGTAAAAGCAGGAGATGACAGAACGTCAACCAAGACGAGATTGGCTTTAAAAGTTCGCGTTTCGTGCTGTTTCGTGTCGTACGACAAATGCCATCACATGGGGCGTCGCCGCTCCGGTAACCCCGGATTACCGAATTTGGGATCATTACCCCTGTCGAGTCAAACGCGTTGACCTCAAAACCAGGGGAAAGAGGCGATATGAGGTAAACATTCGCTGTAAAGTCCTCTATTATTATATGTACAAGAGTCACTACATCTAATAACTACTAATAAGCGGCTCTCTGTTGGATGTTCACGACTGCCGGGCATTACGCCTAAAGCATTTAGTGGGACCGGCACGTCTATCAGTGCGAACATTGCCATTGCAACTGACAGAAGGAAAACGTATGTTGCTTGAAAACATCCGCCATTCTACATAATACAAGAGAGCACAAGAAAAGAGAGGTTCTGCTACCCAGCATATCGTACTCGGACACCTTCTGAACGCTCTACAACCTTTTCGAGATCGTCGCGTCTTCTCAGACCTGCATTTCTTTCCACCACAAGCTCCTTTGTCTGGAATGCAATCATCCATGAGTACAAGTCGAACCCACGTCTTGGAACGTCCAACGTCAGCTTGGGAATGAAGGCTGCAGATACCAGCCCCAAGAGGAAGACAATTCCAATCGTGAGACTCAGATGCAAGTTGGCGATACTGGTCCTGCTTATTTCTCTGTCGCGGAATTGCCATGCGACACTGGATCCCGAACCCGCAAAATAGGGCAACATCGTGCCGGCGTCCATCTGGCTGCGTAAGGTTAAACAGTCAATACAAAATATGTCGAATGCGCAAATGGCTTGCCTCCCAATGCGACTTTGGGCCCGTCCACGGTAGCGGGCACAGCATCGTTGCCTTGCATTGTTGACGAAAAATTGAATGGCTGCTCCAGTTCTTGCGGGAATGGCATGCTAAATTCGGAGAAAAGAGGTCGAAGGGTGTCGCGTGGTGTGAAAAGATAGGCATGGTTGTTCTCTGAGAGAGGAACGCTAAAGGTGACGATTAAGGTCAGAAAAAAGACCATTGAGACGTAATATAAACGCAAGCCAACATGTTCAGAGCGGGTTCAGGTATTTTGATTCGGATCCCCCACCGAGGAAACCTATTCTTGCTCATGTCACTAGTCATTGAGAGAGCTGCCGTGGTATTACCTCAATATGGAACCGGGCTCCAGAACGGATCGATTGTTTTGCACGACACGGGAAGCAGAGGTAGAATTGACTCGAGGAGTCGGCACAGAAATTGCAGAAGAAGACTCGAAAGTCCCAAAACCGCTGCCATTGGGAAGCAGCTGGGATAGAGCCACTTCAGCGAAGTAGACGGATTCGTTGTGCCACGGGAAGGAGACGGCCGCCGGGAGTCCACCATGAACAAGCATGAACAGGGAATGGAGATAGCGTCCAGGTGAGAAGAAAATTCTAGGACAATGGAGGATGTATCAGCGGATAAATGATATCCATTGCAAGGCTAGACTAAGTTCTGTACCTCGAAGGCTGGTTGAAGTTCGGCTGCTCGTGAATATCTGCAGAGGAGAGGACACCGAACGGGGACCTCCCAATAGCTCTCGTACTGGTGCTGATTATCGAGGGTCAACCAGTAACGAATACTTCAGGTAGGGGTCGAAGAGGACGGACCACGATGCGAAGATCAGTATTCATAGAACGCCCAAATAAGAACGGCAGCAAGCCAGCAATCACCACATAAAATAACCCAGAGCGCCCATGGACGAGAACTGGGAGCAGGACAAGAGAAATGACAGTCAAAAAATCACTGCTGTCAGGTGCAGTAATGATATACGTACTTGTAAAGCTTACGGCTCTCTCGATCAGCGCCGTGGTAGCTCTGCCGATTCCACAAGAGAAGCAGGGCGGTGAGAGCTCTTGCATGGTCGTCTGACTCCGCTACAAGGTTCTTCAGCGGGACATCGGGATTACGTTCCATTCGTGATTGGTGTATAAGTATTGCCCAAGCTGTTTGAGGGCATCAATATGCGGAGGAAAACAATCTGGTAGATAGGCGGGGCACGTACTGGCTGCTTCGATTATCCCTCTCTCCAACCTCAGGAGACTTGTGCCGAGGAAGGCGCCAACCAACCCACATCCAGCGCCCACGACGAGACGCGCCCAGAAGAGGGAGCGATCTCGCACAAGGACGGCAAAGGCTAGCAGTAGAGGGAATGCTAAGGTTCAGACGCACGCGACGGCATGGAGCAAAAGGTTCTGCCATTGAAGCGGCTCGAAGCCTGAGATAGGGAAACAGTCATTGGGAGCGTCCGGAGGCGCCGTCGGAAAGAGCGGCAAGGGCGAGTCAGTGGTCTTCTCGAAGGAGCCGTTCGAGGACGCAGCGGAAGAAGGAAAAGTAAGGTGTGGGCTCGTCCTCGAGTATGAATCGGCGGAATAGTCAGTAGTGCGCTTATTCGGGTGTGGGCTCTGGGTCGTCGAGCACGATCGTGTAGCGTCCATTTAGTTGATCGCCAAATGGGTCCGAGTGTGAGTACTTGAGGCCCGCTGTTTGTGGAGGCTTTGCCTTGGCCAATCCAGCATCTGCCTCTCCATCTGAGAACAGCAGTGGCATGTTTGAACCATCGTCCTGAGCTTTGGATGGCGAAGGGGTCCACTCATAGACCGACAAGGGGCTAGGATTCTTGATCGACATCGGCCGGGCAGGTGTGGACAAACTGACACTGCCATTTCGGGACCGGTTCTGCGAGCTAGGTTGCGTCGAGTAGGGATTCGATGTTTGAGTTTGAATTAGGTCTTGAGAGTTGCTTTTGAGGACGATGTCGGAAAATTCTGAAGAAAGGCTTGGAGTGATTTGGCGGTAAGGAGGGCGTGCCATACGAACGTGCCAGGATAAATTTCAGGACGAGAAACTGAGCTATTCTCTGTCGTTTGTATATAAGCACCCGTGATGGGATCGAATTGATAGTGGGCGGCGAGGGTTCACCACAACGAAATTAGCGTTTCGTGCCTCATGTTAACCGCCTGTTGCTCGCTGGTCGTCTGTTCAGAGGCGCACTCATTAGAGATGAGTATATTGATAACGACAATCCTACTGATCGCCTAGGGTTGGCTGTGCGTTCCACCTCCTGAATTCTTGCATATTGAGCGCCTGTAGGGCTGCGAAGCTCACGACCGTGATTCCTAAGATAGACATGTTAGAGCTAGAACAGGGCACATTCGAGTTGAATGAATTGCGCACGTCGACATTGGATCGAATTCGTCAAGGGAGGCGATCGAACGCCTTGCGTCCTTCGTGTGTAAAGTCAGAGGGCGTCACGGTTAAGTCGTCATCGCAGGACACTTCATATAGAAATCTTGACAAGCCGGTCTTCAAGGTTAACACTTATGGGGCACCCTTCGCGCTGAGCTTGGGTCATTGAAAAGCATCGTGTTGGGTGCTCTAGCAGAATCGCATCTCAGGGAAGAAAATGCAGAAGTAATAATATGTGAACGATAATGACGGAAAGATGACACACGAAAATACACCCGCACCCCACACGCTTCCTGAATAGACCGCCGACGGTCATGAACCACTGTCCTCCTCGCCCTCTTTCACCCGCCGCTTCTTCTTCTTTGACTTCTCAAGACCTTCTGGCTCCTCAGCGTCCATCTCGGATTCCATGGCCGCACGTTTCTTCTTCCTCCGCTTTTCTTCAACAGTTGGCTCTGCCTGCTCTGTAGGCGCGACGAAAGCTTCGGCACGCTCTGCACGGCGTTTCTCTGTCGTCTCTGCTTGCTATTGAAGGGGGAAGAAGCCAAAGGTGTGAGTGAAGGGAGGAGGAACGAAAAAATGGGTGAATGAACCTTTTGTTTTTTCTTTTCTGCTTCGCGAGCTGCCTTCTCCGACGCCTTAAGGAAGTATTCTCCAGATTCCAATTGTAAGTCAATCTGTATCGAGATTTTCAGTTTCATTCGTTGAAACAAACGTGTAAATACTGACCTTCCGTGGTTGCTGAGCAGGCGGGAAGGGCGTATAAACCTTCTTCTTCGTCGCTGTCTCCCGCAGCAGCTCCTCCTTCGTAGTCTCTAAGCCGGCAGCCTTGCGAGCCTCCAGCTTCTGTTCGATCTTTTCGATCTTCTTCGCTGTCTTTTCTGACGTCTTCAGGTGGCGTTTCCGGAATTGAGGAAGGAATCGGTCCCAGGACTCGTTTGCAAGTTTCGGATCCTTGGCGAGTTCGCGGCGGATCATCAGTTCCTGCAAGGAACAGGTCAGGGTACATATAGCTAAAAGGTAACAAACAGACCTTTATTCGATAGATAGGATGAATATTCTTCATGCAATCTAGCACAATTCTGCGAACTTCTTTGAGAGACCTATGTGGGCCCATTACGCTGACGGTGTTGCCTTGTACGAGGACGTAGCAATTTGTTAAAAGTTCGATAGCCTGTTCATCAACTTGAGCTATCCATACAGCATATTTCCAGGTTGACGACGCACCTTAAGAGTACTTCCATCAGGCCCAATTATCCTCTGTCTCCGCTTCACGAATCGTTCCTTATTCCGGACCAAGTTCCCAATCTTAATGATGTCGCAGGAAGTGTCGTCTTGTAGAACCTTGACGGCTTGGTTAACCGCCACGCCACGCGCCATTAGCTTCATCATGTCGCGTGCTTTGAGGACGATGTATGGGTCGTAGGTTTTTCGTGTCGTTCGTACTGACATGGAGCCGTGTACAAGATCCAGGGTACATGCAACACCCTGGTCAAAAGTCAGGAAATCGGCAGAACAAAGAGGCTTGCGGACATACATGGGCATCCAATGCCTTCGTAACTGCGCCCCAGATCTCGCGCAGATATTTTTCGCGGTACTTTGGGAATAATGTGGCGAAGGACGATTCCTCGGTTAGTGTTCCACCTTTGTTGTCCGATGGTTGAAATGGGTCAATCTTCCACTAGTTACGAGCAGAACCTCAGAAGTCTGCAACTATGGTCGGATATACGTGCACTTACACTGCAACACTGGGTTATTGTGAAGTCCCAATCTGAATCTAGACAGGCACTCACTGGTTAATGTCGTCTGTATCCCATGCTACCAAATTTTTAGAGTCAGACTTAAATCTTCGGTTGAGCGAAATAACTTACGTTTCTCCTTCCTATGCTGCTTATTCTTGCTCACTGTTGGCTCTCCGCCGTCCGACATTATGCTTAGTTGAAAGTTAAGGCGAAGCAACAGAAGCGTCGAGAGCCGTCGAACTGGAACCCACATTGACGTTATGTAATCAGCGGTGGGCGTTCACGTTCCTTTTGTCATTACCACCGTGACCACCTCCTTTTCCGTCTTTCTCCACGTCGACCATGGATAGCGCTCCCGACGGTATCGCGCCTCAAGAATCTGAAATGCTTTCCTACGACGATGATGTTGCTTATGAACAACAACTCCCGACAGAGGCAGAACGCGCCGCTCAGGCAGCGTCCCTCGCACAACGTATTGGCACAAGCAAAGTTTATTTGTTGTCCGAGTCTTCCGCGGCAGCTAGAGCTGGCAAGGTGCGCCGCAAGCGGACGGTTTCTTGCTTGGATGCAGAGTTCAGGACCTGATATGCCAGCTGGCTACTTTCTTTTCATATTTATATTCTGGTTTCACGACATTGGGACGAGAAGCATAAACAGGGCGAGGATGGGGAAGAAGATACCGACAAGATTATTGAAGATGAAGATATGGACGAGAGTACGGGAGGTTCGACCTTTGACATCTCGCCGCGGCACATCACTGACACCTCTCCAGACCTGTCGTACCGCCCAAATGCCATTCTTGTCACTGGACCACCCATCGCACACCTCCCAACAGCACGTCTCTTCGCCTACGCGACTCACTTTGACGCACATCCATTGGGGCTTGAATGGGTCGACGACAACACTTGCGTCTTCGTCTTTGATTCCCTCAAGGTTGCTCGTGCCGCCTTCTCCCGCTTGCAGAAAACCATCAGCGAAGAACCTGACATGGATGAATACCTCACCGCCAAGCCTTTCCCCATCGCATTGTGGCCTGCGGAAGAGCGCTTGAAGCAGACACTGGGCCAAGGTGAAGGGCTGAAAGGAATGATCAGGATGCGCTGGGCGCGGCCGGAGGACGTGAAGAAGAAGGGTGCGAAGAACGAGAGCCAGTTCTACAAGAAGCATGGAGAGGGTGCAGGGAAGGAGCTATTCGATGGGCGCGAACTACCCCCAGCGAAGAGACGACGAAGGGATCCGCATGAGGATGATGAGAGGAGACGTGCAGAACTTGACGACGAACTTGACGCGTTCCTCGCTGAATCTGGCACGGACGATGAGCGGTCGGACGCAAATGAAGGCAGAAGACGCAAGAAGCCTAAACTTACTGACCGATTGGTGTCACCAACCCGCTCGCGCTCTCGTACGCCGGAGGAAGCCGCATCAGCCTCGCCTCCATCGAAAATGCGCTCGGACTACATCGCCTCTGACGGCCGTACGCTACTCCAGCGGACCTCACTCTTGCGGCTGCACTCGTCTGATGAACCGCTTGACCTGGCCTCGCGCCTGACTGCGCCGCTGCCACGTCGGGCACGCAGACGAGGCCGCGGTGACAGGGATAGGGATACATTGTCGCCTGTGGATGTCGACGATGTGGCGGTGACAGAAAGCGGCCGACCACAACGCGAGTGGGATGGCGAGTGGGATAGAGAGAAGAGCGTCAATGGCCATGAGTGGCCTCGTGAACGAACGAGAGGTGGTCGCGATAGAAGGACGCGTCGTGAGCGAGGAGGCGATAGACCTGTAAGAACGGCCGAGCGCCCAAGGAAGACTCAGCAGGAACTCGACGACGAGTTAGATGCATTCCTTCGTGGACACGACTAGGTACGATAATTTTTGACCATGTTTCCAGGTAGTCATATCCCGACTGTCTCTGCCCTCTTGGGTAACTGATTGTGTAGTGTCCCTTGCCTGTTTCCTTGAGTCGACGATCATCCGTACCATTCAACCCCCGCTGTGCATTTGTCTGCTTTATCCCCTGCGTATTTATTCTGGGCTTTTTCGATGCTCTTGTACACTACTCCTCACACGCACCTCTCATCTCCACCTCGATCTCATAATTAATAGCCTCCGCTTCGATTTGTCGTACTCATGGCAGACAAGAGATTCATCGTGCAAGACTGACTCTTTGGCGGGGGAAGGTGGGGGAAGGCTCGTTGTGCCATCTCACTTGGGCCACCTTAGGGTCCTTCAGAGTAAAATAAGTACCCTTTATAAATTGAAGAGTAATAACTACGCCGACGTTGAGCTGGGGTCGTGGCCTCAGATGTGATTTAATGACTGTGATCATTTTGCCATCGGTGACATGAAATTCAGGCATGAGTGCATTCAACGATGGATAAAATTATCTGATATCTCTTACATAACTATCGTTATACTCCTCGAACTACCACTTTCCACAGCCTCGGAAGGGGGCCCGACCTTGGTAAATGGCCCTGTGGTGCAGAATTGGCTGTATGTCCAAATGGCCAAACTTTGAGCCGATCTTTGTAGCTTTTTACTCAGATCCATTCATTACACGATATGTGTGTACCTATATACACAATTATGGCGGTACAGGTAGAGGGAAGAGCACAGTAATGTCGACAAGCACGCCGGAACTCCGGGGCAGCCCAGCCGTGCTTGCAGAGAATTTGTACTTGTTTGTCCGGGCCCCCCCAGCCCGCTTCGCTCGCAGTTATGGTGAGGCTATATGTGTTCCTCCTTCCATCACTGCCTTCAACGTGAGTCGATTCCTGGAGATATGTAGAAGGGGTAGAGGCTCACACCCATGCTTTCGAAAGCTTCCCCTTGACATGAGCACTAACGAATTGTGCCGCCCACATCCTCGATATCGACTCCGGACTGGCATCTCCTGGTCGCAACAGCTCGTCAAATCCTTACTCCGTATCTTCCCTAAAGTGCTGAAACCCTCTCTCTTCGAAATACTCATTAAAACGAGCTCGCTCTTCGGCAAAAGTCCGTATCATAATATCTTCCGCCTTCCCTTCAATCTGGTGTTAAAGACCTCGAATCATTTGGTGGAGGCCGATGCGTTACGCTTCGTTGGGTCGCTTAGGGGTATCAATGCTCCTGCATTGATTGACTCTTTTTCTGCTCCTCAAAAGACGTACATTCTCTCGACTTGGGTCGAGGGCGACTGCTGCGCTGATGTTTGGGAAAGGCTTACACCTCTCGACAAGGAGAAAATTGTAGAGGATATGCGATCACAGTACAGCGCTTTGCAGCAACAGACTTCCACACGTCATCGTACCATATGCAATGCTTCCGGAGGTGCAATCCAAGATCCTCGTGTTCCATGGATTGACGATAATCCCCGTACTTTTCCGTCTTACCGAGAGTTTATGGAGCAGGTTTGGCTCGGTCTGAACTTTCGAAATAACCACACTCTTGCCCAATCCATTGCGCGCCTCATTGAACGCGACAATGTCCCTATAGTGTTCTCTCATGGTGACGCTTTGCCGAAGAACCTGATATTACCCGGAGGCTTGGACCTGTGGCGGCGCGAGCGACCTCCTTTGTACATCATCGACTGGGAGTATGCCGGTTGGATGCCATTACCATGGGAAGCTTTGAAGGCGACGTGGCTGGTTTTCGATAAGGAAGAGGACTGTTATAAGATGATGGTGGAGGTCTTCCCAGATTCGCGCGAGGAGCTGGCAGCAGATTGGGAATGGCGAACTAGGTCAGGAATCCCTATTGTTTAGTTACTCCCAGGGGTATAAATCAGGTCTCCTTGCCCATGCACTGCACACCACTCCATCTGTTTTGCACGATACACTGAACGCGTTTCGTGCCAGGTTTCACCCAAAGTAAAGGACCTCGAACCTTGAGAGGTCAGAACACAGCGGGCACAGGAGGCCGTACCCACCATGGGCCATTATTCCGACACCTGAACCAGTCTTAGGGCGCAACGCCGCAGTATATATACCATTTAAGCCCTGGTCTCGCTGTTTGTGTCCGAGGATGTGGCGTATTATTTCCTTTTACAGCGACAGCTTGGGGCAAACAGTTTGGCATCGGTTCAACAAGTTCAGCGAGTTCAGCACTAATCATGCGCCTGGAGTCTCCTAATATGTGACGCACACTAAGCAGTCAATAATCTCCAGATTGTGTCCTCCAAATGCACGCCCTTTCAATAAATATATACTATGAAGGGAAAAATACCCCACTTGATTAACGTGTCTATAAGCCTATATGTCTTCACTCACTGTGTTGCCACTCTATAAAGAACTTCCATGTAGGTAAATTCCTCTACACTTTACAGTTCGTCCCTAGAGCCCTTCGTTTTCTCGTTCACAGGCAGGCACAGCGCGGGCGACGTGGCAGTGATCTGGTATTCACACTTCTCCAGCTCCAGGACGGTTTGGATAGCGTTGTCGAGGCCACATGAAAGAACGAGCTACAAATCCACGTTATGTCAACGGGGTCGGTGGCAAGGAGGAATGGGAGGGAAGTACCTTTGTATTCCGCTCAGGACCGTTCCAACATCTCGTACCGCGGTTGTATACTTGCTTCTCGTAGAAGCCTGGTGTGCCGACCTCGACCGAGGGATTCCATGAGTCAAATTTACTGTTAGGAAACAGGTGCGATATTCAGTCAGGAAGTTCGAGGATGATGACAAAAACAACGCACCCAAGGCTGAAGGTACTTCCACCATTCTTGGGCTTCTGCTTGACTTCCTGGAAGAAGCAGACTTCGTAGATGTACCTGTCAGAGGAAAAGGGACATTCGTTACGACAGTTCTCTGGAAAAGATAACGACAGCGACTCACTCTCCCTCATCCTTCTCAATGCACGTCCCGTCAAGCTTCTTCCACTCGCCCTCCGCGCCGAATCCTTCAATACTGAAGATCTCGTTGGCGTCCTTCTCCTTGTTGCTCTTGTCAGACTTGAGCTGACCGAGAGCACGCTCGGCGTCGTGGAATGCCTGTCGGGCACGAGTTGAGTCGGCGGCTAGAAAGACAGCTCAGGTAAGAACTAGTTCAAGACATAAGGATGGATTAAGACCCACCTGCTGCTGAATCATCACTGCGAATGATACCAAGCTTCTGTAACCATGAGACAAGTGTGTCTTTGATATCTTCGTAGACGGGAATAGCGGAGTCTGGAAGGTAGCCTTGCAAATCGAAAACTACATATGCATGAGTATCGTCTGTGAGGCGAAGAAGGTGATACGAGCAACTCACGAAGAGAGTCCTCGATAGGCGTTTGGACGTGTTCGTCATGCTCCAAAAGTAACGAAACGTAATCGGTGTTCAACAGCGGATCCACGGAGGACTCAAGCTCCTCAGCAGTCAGCATGCCCTCCTCGAGCTTCTCTTCTTCCTTCGCCTCTTCCTTCGCCTCCTCGGTCTGGCCTTCGCCCTCCTTGTCGCCCTTGTCGACGTCGTTGATGTGCGGCAGCCCTGCGAGCTCTTCCCACCCACGAACGGCTTCGAGGACGCCCATGTCCTGGTAGTTGGGGTTGTAGCTCGTTCGGAGGGTGGAAAGGATCTGGCCAAGGGCTTTCTCGCGCTCTTGCTTCTTCTTGTATTCGCGTTGGAGGGATTTAAGGGCATTGTGGTGCTTGATGAGCGACTTGTATAGAGCTGGAAAGATAAAATTAGCTTGAGAGAGGTGGAGCAAGTACGACAGGTATAGTCCTTACGTGACTCCTTCCTGTGGTCGAGGGCTGCTTGTGAGATGGATTCTGCACGGTCGGCAACGTCTGGAACAGCCCTAAGGAAACTGTTGAATTGTAGTCAGGTTAAGGCACACCTTGCAGACGTTCAACCTCCTTCTCCTTCTCCTCAATCTCCTTCTCAAGGGATACGACCTCAGCTTCAAGACGCTTCTTCTCCTTGTGGGCAAATACGATGTACGTTGCACGGATTTTTGAACCCTGGTAAAAGCATTGAATTCAAGAACACAATGATGGTGGTCTGGGTCGACATACCGTCTTCCTGAGTTTCATCTCGGCGTCGTATTTCTTCCTGTATGCCTCTCCAACTTCCTTGCACTGATTTGGACAAAGGCCAGCTGGTTCGTCGGATCCATCGCAGCACTGGGGCTCTGGTAACAGAGTTACGACGAGACATCGGCGATATAGATCATGAAACGCACCGCATAAGCCATCGTTCACTCTTGAACTTGGGATGTAAGTGCCGGTGTGACCCTCATTGTTGCAATAGAACTTGCTATTCGGGCAAGCACTTGTACCTGTGGAGACGACGTCATTTAATACATTTCCGTTCCGTTTATCGAGATATAACCCACCTGGCTCATCGCTCTCGTCTGGACAATCGCAAGAATCATCGTTTACAAAATTCCAAGGTATTTCTTTCGACCCGTCCAAACATTTCCAAGTGCCAGCCTTCGAAGGAACGTATTTAGATGCGAGTTCAGGTGCAACGCCAAGAGGTTTGGCCGGGCCCGCCGTTACAGCGAGTGGAATGGTGCAAAGAAGAATAGCCCAGGGTATCATTACTGGAGCTCGCTGTGCGCTGTGCACGGCAGACGATGTAGGGAACGGTGAATACGACTTCAACTCGATCAACGTGTCCAGTCGCGTCAATCAGCTTGGCGATGATTACGTAACAAGTGCACAAACAAGGCACGCTAGAACTCTTTGGAACATCGTCAACGCCAGCCTCATCATCGACGGTCACAGTAAGAATGGTGAGTACATCGCTGCTCAATTTTCGTTTCAGGACTGCTAGGGTGACCTACGGATGCGCTGGATGAGATTTGACCGTATTGGATAGGAATACGGGCTGGATGCGCTCTTGGGAGGTTGGATGTAGATGAACCCTGTGCTAATCGTCTTTTCTTTCTTCTCTCTAGGCCAAAGCAAAAGCTGCTCCCGCTGCATCAAGCGGCGGCAAGTCCGCGAAGAAGAAGAAGTGGTCTAAGGGAAAGGTCAAGGATAAGGCCCAACACGCCGTCTCCCTTGACAAGGCCACCTACGATCGTATCCTGAAGGAAGTCCCCACCTTCAAGTTCATCAGCCAGAGCATCCTCATCGAACGTCTCAAAATCAACGGAAGCTTGGCCCGCGTTGCCATCCGCCACCTTGAGAGGGAGAAGCAGATCAAGCGGATCGTGCACCATTCCGCTCAGCTCATCTACAGTGCGTGCCCCATTTTATTGCATTTAGCGTCGTCGTTAATTTTCGAGTTCTCTCCTTACAGCACGAACAACAACATCAGAGTAGACGCGCCCATTTTCCTTCCGCTCTCCTATGCTTGTATGCTTATGTACTTGATGAAACACGCATGCACTCACAAACAACATCTTGGAATCGGTGTGATCTGGGCCCCAGTCGGGATTTGCTGAAAATAGTTCTGCTTGAAGAGAAATGCCTCGCTCCCGACATGCGCGCCTTCCGTTCGTTCTGCCTTGAGCTTCTAGACAATTTTGAACTATGAGTGGAGATTCGAGCAAGAGATTCAGGTTGGGAGAAGTCGGGGTGAAATGCGTAACAATATCGCCGAGTCGAGGGAGATACAGCGCTCATACCTAATTAGTTGAAGTTCAAACGTTCACCGCTGGAACTGCTGGGAATCCCACGACGAGCACTCCTTGGACAGCAACCACCATGTTCGCTTGCATGAATGTCGTCCTCTGGTTGTCTGCCGTTGTGTTCTTAACCCAGGTCGCAGCCTTTCACTACGAGGCAGACGGACAAGTAACGTTGAAATCTCCCTTATCCGTTGCCTACGGTACGAGTGGGAATGCCCCCGAGCCAGTGTCCCGCCTGTTGTCATCCATCGGTTCGGACGCTTTCACCACGCTTTCCCACCCACGCTTTCCGAACCATAGTGTGAGGGTGAAGCAAACCCATTTCTGCGACCCTACAGTGAAGTAAGTTGCTTCTTGTTGGAGACCTCCGGTGGGAAACGTCTGTGTTAGTTTCTTGCGTCCTCCATTTGCTCGTATCTAGCTGCATTCTCTGTACTTGTTCCGCGTGGACTCCTCTATCTTGACTTGGTCTGACTTGGCCGCATCTCCAGTGTCTATACTGGATACCTCGATGTCGCAGCTGGCTCTAAGCACCTCTTCTTTTATTTCTTCGAAAGTCGGCGCGATCCCGCGAAAGGTGCGCCCGTTTCCTTCGTCCTCTCGGTCTGTTTATCCGACTTACCTTTCTCAGACGATGTCATAATGTGGATTAATGGAGGTTCGTCTGCCCTTCTTACCTTCAGTCTTCCTGGTATTCCACGCCCTGTCCTTCGAGTTCTCGGTAGTCAAGCCCGCCACGGACGAACTGAGGCCGTGCACTTCGAGATTACTCTCTGATCGAGGGGTCTCATAAACCATAATGCAACTCTCAAGGCTCATAGCTACCGGTGTGCAGGTCCTGGGTGCTCGTCCTCCATGGGCCTTCTTATGGAACTTGGTGAGCTTCGATCAGCAATACCCATCTGTGGCTGTCGACGGGCATCGTCGACAGTGCAGGCGGAGACGTGTTCTGACTCGGATGTGTTGTTCGTTCCATTGACAGGGCCGTGTAACATTGACATAAACAACGTCTCGTCTAATGGGACGGTTTGGAACCTATATGGATGGAACGAGGAGGCAAATATCTTCTTCCTCGACCAACCGTATGTGCGCGTTTATTTCCACTTCAAGCACATTTGCTAAAGCCCGACTTTTGTAGTGTCGGCGTTGGCTTCTCGTACACCGACTACGGGGAGAGCGTCGGAACGACGGAAGCCGCAGCGAAGGACGTGCATGCGTTCATCAGTATCTTCTTCGAGACATTCACCCAATTCGCGGGTCGTCCGCTGCATCTCGCGGGAGAGTCCTATGGGGTGGGTGCGCGCATGCTCGCCTCTCTATTGGTCCTTCTACTATATTGGCATTTTATTCGACACGCGTCGACGTGTACTGACGTTACGTATCCATGATTTTCAGGGACGCTACCTTCCTGTCTTCGCGAGTGAGATATGGGACCAGAACATAATCGCACAAGCCCAAGGACAACCGACGATCAACTTGCAGAGCGTGCTCATCGGAAATGGGATTACGGATATCTCAACGTGCGTCTCTTCCATTCGACTCTCCTAAGGGATTGGTTGGGCTGACCGGAGACCTGTCATTGGCGAATTTGGATAGACTGTACCCAGGCCGATACGAAGTAGAATGTAGCACTGCGTCGCTGGACGTACCCTTCCAGTCTATCACAACGTGTGTGCGTATGAAGACTGCTGTAAGTAAATATGTTCCTCTTCTTTGCATGGATGAGCTCAGTCTGCCACGTACCTTTTTGCATCTTTCCTTTGGTCAATACGTCCGAAACACGCCTACTCCACACCATGTTCCGTTACTTATCATCTCTTCTATCTGCCATCGCCGACTCCTCATCTCCTCCGTCATCACCTTGGTACCCTATCTGTACCACCAACATAACAACATGACTTTTCGACCTCGCACCTCAAACGGCCATGATGTGTACAGCTCCCACGCTGCCAGAAAGCCTTGCGCGAGTCGTGCATCGATACCTTCGACGCCATGAACTGCCAGGCGGCGGTCAATTTTTGCGATAGCGAGCTATCTACGGGAATGTGGGCTTCTGGTGCGTATCTTCGGGTTCGCTTTTTGTGTGGCTATTTCTGGGTGAAAGGAAGGAAGTGTGACGGGCCGGCGATTGAATAGGGGAGAGGCTATTTTTAGAAATGGAAGTGCCGCATTTGGATGGATGCTAACGGATTGAGCGATGAGTTCAAATTCAGTTCAGCTCTGACTTGATTGTAGTGCATGTCTGATGACTTTTTAATTTTTTATCTTTTCTGATATAATTCCGATTTACGACTGACCACTGACCACTGTTGTCCAGGGAGGAACGTGTATGATATTTCCAAGGTTCGCGTTTCCTCCTTCGTCGCGTATCCTAAATGAATTTACGTTACAAACCTAGCCATGCGAAGGCGAGCTCTGCTACAAAGAAGTAGCCGTCATCAAAGCCTACCTCGACCAGCCTTCCACTCGAGAGCTTCTCGGCGTGTCCCCTTCCGCTCCAACCAATTTCTCCTCGTGCTCCTCCAACGTAGGCACCGCCTTCGCGTCGCACATGGACAAATGGGCCGTACACACGCAGGACTACGTTGCCAACCTCCTCGAGCGTGGCGTGCGTGTCCTCTTGTATGCAGGAACACTCGATTGGCAGTGCAATTGGGTGGCAAACGCGATGTGGGTTGACAAACTGGAGTGGAGTGGGCAGAATGGGTGGAAAGATGTTGAGTGGCGCGAGTGGAAGGGCGGAAAGGTGAAGGAGAGCAAAGAAGGGCTATTGGTGTTTGCAACTGTGAACGGGGCGGGGCATATGATGAGTCTTCCTTGCGTTTATGGATTAGCTGGACACTGACGATCGCTGCCTTGTTTGTTCATCTGGAAACACGTCCCACATGATAGGCCTGTTGAATCGCTCGAGATGGTGTCGAGGTGGCTCTCTCGGAAGAGTCTTTGACCTCGACTAACTCGGATATGGATAAGCCCATATGTTGTCTCTTTCCAACTTGTAGCTTCGACGAAAAACCTCTGTAGGTTATTAATATTAGACAAGATTGCTCACAGATCCTACCTCGTTTAGCAGCAACTTTTTTAGAAGCTTGGCGCAATGCTATGTATTTTGTACATTTCTCTTCACTTGGTAGTCGAGTGTGATTGACGCTGCGGTCACTTGTAATGGAGATAAGTTCCAGCTCCGAGTACGAAGAATTGAATGAGAGTGTTCGTACCAATAACTGATACTCTCGCGCATGATCCTCTCTTTGAACCTGAACGGAAGGGAAGAGGAGGGACGCAGTGCGCAAGGAACACACGGGAGATGTCAAATAGGGCCAAGTTCGTAGTATTAATGAAGAGTTATCTGTAGAAAAGGGTCGCTATCCTATAGTAGAGTCTGCGAACCCTCTCCCTTGCTCTTCCGTAAAACGGCTGGAGTGACTAGAGGCCTACTTTCATTGTGCAGTTTGCATCCCAGCAAATCCGAAGTTGAGAGCGGGACAACGTGCCCTTCCAGTCTATCGACTCGTGCATGCGGATTTGTAAAGACTGCTAAAAGCATATCTCACCATTGTGAACGAAATTAACGTCATTTTCAGGTGTAAATTAACTCAGTCTGTCACGTACCCTCTCTCTCCTCTGCCTTCGTCGACACGGTCGAAACACGCGTCCTCCACGTTGCATTCCGTCATCTAGATCTTCTATCTCACATTGCCTCCCATACTATTACCTTCCTTCATCTCCTTGATCCCTTATCTACCTACACCTCTCCTTGACATGACAACAACACAAAATAAGTATGAGGTACAGCATCCACACTGCCGAATTGGCCGTGTCAATGCGCGATTGGCGCACCTAGCATGAGGCCTGCATCGATGGTTTTGACACTATCAGCCACCGCGCGTCAGCCAGGTTTTGAGGTCTGCTGGTGTGCTTTTATATTCTTCTTTATTGTGGTTATTTATGTGGTGGGAATGTCATGGTGAAAGAAGGATAACCGGAGCGCGATGCAGCAGTAATGCAATCAGGCGACAGGCTATTTTTAGAACGACCTGTGGCGCATCTGTCGGACAGATGAGCGAGCTTGACACTGACGGTGTAGACAGGGTTCAGACAGGTTTGACCGCGATGGAGGATACATTACTGATGTTGTTATGTGTTCTCTGATTCTGGTTTAAACAGAAAGAGTGTTTCTAACATTTTTCAAGGTTCGCGTTTTTCCTTATCCTAAAAAATGTCGATGCCACATATCTTGCTCTGAAAAGGCGATATCTGTCACAGAAAAATCGTTGTTGTCAAGTTCTACATTAACTAGCAGAGTTCGTTTCTCGTCGTGCCCATAGATAATGGGGTTAGTCGGCAATTGACGCCAAACCCCTTACTTGGCTTTGCGCCGCACTTTTTTGTTGCTCTGCCAAATGTCTCGTGACCCACGCCCAAGTCGTACCCTTATCCTCTCTCTGTCTTGGACTCACTATAAGAGTCCTGGGTCGTGCGCATGATTGCTTGGAGTAATTAAATAGAGTAAACTCAGGTGTAAAAATACCAACGAGAAGAGATGGTTGGCATGAGGAGTGCTGCGCTGGTTGATGAGATCGCTACTGCAGTCCCATTTCTCAGTGTTAATTATAAGTTGAGGCTTCGACCTCTCAATGTCCACAGTCTGAACGGCTACCTTGGTCCTCTGCCAAAATACCCCAGAACCATCAGGAATTGTTATTGGAATGTGTTTCATTCCTGGACAAGCGGTGCAGGGACTGTAATATTGTGAGTGGTTGGCAGGTTGACAGAAAATATCGAGGAGGTGCCAGAACTTAGAAGCAAGGCAGGTAAAGCGGGCTTCTCCAAGATGTATTTAAATACATATGGCGATGAAGAAGATACCCTAAGCACCACTACTCTCTCTGAGCCTCGTCCCAAGCCTCTCGTCCATTTTCGCAAGAGCCACTCGATGCGTGCGCAACGAAGAAGCGCTCAAGCGGCGTTATGTAATTAAATTGATAATTAAGCGCCGTCGGCGACGCTAGACGCCCTCTGACCCTCTATTCTCCCCAGTCTTCGATATATCCTTTGGTTCTCTAACACACCACAAACGAACGACGGGCGTTTCCATAGCCCACCTTCCTCTTCTCAGAGTGCAATGCCCACAACGAGACGACAGGAAGGTCTAGACGCGGTCGAAAGCTCGGGTGCTTTTGTGGTGCTTTCTCGGGCACTCGGCGCTTGCGTTGCGTTCGATATCTGAATGGAGGGGAAGGTTACGGACCGGGGGTGCCTTCTTTCTTACATTAGAATTTTCTGTAAGTGATGGGGGATTCCTGAAGCTCGTAACAGTTGTGTAAGACTCAAACTGTCGAATAGAGGATGGTTAAAACAAGGCCCCCTCCGTTTGAATAACTACTTAACTTTCATGTTCCAAAGTGGACGCATGAGACCAGCATGAGACCAAGAGACCGGATCAGGCGTTCAGGGACTCCTGGCAACGATGGTGATTTGGCGATCATTTCTTCGTAGTGTGTTGCTTCCGGAGATGGAAAGGCCCCATCCGACGTAAGTGATGCACGCCTATTGGCTTGTGGGCACCAATTGCGACGGATGCAGGGTGCTGGAGTTACTGAGAAGGGTGCTGGTGAGGGTACCGGTATGTAAGGATAACGGCAGAAAGAGGCCTCAAGATGCACTAAAATTAGAGAAAGCAGCGGTTTGGTTTGAGTGAAGAGCGCTCGCGGTTATATGTTGGAGGTGAAACTTTCAAGCTGAGGAGGTGATTGGTGGATTGGCGACGAACAGTGGGTCAAGTTCGGAGAAGTGTTGGGATCGAAAAGACGGTCGTGAAACCACAGACAAAATTTAAACTGGATACAATTGGACGGAGTCTCTTTTATATGATCGAGTTGTGTTGACGGTTAGCTGAGGGTTGGGCTTACCGGGGACGATAGGCCAGCTCGGAAAACCGGCTCGAGGCAAGGTGCTACAGGCTGGTGCTACGTAGGCCGCCCCGTTGTCGCTGAAGCGAACGTACAACACGACAGACTGATCGGAAAATAACCCAAGCAAAGGGCAAGCCCATCCCGGAGCCTTTTGCCTCTGCACGAGCTGGCCATGCATGGCTACACGGCGTACTGGGTGCAAACGCTGATCAGGGAACACATTTTGGAGATTGGTAATTGAAGTATAGCTAATATGATGCGAAGCTGTGTAGGTTCAGAAGTCCGAGAGCTCCAGCGCATGCAGGAGGTGGGTCGCGTACTTAGCTAGGGGCGAAGAGGAAGATTTGGTGGTGAGAACGGTAGTGTATGTTCTGCTGTCTGTTATCACCATAGGAATGCTAAAGCCATATCCGCACTGACCGAGGCCAATCAGAAATGTCGAACAGACCCAGTACGCTGGGTCGCCGCTATGTTGGGACAACTACAAATAGTCCAATCTCGTCGCCATCACTCTTGCCACCCCTCCCTCTTTCCTTCCCCTTCCCCGTGCCCTAGTAAGTCCCTCCTCATCGTCGTCCCCGTCGCCCAGCGCTCATTTCTCTTTCTGCTAGCCGTTCTTTTTGGGCTTGCCCGGCTGCATCCCCCTTGTTCTTTTGGCTTGCCGTTTTCACCTTCGTTCCACGTTCATTCAATCAAGCAGGCTTTCTTTCTACTCCGGCAGCAATTTCATTCTTCAAATAATTCGAAATGCGCTTCTCTTCATCTCTGGTCGCCCTTGTGTCTGCAGTCCCTCTTTTGGTTTCTGGTGCCCCCGCCCGGTTTTATGGGAAACGTGCTGCCTCGGATATTCTGGTCTTCAGTGCGTCTAACTTCATGACAACCATTTGTCGAAGACGCTAACGAACCTGTTAGAATTCGCTGATGTTCTGGAACAGCTCGAATCAGAATTCTACAAGCAGGCGCTTGCAAAGTTCCAAGACAGCGACTTTGTTGCCGCTGGTTTCCCTTCAAGTCAGGTCCCTATAGAGCAGTTCAAGGTCATTCAGTCTGACGAGGCTACACATTCGACCGTGCTCCAGGTATGTCTCTCATCTCATCTTCCGAACGACCTCTTGCTCAACGGATTGCTTTTTTCGTAGGCTGCTCTCAAGTCCTTCGGCGAGACCCCCATCACGAATTGTCGGTTCAACTTCGCCCCCGCGCTCGGCGATGTCGCCACCATGGCTGCAACCGCGCGCGTTGTTGAGGCCGTCGGTGTTGGCGCCTACCTCGGTGGTGCTACCCTCCTCACCGACCCCGTTCTCCTGACATCGGCTGCCTCGATCCTCACCGTCGAGGCGCGCCACCAGACCGTGCTCAACATCCTGTCCCAGACAGGCAGCGCTGTCTTCTCGCCTTTCGATCTTGCTCTCACCCCCAGCGAAGTCCTTGCCCTTGCTGGTCCCTTCTTTGACGGTGCTTGCGACCTTGGCATCCCTGGTGCGTTTGAATTGTTGGTTGGATGAACGGAATGATGTAGATTCTGATGATGATGCTTTTGTGATTGTGGTTTCGTAGCCAACCCCGCCCTTGCGCTCACCAACACTGGTGTCGTCGCCCCAGGCACCAGGCTCACATTCTCCGCCGACGCCCTCAACGGCTCCGTCGACACCAACGTACGTCCCTCTCGCCGTCTCACCGCATATATATATATTTGCTAACCTATTCCTCCCTCTCTAGACGCTCTTCTGCCAAATGCTCATCCCCGGCCAATTCGCCTCGATCCCTCTGCCATTCAACGACTGTGTTGTCCCCTCGGACATCAACGGCGCTGTCGCTATCTTCATCACTTCCGACGGCCAGCCCCTCATCAATAACGTCCGCGACCGTGCCACCACGCAGCTCATTGCCGGCCCCGCGCTCGCCTTCATCGACACTGCACCCCAGATGCTCGGCCAGCTCGCGCGCTTGAACTTCAACTTGGTGGGCGGCGCTGACGGCGCTGCGATCCCCGTTGCGACGAGCACGAGCACAAGGACGATCAGCCCTGTTGAGGCCTCGTCGGTCTTGGCCTCAGCGACGCCCGTTGCAACACCCGCTGCTCCGGAGGGTGCGAGCTCAGGTGTGAGCGTGACGCCCGCCGATGCGAGCGTTCCCTCGACGGCGAACACGAACACGGGTCTGTCGGCGGACGGCGCGATCACGGTCAACGGGTGGACGAACGTCGATTAAGTTCGGTCTCTTCTCCCTGTTTGATTCTTGGTTGTAGCTTGTAGACTTGGCCCCTCGCATTCCGTCATCAACGTATACCTTCAACCCGCACGACCCATACCAAAGCAAATCCTCCTAATCTGAACGTACACGCCTAGATTAATGCCCCCCTCACTCGTCGCTCTGTTATGATATGGACCTACGGGTTCACTCTCCAGGTACATAGGGGATGGATCGAGGGCCGCCTTCTGTCGTTGGGACGCCATCGACACGGACACATACATGGGCTTCGCTTTTCCTTTTCTACGGACCTCCATCTCGGACTCGGACACTTTTTGATACCACGAACGCAGCAGCAGCTCGGACTGTAGACCTTTTAAGTACCTGAAGCCGTTTCTTTTTGTTTGTTCATTTGTAGTTAGCTCTCCGTGACATAGCCTGCTTCTTTGGATACTCCCCCTTTTTTCACCCTTTGCACATTTCAACCTGTCCCTTCCTTTGTCCACCAATTACGGTAAACCTGGCACATTTCTCTCCCTGGGGGGTTCGTCTCACTCGCTTGATTGTTGTGTAAATTCCGCTTTTTTCTGTGTTTCGTCGTGTAGTTTGTACGGTACGGTGGCCGTCGTGTGCTACTGCGCGGTGGGATTTAGTGGAATGGCAATCTGGTTTCAGAACTACGTTGAGGACGTCCAACGTTGTTTGAACTTTGGAAGGAAGGAAGATTGATTACCGGTGAGGTCCAAATTTGGAGTGTGGAATTAGAGAAGGTCATTCAAGTTGGGTCACCACCACCGGGTCCCGGTTTAGCGATGTTACGTGCTTGAAGGAGTGCAACGATACATAGTTGTGTAGCGACAGGGACAACGACGGTGTCAAGGGAAGGTGAACGTGAAAAAATGTCAAGGTGATCGGCTGGCTAACATAATATTTAGAAGGGAATGCAGAACGCACGCGATCAACACGTCTGGAGGTTTTGGTGGACGTAAATTATTCTTCTGGCGTGAGAGGTTCAGCTCTCGTTGCGACTTTGCTATGAACCGCCACGGTGCAACGACGAGTGAGATCTAGTGAGGCGAGAGCCTACAAATTGCTACAGCATGTTGGCCCACTCATCTTCCGAACGTCTCACTCCCCTGAAGCCTATCCGGGATATTTGGAGACCTACTCAGAGCAGGAGACGTAGTCGGTCTCTCCGGATGAGCTATCCGAAGAGCTTTCCCATGAATCTTCTGATGCTGAAAATCTTGACGCCTATTCATATGTATGAGCCTTAGTAAATGTTCTCGAGAGCTTGATATGAAAGCTGGAACTTCACCTTCTTCAAGTACTTCTTGATCATCTGTTTCATGCGCTTCGTCCGACGAGGGAACATCAGAGAGGCTGGATGTAGTATGAGTGGCTTTGAGAGCGCGTCCGTAAGCTCTTGTGAGACGTTTGTGATGCGAAGAACGAGCGTGAGGAGGTTGAGGACCACGGAGTACTGGTACAGAGAATATACCTCTTCCTTCTCCTCTTCCTCTTCCTTCTCCTTCTGCATAGTACGTCCCCAGTCGCTCATGAAGCGGTAATCGAAATCCAAACAACGGGGATGCCCAGGGAGGGTCAATAATGTGTGTCTCGCATCCCATGCTGTCAATGGGAGGCGGCCAAACATCCGCCGTTTCCGTAGTCGGTGGAGCCACGGCCGTCGGGCAGAGCGTTTCGCACATTCACGAAGGAAATCGTGAACAGGCCATGTAGGTGAACGTCGCAGATAGCGCAGGCAGGCGAGGGCAATTTCTGCCAATCTGCCAGACGCAACGTACTCTGGGAGCGAGTCGCTTGATCCTCCAATCCAATGCAGGATCGTGTCTAAGGCGCCAGCACTGAAATCGTAATGCGGCAGAGAACTAAGGAGGAGCATTGGGTGGCGCAGAAGTTTGAGGTTCTCTGAATCCCATTGCAAGTCGGATGAATCGAGGCCGAAGACTCTGGTCATCATCTCCCATAGCTGATTGGTTCCCCAAAGGCGTAGCTGTTGGGAAGTCCAAGAGAGAGGGAACTTATGCCAAATCATGAACCATACGGTTCCGATGAAATAGAAGCGCTGTGGATTAGGACAACGGTCTATGCGACAACGAAAGTTCTCTCTGATCGTTGCAGTATAACGCAGACGTAGGGTGTACCATTCCTAAAGGATTCAAAAAAGTTTGACGCAAATAGAGAAGTCAAAATAAAGACAACATACGGGTCCGGTCAAGGCGGAGAAATGCATTAACTGCATCGAATGCAATATGCCGCCAACCCGAAGGCAGTGGTCCAAGTAAGTGTCCAGTGGAAAATTCCATAAATATGGGCACAGGTGGTCTGCATATAGGGGAAGCGCAGCACTCAAGTGCCTGTTGATATTGAGAATTATCCATGCCACGCTATCCCTCTGAGGCTCTAGAAGTCAGACCTTCAGCAAAAGTAGATATAGATAAGCTCAATGCTTGAGCATACCTGGAGGGAGCTGCACCCCCCACTCTAAGATCTTTACATGCATCATAAGAATGTCAATATGGAAATGCCCAGATCTCGGCTTAGAGACCAAGAAATCTGGAAATGAAGAATGGTAAAATGCAATTTTAGATGGAAATACATCACCAGATCCAGAGTTCACTAGGGATTGTAGGTCACCGAGTTGGACCATTACGGTGCCCGCCTTCAACCCCAAGATGTACTCAATCAATATGTCAAGGTACTGTCCAGAATGCCTTGCTTGCTGGGCGGCGATAATGATCCCCAGCATGTTCAGAACCAAAGGAAGATCGGCGACGCGGGATAGGATGCTATTGTAGAGGGTGTCGAGCTCAGCAAACGGCAAATCACGAGCCGGTGGTTGAAGACCCAGGACGATGTCCAAACACTCCGTTGGGAGATTGCAAGCCGAATTCACGAAGCGGGCAACAACCCCAGCATATATGAATTGTCCAGAGGTCTTTCGTATTAGCTCATCTAATTGGCCTTCGCTCGGCCAGGAAGGTGGAATGAGGTTCCGTAATGGGTGGAAGGTCCTGATTGTCCGGAATTTGTCGGCCAGAAACAGACGGATGTCATCATCTGGATGGAAGCCGTCGTTGAGTTCGAGGAATGATACGACAGAAGGTGCGTCGATGGAGTTGAATGCAATTTTTATGTACTGTTCTGGACGACTTGGAATCTTGAGAGGGACGGTATAACGTCGTCGGAGAGATGAGAGCAGCTCGATGAGCATGGATTGAGCGCTCTCATCCTGACATTCGTCGAGACCATCTACGACGATCAAGGGTGGGAATGGCTGTTGGGATCCGCCGTTGGGATCGAACATGTACAGGCGCTGGAGCGGCTCGAACACGAGTCTTCTGAGTTGGACTTCAAGGGAGTAATCAAATAGAAGTGGGTCGGCTTCAATGACGTCTTCGATAAGCGATTTCGAGTGCGGAACAGTCAGGGTCATGCGATAGGCGATGTTTGCGACGAAGGACTTGGTTGTGTTCCGTCTGGAACTACTGCGAAAGAAGAGGAAGCTGGAGAAGAGAAGTTGACGATTGGCAGAGATTTCTGCGACTGTTCGTGCAATAGCTGTCTTTCCTGCCCCAGCTGGGCCGTACAGCCAGAGCATAAAAGCCTCCTCGCCTTCGCCTCCGACAACCCAGTCCATTATCTTCTTGATGACGGCGACGCGGGTGTTCTCATGGCATTTTGGAGGATCGGGACGATCGTCGGAGTCGTAGAAGGCATTCGGCGCCACGTTCTGCTTGAGGATGTTGAATCCTGCATTTATTCAGGCCCCGAGAACGAACAGGTAGGATGTGGGCTCCACACCTCTCGTTCCACCAGTCTGATACACCGTTGTGTAACTCGTGTTGCCGGTATTCGCCTGGAAATGTGGGTTCTGGATCACTAGATCATGACTTCCTGCAAGGATGCTGGACATCTTGAGGGCTCTTTAGTGGTGGTTTGAACGGTCTCTGGGTGATGTTAAGGTGTAATGTGTGCAGTAACGAGGATTTGGCGCTCAGCGCCCCCGAGGATGTGCGGACTTTGGCGATGTCGTAAACGCCAAACGCACAGCATCACAGGTAACTGAGTCTACAATAATAGAGTAATTTGAAGCTTGAAGCATTCCTGCTACCACAGTTAGACGTCCTTCTATCACACCCCACCATTTCGTCAGACGTCTACTGCACCTCTGTCGGCCTTTGAGCCCATCGTTAGGTTAAAAGACGTCAGACACGCACAGGAAGCAATCATCTCGTTGTCGCAGAAAATGACCGCCAACTCCAGGGGATCGATACACCAGTAACAGAGGGCCTTTGGCAGAGTAGAAGCTTTCCTGAATGTTCAGGCAGGTTCAGGCTTCAAAGTACGGGAAAGAGGAGACGACTCGGCCTGACTCGGCGCGCTCTGAGTGTGAGCACACGGTCACGTGTTTCCGACACACATGGCGCAGAACGACTTCTATCAGAGTGAAATGAAGCCAAGTGAAGTCTGAACATAAGGTCACTGGTCAATACTTCATGCTGTCGCGATACAGACTTAGGCTGAGACTACCAAAAATTACCAAATCGCTACAACAAGTCAAGTGGTGTACATAGTCTTGGCATTGGAACACACACTAATTTCCCTCACAAGCCTTCTTCAACTGCGACCGCCTAGATGACCCGCATGGCACCCTATGGCACCTTGCGATACGGGTCTATACAAATACAACCCATGGCTATTCCTTAGAATCCCCGAGTCGTACTCTCCGGTCCTTCACAATGCTCGCCGTGTTTGCCATTGCCTCAGTTGCTCTCGCCTCGCTGGCTGCAGCTGCAGCTCCTCCTGCTGGCATGCGGCCGATCCACCCAGATGCTCACTTGATCAAGGTACGTACTTGAACTACGTAGCCAACCATGTCATATCTAATTTGCGTACCTAGTTCGGCTTTGCTGACGACCAAGTCGAATGGATCTCACCAGCTGCCCTCGAAGTCTTGCGTGAAGCTCATGTCGACCTGACCCAAGGCGTAGATGCTGTGCGCGCCGCCTACCCCGAGCTAACTGGTGTCTCGGACACCGTTATCAACCGCCTCGGGAACCACACCATCCGTGGTCCAGGCTTCATCGACATCACGGGCTTCGAGTTTGTTCGACGTGCATCATTTGACCTTGAGGCTCGCGCGATTTATCCTACGCAGCCGACACCCTCCAAGGTGCGTTTCATACTCTCCTTTCCGCGGATGCCCGATTGAGGCTATGAGAAGTACCCAGCTTTGACTTCAATGTTCAATTCTGTCAACGCCGCGGGTCTCCAGAGCACCGTTCAGACGCTCTCCAACGGTTATACGACTCGCCACTACAGGAGTACGAACGCAGCCGCCCCTGCGACGTGGATCCAGACCCAGTTTACGAACGCGGCCGGTTCGGCCAACGTAAGGACGATTGCGAACACATTCAACCAGCCGAACGTTATTGCGACGATTCCTCGCAAGGCAGGATCTACCTTAGATGAGGTCGTTATTCTGGGTACGAGCGTGTCGAGTCATATCGTACTTGGAGCCCTAACTAACCCATTACTCTACAGGTGCTCACCTCGACTCGACAGTGGGGGGAAGCACCACCGCTCGTGCACCCGGTGCAGATGATGGTAAATCACGAAGCCCCGACACAGATCACGCTCTGACATCATTCGCTGTAGATGCGTCCGGTATCTCGATCCTCATTCAAGCCCTCCAGATCCTCTCAGCAAACGGCTGGTCTGGCTCGCGCGCCGTCGAGTTCCACGCGTACGGTGGCGAGGAGGGTGGCTTGCTCGGAAGTTCCACTGTCGCTAGGCAGTACAAGTCCGCTGGCAGGTGGGCACCCGTTCCATTCCATCTATTCTCACCTTAAGTAAACACCACTGACGTTTCCTTCACCCAGGGCGGTGCACGCAATGCTGAACTTCGACATGGTCGCATACCAGCCGACGGCCAACCCCGTGCTCACAGTCCTCACCGACACCGATGCCGCCCTGCAATCCTTCAGCCAGCAGCTCATCTCCACGTACGTCCCCGAGGCGACTTTGTACACCAACAGGTGCGGGTATGCCTGCTCGGACCACTGTAAGCATTTTCCTTCCTTGTTTCGTTGACATCAGTTCTTGAAGACGACCTTGACTGACATGACCCATTCCATTTGAAATTTGAAACTTGCAGTCTCATGGTACAACCAGGGATACCCGTCGGTGTCGATTGACGAGTCGGGCCCGTCTGACACGTTGCTTAACCCGTACTATCATACTGCGTCTGATACGATTGACAAGCTCGACTTCGTGAAAGCGAGCAAGTTTGTGAAGGTGCGTCCCTTTGTTGCCCCAGTCAGGATGGACATATCTGATTATCTGATGCTTTTACTCCGTAGTTGGCCCTTGCGTTTATTCTCGAGCTTGCGGAGTAAGCCAGTCGCTGGTCCATGACCACATTATCCCAGACATGTATACTGTACGTTAGGGAAACGCAAGATACAGATTAGCTATTGGGACAATTCTCATGAAACCGCAGCCCTTGGTTTCGAAGCGCCTTACTGAAAGGCGCCCTAGTTGACTCCCTTACAGAAAAAAGGGAGATTATCATCTGTCTTTGAGTGAGGAGGTTGCAGCAGAGCACGTCATATGAATTTTCTCGTACATGTTCGTCGAGCGCGATCAGTACCCAAACATAATGGAACAAACACCTCCATCAGAGTCCTCCGAGACCTTCCCGCCCTCATCGTGCAGACCCGATTACACTGCCGGTAGTGGTCTAGAAAAACTAAGGCATCAGTCAGACAATAACTCAGAATTGAATTTAACTAGAAACCCATCAAGTTATCGCCTATGGATCTCCTGCCTTAGGCGTTAGCATCCATCCAAAAGTGGCATTCCCATTTCCAAAAATAGCCTGTCTCCGCCCAATCGTCTTGCCCCTTGCTGCATCACACTCCCTGCTCAGTTTCACCCAGGGGAAACCACAGAAGGAGTAGCATGTACACACGCACCAGAAGCTACATCCCCTCGCTATCACAAAAAATAACCGCGGCCTGCCAGTTTATGGGCTCGAAGGCGCGGATGCGCGGCCGATACAGGGAGGACCAGGAGATGTCAGAAGATAGAAAGAAGACAGAACAGAAAGGGGATCTGATAAACATTTTGCGAGGTGAGACGTGGTGAATATCCGAACGGTATTACAATATGTTGTGAACGCAGGCTCTTGAAATCCGTCTACTCGATTTCAAAGCATAGACGAGTGGGTATGCTGCCGCAGTAAAGACCCCACAACAGTAAAAAAAGATTCCATTAGAGAAGCTTTATTTCGCAAAAGCAACCCAAGCAGGCCTCCGAGCGGATAAATACAATTTATTGCCAACGCTGGTATGGGAGCCAGTGCCCATGGCGGATGGTGATAAGTACAATGCAGGATGCGTATGATAATTGGATGATATATGGATGGGTTGGGTTGTAGGCACTGTTGAGCACGATGAGCAGATAGCGATTTCAGACTTGAGAGAGAGGGAGATGTGAGGGATGTCGATGAGAGGTTACAAGAGGGGACAGACAGAGAAAGAGGGGAGATCGGGGAAGACGGAGAAATAAAGAGAAAAGGCATCGAGGTCAAGGAAGGAAAGGGACCGTCGAGCCTGCAGATAAATAAGCGCGAATAAATTCCAAGAAACAGACCATTTTCTTCTTCCATATGTAACTTCCGGTTCAATATTCTCTAGTTTGTAAGAGGTATGAGTGTGTCCGACGTCTAACACCCACCTATTCCCATTCCCAACGCCAACAGATCGTTCGTTCGGGCCGCCACTTCCACCCCACGCCGCGTCACCCTCGAAGGTCGATTCAGCCGCCGCCCCAACTAGACATCGATGAGGTGATAACAGCGATCAATCAAAATCGCTATCATCGCTGCTCGAATACTCCTCGTCGCTATCAACCACACCCGCATTTGCAGCTGCGAGCTGGTTCATCGACAGCGGCCGCCCACCCGTGGCGCTTCCGGGTACGACCTCCTCCATATCATCATCATCAGCATCCGCCTCACTCTGCATTTCCTGATCGAGTTCCGCCGCAAACGCGTTCACGTCGATCTCCTCCTCGTCCACCACGTCGCCGAACACCTCCCTTTCTAACAATGTATCTGCGTCTTCGCTCTGCCCTCGCGGCGGCAAGGGCTCGACATCATCCCCGTTGACCTCGATGAACTCGTCCTTGAAGCCATACTTAGACCCGAAGATCTCGCGCTCGAGTTCGTCGGTCTGCGATACGGCGGTGGTCGGCACCTGCTCCCAGATGTCCGAGTCGTCGTCTGATTCGTCGGCTGGCAGTGCTGGGGGAGAGGCAGGTGCAGAGGTTGGTTTGGGTGGGGGTGGGGGTGCAAAGACCCCGGAGCCACCTGGGAGGGAGAGCGGAGCGGGTGCTGCTGGGGGTGGAGGTGCTGGTTTGGATGGGATGTGCGGTTGGGTTGATGTGGATGGACGCGAGCGTTTGGTAGGTCGAGGGAGCTCGATGACCTCTTCTTCGGGGTAGGTTGTTGGTGGAGCGTGTTTGGGTTTCGCAGGAAGTGAAGACGGAGGAGCAGCCTTTGTCTTCTTTGTCTTTGCTGGACCAGTTTTCGCTTTCGACGTCACAGCCGCTGGTGTCGGCGTAGGCGCAGGTGGTGGTGGAGCCTGCTTTCCAGCAGATTTCGGTGTAGGTGTAGGTGTAGGTTTGGGAGGAAGGGGTATCGTCGCAGGAGGAAGAGCGGGTTGAGGAGGGGTAGGTTTTGGTGGTGCGGGAGGCTTCTGCTCTGAACGGGCCTTGGGTAGCGGTTTGACGGGACGAGCAGCTGCCTTTGTCGGTGGTGGCGGTGGTGGGTCCTCGGACATCTCGCCTTCCTCGTGTTCCTCTTCTGGACGATGCGGTGCCGTCGGAACGATCTCCATGAAGTCATCCGCCTCCCCATCTGCGTCGGCGTCGTCCAGACCGAGTATGGCGCGTTCGAGATCATCGTTGTCGTCGAGCTCTTGCTTGCCCTCGCCTTTGCGAGAAGAGGACGAGGATGCCGACGAGGAGACGGCTGGGGCGGCTGGTAAGGTGGGATATAATTAGTGACACGAGGGGTGCGCTCAGTGATTCAACGACGTACGTGATGCAGGGCGGGGAGAGATGGCTTTCTTCCCAATAGACTTGAGAGTAACGAATGAATCGAGTTTCTCGAGGGTGTATTGCTAGACGGGTCCATGAGCACAAACAGTCGTCAGACACAATAAACGGTGACACACCCCCGTATCCTCGTCGTAAATCAGAATGCACTCAATATCCTTCGCAGGCTGCTCCGTACCGTTGAATACATGAACTTCGTTGTTGGACTATGAAACAGTCAGCACCAACGAAACTGCCAGTCGACATAGAGACGAACTTCTTTGCTAGGGTATTCCGCCACCACCTGGCTATTCTCGGTGCCCTTCTTGATTTCTATCGACGCCGGCTTGGTATTATCAATGGACGAAGGCTTGAAGTTGACTGCACCGAAACCCCTGTCAGCCCCACCATCCTGCAATGAGAAACGACGCAGACGTACATCTGAACGCATAGAAATCCCGCTCTGGGCGGCTGATCTTCTTGGTCATGGGTGCCGGGGAGTCCTTGAGCTTCCTGGCCTTAATGGCACGACCAAGGGAGGGTCCAATGTTGACCGAATGACGCCCCTTGGACGGCATCCATGCGCTGGACGCAGTGGTGGCGGCCATGGCGGTGGTGGTTGGGGATAAGGGATCCACACAACACTTCGCCACACACCATTAGCTGCTGACATAAGCAACAATTAATTGATGAACCCATATTGGGCCCGTTCCCCTTTTATTTCCCTTTCGAGAGCGACAGGAGGTTTAATTGTTGTTTTGGGGCTCTTAGAGCCTTCGTTCGTGCTGAATTATATGGTCCTTGTATGTAGTATAATAAAGTACGCCCTGTAGTTGCTCGAATAAAACATACGCCAATTACCCCGCGTATCGGAACCTGATCTCCCCCGCATGCTCTTTAATATCCCTCAAGTCCATGCTCTTCCCAAAAACGCTCGTCCGCTCAGAGACAAGTTCTTGAGCCTGGAACGCTGTCATCCACGAGTACAGATCAAACCCACGCCTCGGGATGTCCAGTGGCAATCTCGGGACGAAGAACGCCGAGATAGCACCCATCAGGAAGACGACCAGGAAGACGAGCAGTGTGTACAGTTTATTGATCACCGCAGTGGTGGATTGTCGGTCATGGTATTGTCGTGCGACGCTCATACCGGAGCCGACGAAGTACGGGAGGACGTTGCCAGCGTCTGCAAGTGCGCGAGCTTTGGCGTAGTACGCTGTGGAAAGTTCTGTGTAGGAGAAAGGATCTTGTCCTCCAGTAAAGGAAATAAGCTGTTCGGTCCATGAGTGTGAAGTATGTCTAGAAGAAAATAGATGCATACCGTTGGGCTCGGAACGTAATAGAAATCTCTCCCATTATCCTTGATGATCTGGTTTACGCTATTCTGGTGCCCAGCAACATACGCCGACCACATATGCGACGAGTTCAACCCTCTTGAAACAAGAGGATCCGTTATCCTCTCGCCTTTCATATCCTCACCCTCCAAGTCTCTCAGGGTGGCCATCGCGTCTCGAATCCGCATAGTCGCCGGGGCCCCTGAGGAGCTGTTGTACACCTCGAGCACCCAAGGCTCGTATAGCTCGACGCAGACAGCAGCGTCGTACCCGATGTAAGTCATGTTGCCATCCTCGTTTAGGAGTGGATAGGGACCAAGGACGTCGAATTTGCCGTGTGGTGCGTAAGTAGTGTTTAGGCGAACGAGGATGTTCTCAACTGTAACGAAGCCTTTGCCCTCTTCGCCTTTACCACTGAGTATTATTTTCAAAATGGGATGAAGGATGAAGTGCAGACACATACCCATGTTTAGAGGAGTGCTTTTCATGCTGTGAGCAACACCGTTGTCCCAGAACATCGCTACCCAGGAAGCCTTATTATCCTCGGTTTGCTTAAATCAATTACTGTGGAGCATACCTCCAAGAGAAATATCGCTGGCGCGCAAAGCATCAGGCACCGTGTCGTTCTGATGCATCGCTGCAGAAAAATTAAATGGCGCCTTCAAGATCTCTGGAAAGTTCATCGCGAACCCTGCGAAGAGCGGGGCGAGTGCAGCGCGTGGTGTGAACACATACGTGCGATTATTCTCAGACAGCGGTATTCTAGGAATCGAAAATATATCAATGAGAGCGCTAGAAAACGAGAGAGAGAAGAGAGAGGAATCACTGGAGACGCACATATTCACCTGCTGGTCAGGGATCTTCGCGCACTTGATCCTAATTCCCCACCTCGGGAACTTGATCAGCGACCCCGGCTCAAGTTCAACAGGCGGGCTGAACTGCTCGAATCCTCTCTCAAGCCAATCCGCGTGTTCTTGCTCCTCATGGTGGTCATGTCCCGAATCTGACTGAGGTTGTGAAGGCTTGTGTGGGTCTGCGTCGATGCTGGGAAGGGTGGTGTCGGTTTCGAACGTCCCAAAGCCGTTTCCATTGGGAAGGAATTGGGAGAGGATGACTTCGGAGAAGTAGACGGTGTCGTTGCCGTATTGAAAAATGACGACGGGCGGGAGGCCGCCGTGCACGGAGAAGGGCGCGAGGGTCCAGGTGAGGGCGTAATTCTGGTGTGGAATTAGATGGTGTGGATCAGAATTTGTGAGGATGGGAAGAGAGGACTGTGCGCAGCATAGAGTACCTCGAACACGGCCTGGAGGTCTGAAGCACGCTTGATGTCTGCTTCGGAGAGGTCGCCTTTGACCGTAATTTCGTAGTATTTTTGGTATTGATGCTAGAGGGGGTGAATTAAGAATAGAACTTCCCGAAGTGGTGTCGAGTTTGGCATACCACAATGTGTACGTCAATGTCCACGAATCGTGCGAGAACAAAAGGTAATACCCCGGCGAAGATGACATTCACGAGGAACAGAATGATCCATAACGACCATGGCCGTGCACTGTGCCAAGGGAACTTCTTGAATAAAACAAGAATATCGGAATGAGAAGTCTGCTTACTCGTAGAACTTTCTGTACTCTCTCGAGGCGCCATGATAGTTCCGTCGATCCCATATGAGCTTTAACGCCGTCAGTGCGCTTGCGTGGTCATCGGACTGAGCTGCCAGGTCCTTCAGCCGCACTCCGGCACCCTCTGGAACGCGCGATTGATGTATTACAGTCGCCCACGCTGATTAACCCAATAACCCATGAGCATTCGACACCTGAGGGAAGTCAACGCTTGATACTCACTCGCAGCCTCCAAAATACCTCTTGCGAGCTTCAGCAAGCTAATTCCCAGAATCAGCCCTATAATTCCGCACCCCACGCCGGTGAATAACCGTGCCCAGAACAGCGTCCTGTCCTGCGCTAGCCTCACGAACAGCAGCAGGACTGGGTACGCGAGCCCGCAAAACCCGGTGTGCCAGGCGAATTTGGACCACTGGGGCACCTCGAAGTTTTTTGCGAACGGGTGCTCCTTCTGCCCTGACAGTGAAAACCGAGAAAAGGCCTCGAGCGTGCAAATTTGGGCGAGCCGCGTAGGAACCCCGTGGTGCTCGTGGCAGACCCGAAACCAGGTGACGGAGAGTCCAGCGAGCATTGCGCAGCGTCCGACCGTGGGCGCTTGGGCTTGAGCAGAGGAGGGTCGCACGCGGAGGTGTGGAGCGAGGGCGAATTGTTGTCGAAAATGAGAGTGTACGCCCCAGAGGAAGGGGGCTGGCCCAGACCCAGGCTTTGGTCATAGGCGTCCTTGAATTTGGGCGACGGAGTAGGGCTGGTTGTACACGAGTCGGTGCCGGCATACGCGACCGTGTGTGGGTCGACGTAGGGTTTTGTGGGTATGGGTGGAGGGCGGAGGTGCGACTTCGAGCTGCTTTGGGAGCTTGGGGTTGGGCTCTCGCTGCTTGGATGGGAAGCGCTGCCGATGTGAGGCAGGAGGGGCACGTGGTCGGCGAATTCATCCTTCGGCGGAGGTGTGGGCGTCCAGTCGTAGGAGGAAGACCTATTTGTCGAGGACCGACGTGGAGGAGTCCTCGCACTCAGCGGTCGGGGCCCTCGAGGAGGGGAGGAGACTCTTCGAGGCAAGTCACCGATGACGAGCTCCTGCGAGAGCGACGACAGGCCTGGAGGAGTGCGCAGGTATGGGTTTCTCGACATACTTGAGTGCACGCCTGTCGTTCGAGGGGCAGTCCAACGGACAGAAAGCGACCGAAATTGAGTATACGATGGAGTGGGAAGAGGGCGGAGGGTAAATAGAACGGAGCCCTCTGTCGATCCCTGAACTCTTAAAACGTCATGTTAAGGTTCAATACAGCTCAACTGTCTGCGGAGATTTGACGATCGCCTCCTCGTGCCAAAAGAATGGCGTATCGCTTGGTCAGTCCAGCACGGGTGCCTGTCGAACGGGGCGTGGCGGTGATTAACCCCCTCGGAACAGAAATAGTGGTCCGGGTCAGAGGGAGATTCACAGAATAGTGGATGAGGAGAACAATCAGGAAGGTGATTAAGGCTGATCGTTGTCCGTCAACACAGGACCCACAAAGATGTTTGGGAAGAGAAAGTTGAGAAGCACTATTGCACCGCGTTTGTCAGTGATATGCTCACGCTCATGTACATGTCAATCGGATCCTGATAACGTTAAAAACCTTGGGTGCCACAAGAGTCCAGATTTACGTCCTGGGTGGTCGGAGTATGAGCGCTCAGCGCTGAGCCACCGCCCAACCTACCACTGCAAGGTCAGTTCAGAGTCTACGCGGCCGCTTGCCAAAGGATTCGGACATCTTATCTCTTTTCTCTACTGGAGGTCTCAGGATTTCGTTTCATGCAGAATTGTGGGCGGACGGAAGTGGACTTGGCGTTGACAGTGTTATGGAATATCGCCAGATCCTCCCAGACTAGGAACAAACGAGAGTTCTTGTTCTCTCTGGTCATAAGCAGTGGTCAGGCTATCGATTCTGTTGGCATCTATAAGGAGACTTAGCGACCGAATTCGGAGAGAAGAGGCTTACCTTTCCCTGACTGACGGTCCTGCCATATGTAACTCTTCATCGATTCGCAGTCTGGAACAACGCTTTACACTCTGATCTAGCGGTGGCCTGCTAGCGTACATGTCGAAGGGCCGCACTCCAAGAAAATGGTGCACGTTTGTTCCGTAATTCGCAGAGCATCCCGAATTATGTAGTGAAAGTGGGAAGAAAGACTCAAAGGATTACCTAAGCAATTCCAGCCGTCGAATGCGGGAATTTTATCCAAAACCGAACTCAACCTCCAACTAACCGCACCACAGGGTAGCATCACAGAGAAGAACACGATACGCCATCCAATTATCAATTATAATGAACTCTGGATCCGGAGGGTTTAGACATGATATGGCTTCTGTTCTTCGACAAAAGGGCTGCATTAACGCTGACTGAATGCTACATATCCAGCATCTCTTCCACCCTGATCAATGGTGCGCGAGCATAGGACTACTTACTACGCTCAAGTTGGCTAAGGAAGAGGTCAGAATTGTTTCGTTTTATGCGAAGTCCGACCAGCTAAAGTTGGCCTTTTTGTAGTTGTCCGATCACTTCCTCCCTCTCGATCGCAAAACGCAGTGAGCATGACCAGACGCGTCGACGCGTCGTGGCGCAAACTTTTCGTAACAATCAACGATATGAAATGTATATATACAGGTGGTACACTGGGTTACAAAAGCCGTACATCCCCCCACTTTCTCCCACTCGCTCAACAAGCAACAGAACCAATCTTCCTCATGTTCGTTCGTGAACGCACCCCGCTCCCTTGTGGGCCAGCCTTCGCTGGACTCCGCCATTCTCCTATCAACATCGGCCTCGCCGCCGGCGTCGTCGCTCTTCAACAGTCCCCCTTCGGCGGTCGCACCGCTGTGGCTTTGGCGACGTCGGGCTTAGTCGGTGGTGCTACTCTCGCCTACTTCGTCCAAGCCCACTTCAACCGTCGCGTCCTCGCCGCTCCTGTGAACATCACCTCTAGCAATTTGTACCATACCGCCATTGTTCATCCCTCCTGCCCTCTCGGTTCCTCGTCGTTTGGCTCGGGCGATGCCCTCGGTAACCTCATCTGCCCAGCTCCGTTCGACTATGGGGAGCCTGGCCCGGCATGCGACTCGCTCTCCCAGATGAATGCCTTGGAGCTCGACAACTGGTTCAGCACGGCGATTTCCTCTTGCGAAGTTGGTGATGCTCCTGGAACCGACCTTATGGTCTTGCCTTTGGTACCACCTACCCCGCCCTTGCGCAGCGGCTGCACCGATGTTGGAAAGCATATTCCGGGGGATATGATCGTCTACGGCACAGGTGTGTAGACCTCCGCTTCAAGGAACCCGCCTAATACGAATCTTGCCCAGTTGAACGTAGCCTTTCTATTTATCATGGTGCTACGTGCCCAGTCACGTGGATTGGCGGCAACAGTATGTGTTTAACCAAACGTCGTTGTCGCTTTATTGACCTCGATAAAGTTGCAGAAGATTTCTCTTCCATCCATGACGTCCAGGAGGTTTCTCGAGTTTCAGAGGATCTCTCTTCCGTCCACAGTGTCCAGAAGGTTTCTCAACCACCTTCATCCTCTTCGGTCCAGTGTTCGACTCTCGAAGACCTTAATCTCGAGTCGATCATCGTCGGTCTCACCTTGCTCTCTGGCCTGCACAAACGCCGTGGTATCCCTCTCCGGACACCCGCTGTCAACGAGCATGTTCCTATCAAATCAATCTCCGCTGTTTCTGTCCCGTCGCCTCGGAACTCTCGCCTCGTCCCAACTATGATGGACTTCCAACTCGCCGCTAGCGCTCTTGTCGCTGCCGGCAACCCAGAACCGTCCGATCGCACTCTGATGATCGCCCAACATATCCGAGGAGTCTTCAACTGCCTCTGTGTCGTCTTCGCCCTATATTTGATCATGATCTGTATCTTCAAGGCCTCTGTCAACACTAAGTTTAAAGTTTCCTTCAATTTCACTAAAAGGGATGTTCGAACACTCCCTGTCGCCTTGGTATGTTGTCTCTCAGTTCCTATTTTACTTTCATATAAACTGACTTTCGTTCTTCCAGTCTTCCGCGTCTGTACCCGCCAACGAGGAGAGTGACGAGAGCGACGATTTCTTTTCCCTTCCGTCCACACCAAGGCATCTCGATGTCGCATCTGCTGAAGCCACCCAAATCACCCCTGTCGAGGACCAAAACGTGTCCTCATTCGTCGACACCCCATCAGTGGTGCCCAAATCTGAGCAGGAGGCGGCTGCGCTCGTCGTGGAGCCGGTGTCTGAAGAGGCTCACCTCTCAAACAACGACGATGTTGAGGAAAAGGTGAACGAAGAAATCATCTCTTCTGTCGAACTCGAGCCAATTCTGGATGAGGTACGTTTTCACTTCGCCCTCTCCTGTATCTTTTGTCTAAACCGCTTCATGCAGGATCCTTCCTCAACCGTCTCTGGCGGGCTCGACCCCAAGGCTTCTCCTTTCGTCCCTACCATCCTCAGACTATCTGCTGCATCGACCTCTGCTGCTCTTGAAACTGTCGACGACGACGCTCCTCTTTCTCCTTCTGCCATCCTCACCCATGTCTCTGCCCGACCTCCTGGTCGCCGTCGCCGAAAGCACCACCGGAAGAACAAGAACAAGGCGGTCGAGATCACCCTCGTAGGTTGATTCTCCCCCTTTGCAATTGGGTTCTTCTATACTTCGGCTTCTCGATCACGGGCGAAGAAACTGCACTTTCCCGCATACAACACTCCGGATCTCCAAGGCGGCATGTATGGATTCAACGACTTCGATATTCTCGATACGCAACCGCGACTACTGCACCAAACCTGTCTGCGCGACGCGACTCTCCCGCTCTCCTCCTCTCTTCCACCCACGCACTCCAACAGCCAGCACACTTCCTCCAAGAGCGTCAGCGTGCTGACGAGCTTGTCTGCGCTCTCCATCGTCGGGATCAGGGTGGGGTGTCGCCTGACGAGGTTGGCACCCTGCCCTACCCTCCGCACCACACTCCCAATTGCGCGTGTCGTTCAGGGCGTTGACGAACGTCTTGCTTCGTGCGCGGGAGTCGTGGTGTTCGGTGTGCAGGTCGGGGTTGGCGGGCTGACGAGCTTTGCTGCCTTTGATCTGTGCATCGACGACGATGGCCTCCGGTAAGGGTCTGTGTCTGCATGTTGCATCTACCTTGGGAGTCTTGGGCTGCTTTCCGCACTACATCTTCGCCACTCGCCGTCCACCTTTCTCGTATCGGTTGTCTCGAAGTCCTTCTCGCCACCATCTGGACCCTCACAAAATCCACCCAAAAACCTGCTGTTTCTTCCTTCGGAATCTCGACCCCCATGTTTTTACTCTATCTCTTTTTCTCTTACCTGCTCTGCTTCTATCATCGATTCTCTTTCTTCTCGGGCATTTATTCCTTAGCCGGTATAGTTTTGTATACATTTTGGCAGTATCTTCTGTATCTTCTCGTGTGTGTACTTCTAGCTTTATAATAAATTATTTTCTCTCTTCCATTCTGTGTGATGCTCGAGACCACTGAAAGATCAACGTTCTATACTCATAACCTTCAATCTTCAAAGTTCTCAGAACTTTTTGACTCGGGAGATTATTCTCCTCACACTATCGGACCGTTTGATCCGGATAGGGTACCACTCTTCACTCGGACCGAATTCCCGCCGGTCTTCTACTTCCATCTCCATCCACTGTCAATGACTGGATCGACAACAAAAAGCTGTTACGTAGGCGTCGACGTGGGTACCGGCTCGGTACGAGCATCGATAGTCACAAAATCTGGCAAAGTGCTCGCGTCCTCCACCCAAGAGACAAAGACATGGCGCGATCCTCACGATCACCGCGTCTTCGAGCAGTCCACCACGGATATCTGGAGCCGCATCGGTGTTGCTATCAAGGACTGTCTAAGTGCCTCTGGCGTTGAGCCAAGTGCGGTGAAAGGACTAGGATTCGATGCGACGTGCTCGCTGGCGGTGACCGACTTCGAGGGCGAGCCGGTCATCGTTACGAAGGGTGAAGAGATCGGCGGGCATGGCGAGAGAAACACCATCCTTTGGGCAGATCACCGCGCGGAGGAAGAGGCTGAGTTGATCAATCGCACTGGGTCAGTCGTGTTGGACTACGTTGGCGGAAAGATGAGTGTAAGTTCAACGCTTCTAACCATCCATTTCGACATTTCTGACTGCGTGTTGGAATAGCTAGAAATGGAGGTCCCAAAAGTTCTCTGGCTCAAAAAGCACATGTCTCCTGAGCATTTTCACAAATGCCAATTTTTTGACCTGCCCGACTTCCTAACATACCAAGCGACTCGGGACAGCTCGCGCTCCACCTGTTCCCTGACGTGCAAGTGCTCGTATGTTGCCAACTCAGGATGGCAGAAGGAATTCTTCGAGCAGATCGGGCTCGAGGAACTGAGCGAAAGGGAGTATGCTCAAATGGGCCCCAAAGACGGCGAAGAGGTGCTCATAGCAGGTATGCCCGTCGGCGAAGGGCTCTCGAAGAAGGCAGCAGAAGAACTCGGGCTGCGACCTGGCACACCTGTCGGAAGCGCAATTATCGATGCGTGAGTGATTTGTCTCTTGTAGAAGAACAGGGGGAACTGACGACTGTCAAGGTACGCAGGGTGGCTAGGCACTATTGCCGCGAGGTTCGCAGACGACAAGCAGGAACTGAGTGAAGTTCCTACTATCGAAGAATCTGGACATCGACTTGCAGCTGTAGCTGGAACGAGCACTTGCCATATCGTTCAAGTAGGTGTACTTGTCACCCACCCAAGCCAACTAATCGATAAATTGTCACAGAGTCCAAGTGATATTTTCGTTAATGGAGTGTGGGGTCCGTACAAGGTGTGTCAATTGCATGAACCCGATCACCCTTCTGACATTGCCTTATAGGACCCAATTCTCAGTGGTTGGTGGATGAATGAAGGCGGGCAATCCTCGACTGGACAAGTACGTACCCTCTTCAGGCGACTTGAAATGACATTCTCACCTGTGAATATTATGCCAGCTAATAGACTTCATTCTAACGACTCATCCCGCCTACCCCGAGCTTGTGGAACTAGGAAAGAAAAATCAGAAACCCATCCACACTGGTACGTTCTATAAATAACTCGTCCTCCAAGCAGACCTAATTATAGGTCACTCAGTCCTCGAAGAACGTCTGGAGAAATTGCGGACGGAATCCGCTGTCGAAACTCTCACTGAGTTGACCAAGGACTTACATTTATATCCTGATCTTCATGGTTTGTAAGATTTTTTGAATGCCAGACTTCCAAACTAACGTCCAACGCATAGGAAATCGATCTCCCATTGCAGATCCGCGAATGCGGGGCTCCATCGTCGGCCTCGAGCTCGTAAGTACACTCCGTACCATTATCACCTAACATCCTGATAACGAAAATACCCTCAGAGCAACTCCCTAAACGATCTCGCCAAAAAATACCATGCGACCCTCCTTGCCATCGCCCTCCAAACGCGGCACATCATCGACACCCTTAATGGCGCGGGTCACCACATCTCCGCGATCTACATGAGTGGCGGGCAGGCGAAGAACGCAGGATTGATGCAACTCTTCGCGGATGTGTGTGGTATGCCGGTCGTCTTGCCCCGGGATAGCGGCGGCGCAGTGGTACTTGGAGCGGCGATGCTGGGAAGATTGGCGGTTGAATTCGCGCAGGGTGAAGGTGGGTCGAGAGGGAAGCTGAAGGAAGGACAGGCGGAGAGGTTGTGGGGCATTATGGTACGTAGCGGACTTGCTTCCTCCGTAAATTTTCCTGGCCCTGAAATTGGGATTGCAGGTCGAGATGACACCACCTGGTACACTGGTCTCCCCAAAAGCGTCCCCAAGAGAGAAGAAGCTTCTTGAGGCCAAGTACAAGATCTTCCTCGAGAGCATCGAAATCCAGAAACGATGGAGGAAGGAAATCGAAGACGCCACCAAGTAACTGTCAGTGTTACGGACTTTGTAAGACAAATCTGTACGACAAAAGGTTTGTATCCTAGAAACTAAATACATATCTTGTACCATCTCCTTCTACTCTCTGGCCTTGTCCACGTCCGCTTTTAACGCGGAGAAAGACCGAGAAAGAATGTCACAGCTCTGTACGGTGACTGGGGGATGCTGGACGAGCTCGAGGAGCATGGGTGGATCATGTTGAACGTCAGGTAATAGGTTGATCCAACGCAATAGTAAAAGACGGACAGCTTTACTCCTCCCGCCAGTATATTAATCATGACTGTATCCGATAAGGCCTTCGTCTTCTCATACTTAATGTCCGCGAGAGGTCTGATTAGTGGGAGAAGCGGCCTCTTCGACTTCCAAGCCTCTTTGGAGAGATTTCCGAGTCCAAACATTAGCTTTCATTGTGTTCATCTGGATCAAGCCCTCTCATTTGCATATTTTCCCCGAGCGTCCGACCTCCTACCAGCCCTCCCGTACAGGGGCCTGAAATAGAGGTTCGCGGAAGCAAATTCCAGGCCGAGTATAGCCAAACGAAGATGGCATTGTGGCGACGCTACTTTACTCCTTGTCTAGCAGCAGGCCCGCAGCTAGTCAGTTCGTTCCAAGAATAACAATAACACAACTCTAGCTAGTGCTTTCCAAATGATAGCGGAGGTGTCGTCACAATTGTAGTGGACTGACGTCGACTCAAAAACGGCGCTCGTCCCCCAGTGAATTCTCACTCGGAGGGAGGAAACCCATCAGATCCGACCCTGCACGGCGTTTAACTACATCAAGCAATCTACTGTAATAGCAGGAGCACACCACACCTCGGTCCTGAAAACACGACGTTTAGCGCCCTCGCACGCCCCTCTCTCCCGGGGAGTTCAGGTTGGTGGCGAGGTCAATTAGACTCTTTACAAAAATGAAAAGCAATAAATCAGTGAGCGCCTCAGGAACATGTCATTTGAATTCAAGTTCGCGCGAAATGAATTCTGAGTTCAACTATATGTAAGTGGGGCACGGTAGCGCAAATTCCATTCTCTTCTCTTCCTCTCGTCCTCTTCCTCGTGCTTATCAACCAAGAAAACTCCGACATGGATGGAACATAAATATCGCTGACAATGGCACACTGCGTACATAGGCGGCAGTGATAAACACGCAACATATCATCATGATCATCTGCATCATGCCCACTCGGTGAAACGGATTTCCTGGACGTGTCGGCGGACGAGCCCAGCCAGGGCACACTGCAGTATGTACTGTATACATCATCACTGATTTCGTGCTGCATTCCCCGTAATTCATTCTTCGTCTCCGTTCGTCATTCCACAAGTCACCCACGGAGCCGGAGAGAGGGGAACCAAAACGAATAAATAGCGAGAGCGAACCCAAGTGTTCTTAACGGTACAAGCGACCGCCCATCCTTCCACCGCACCTCTCCGACCGCCCATCTCACCCTGCTCCTTCCCTCCCATACTGCACGCTTCATACATCACCTCGCTTTTCATTTTTTCAGGTTGACGCGGACGCGGACAAACTCAGCCCACGGGGCGATGGGCGACCAAGTGAGCCCGCAGCCCACGGAGATAACCTGCTGCCCACCCACCCACGCAACACGATTCACAGAAGCTTGACATACGAAGCTGGGAAGAGGCCCTTCTTCCCGTTCAGTTCTCCGGTCCACCTGTCAGATAAGCAGAGGGCGAACGCAGGTGCGATGCCGTACAGACGTTAGCGTTAGCCATTTGCTCGGGGAAAGTAAAGGGTAAGAGGAAGAGGAAGGTAGGCGTTGAATGGATAAGCGGTGTCTCGTGGAATCATGGAAGGCGGTTAGTGGGGAACTTGGAAGGGGCTGGCAGAATCCAGATAGAGGCCGGAATTCGGAATGGGGATGGGATAGAATGGAAATGAGAGGAGAGGAGTCAGGACACGAAAACGTGGCCACACCACCACCAACAGGCGATTGATGAGCAGGAAGGGGGGTGGGGTTATAAAAAGGGCACCGGGCGAAATGAGGTGAGGTTGGAAACTTGGGAAGGCCACCCACCAGTCGTCTGATGTCCTCTCCGTCAGGAGGATGCGCTCGCCCTCGGTGATTTTGAGATCGCCTGGTTCCTGCACCACCGTCAGTCAACTCTATTCAAGATGACAGCACAGAAGATGAGCGGACGTACCCCCGAGTCGTAGTCGTAGATCGCCTCCGCCCACTCGCCCTCGGACTCTTCTTGTTTTGGCGGCGGCTGGTAGCGTGGGGCCACGGGAGGAGGTGCAGGCGCAGATGCAGGCTCGGGCGTCGGACTCGACCCTCCGCGCCGCACAGGTGGGGGCCCAAAGTTGCTCTGCCGCGCAGCAAACGCAGCTGGGACGACCGGGGGCTGGGGCGGCGCCTTGTTGCTGTTACTATTACGCAAGGACCCCAGGAAAGCCTTGGTCGAGGAGGTGTCAACGTCGCCAAATTTCTGTTAACATCAGGAACGGGTAGCATTAGCAGCCTGATAGCATCAGGGGTGGTGGTGGGGCCAGGCGCAGGCTCGACGGGTATAAGGTAGGCATATATGCAGCACACGCACTTTGATGGAGGTCAGACTGGCTGTAGAGGAGGAGGGACGGTCGGCGGTAGCGGAGGAAGTGGTGGTAGCTGGGGCGAAGCTACTTCTGTTGGCGGCTGCGAAGGCTGCTACGCGGCCAGCCACGCTCGGGACCTCGTTATCGGATGCCTGGCAATACGAAGATTCCGAGGAATCAACAAGGGCAGAGAGAGCATCTGAATCAGCATCCATGTAAGCTCGTCTCGTCAATCATTCTGATACTCACCCCAGTTGCTCCTGGACCACCACCACTGACGGTGCGCGAGTTGGCAGCTACGTGCCTCAGTCCCGCCGACATGACCTTGGCGGTTGCCTCGGGGTTGGCTGCCATGGCACGCTGTACGGCAGAGACAGCAGCTGTGCCGCTCTGGGGACCAGTAGTCGCATCGGGACTCGCAAAGATGTCAGGACGGGACGAGAAGTATCTGGGCAAGAATTGATTTGAATGACGGGGTGGCGACGGTCATGGCAATCACGAGAAGTGGTGAGATCTGCATGGCCCTGATCCAGCGGATATATAATCGCCACTCACTCGTCCAGCAGCGAGAAGAACGCCTCCTTCTCGTGCGACCCAAGGTTCGCAAAGACCATCGTGGATGTAGGAGGTAAGTTGGCTGATCGTATCTATTTTGGGCAAAACGACTAATCAATTGCTCTAGCGCGGCATACAATAGTGCGATACACGAATCCAAAGAAAGGAAAATGAAGAGAGTAGTATGGACACAGTCGGCGGGGTGGACACGTAGGTGTCGAGGTGAGTAACAAAACACTACTACACGGTCGATATTTCTCATCACATCAAGAAAAACAGGAAACAGAAAGGAGAAAAGATACGAGAAGCAAGCAAGATGACAAACTTCTGCAATAATAACAAGCAAATAAACAGCATCGAGGACGGAAAAGATAGATGAGTAGGTGGGGAATAGGGTAAGGTGCGAGTCCAAGAGCAGAGCAGTGGGGTTTTGGGGTTCATGCATTCCAGTTGAACAGGTCGAACTCGTTGCCCATCATCTGGTCCGCCGGCGTATCCTGCACCGCCATCTGCTGCTGCGGCCCAGGTGTCCCCGACAGATGTCGCTGGTCGCTCCCAGCTGGCGACGGCGCGAACGGGTACCCGCCCTGCGCCGGCGTGCCCCAGCTCTGGCTGTTCGTCGGCGACGGCGCGCTGATACCACCCGCACCACCGCCTCCACCCATAAATGGCGTCCCAGACGAGCTCCCAGGCGGCGACATCCCAAAGTTCTGCTGCTGCTGCTGTTGGCCCATGCCCTGCTGCATGCCCTGCATCTGGTTGAACGAGGCCGGGCTCTGCGATGCCATCGCCCGCATCTGGCCTTGCTGCTGCTGCATCAGCATCCGCTGGTAGTCTTCCTGGCCCATCGAGCCCATCCGACCAGGCGGCCCTCGGGGTGTCATGGGCGAGGGCCCGCTGTCGGATGGTTGTACGGC